TAGTAACCTAATCAGCTACTTTCTCTATCAAATACTGCTTCTATCAAAAATTGAAGTATACTATGTCTCTGGTAACTCAGTAAAACTACTTTTTATCAGGACTACAGGTTCTACGACATGAACTATCCCTTACAGACCAAATGTTACTTAAGTAAAATCTTAACACTGCCTCATAGGCAGAAAGAAACTTGATTTATAACTTCCTAACACACCATATGTCTCTGTTAACCTAGTCAGCTACTCTCAATATTACCAATCTCTTAGCCTTAACTTAATAACTTCTCCATATAATCACATTTATCTCCTCTAGGCTTTTACAAATTACCTTCAATTTGGTGTTAAAATACAGTTTTTATCCTCAAATTCTGTTTACAAACTACCATATTTATTATTCAAAGACAATTTTTATCTTGAAATTACTTTACTTCAAGATAATAACATGATGCAAGACTTTCCATCCTTATGTACAAGGTGCCTGGTCTAAATTTATCATTCTATCAGATAAACTTGAAGTTTTTTCCATCCAATTTAGGGACAAATTAGGGATGAAACCATGTAAAATCCTTCTTGTCTACTTACAAATTTCTTAAGTCAATTCAAATATATATATATCACTGATAAGCTTAGCTAATTAAATTCTCGTTTCTGAGACTAAGGTACGATTGGTCAAAAGGATGGTGAACATGTCCCTTTAAACAATATAATCTCTGCAATACCATCATTATAGAAATTACAGGAAATAAATACAGTTTCATTTCCATAAAATTCAGCTTTCATTTTGTTAATTCCATTATTAGTTTTTACAATAAAACTTGAGTGTTATCATTAATTAGACAATTCTAGGTGTCCAATTTGAGTCTAAACTCATTCAGATGAGAAAAAATTTTAGTGGACATTGAGATGGAGGAGGCAGGATGGATCAGCAAGCTGAAACTCTTTCTCGCTGCCTTAAACGTCCATGGTTCCAGACAGAAGTTTAGATAGTAAATATGTTAAGAACCATTGTATATATATATATATATGACTTTTTTTTGAAAATGGTGTCTTCTTGAATTTTTCACTCATATTCTTATAGAACTTTGATCAAGGTAGTAGTGAGTGCGCACTAAACTTTTGTACTACAGGTTAAACTGATCATTGCCATGACAGGAAAATAATTTGAAGGCAATTTTCACTATTGATATCAACACAATATCCTGAAGTGAGTGATTTTTAATACCGGTAAAATGCACAATCAATCACACTAATCCTTCTGCAGTCATTAAAACACAGTCAAGGTAAATTCTTCAGTCATTACCTATTGATTTTCATTACAACCAATTTTCTATCAGAAGTTTATTAAGCAGAACTCAGTAGGGGAACTACAGGTTCATTAAACAACTACCAATTAACTGGACTATTACCAACTACCAATCAGAAACCAATCAATAAGTTCAGATCAGTTCAACAGACTCATGTCTCTTCCATAGTATCTAGTCAAATAATTAACAGTCTTGATTTTGACTGACAATAAGGTCTAGTAAGCAAAGGAAATGAACAATATAGAAATCATAGAAATTAGAAGGAGCTCTCTGTTTCACTTCCCCTCTTGAATGGAATAAACTGCCCTTTTCCAAACAAAGTTGGTTTATTTCAATTTTCAAAAAGAATCTAAATCTAATTCTATAAAAGAATTATACTATTTCAATAAGGCTTTTAATATTAGGTGGAAGAGATTCATTGATGGACAATAACTCTTGAAAACACTGTCATCTGAATTTTTGGCCTACAGGTTACTAAAATCAACAGTTACATTCTAATTCGCTTAGAAGACAACAATCCAAATCAGGTCCATTTTATATGCTTGTTTTTCATGTTAAAATCATGTCCAATGCAGTTCAACATTCACGACTTGAAACGTATTATATGCAGTAAGACAATTTTGCAAGAACAGCAGAATCAATAGAGTTTCTTTGACTGTTTGCAACTGTGCACCAATTGCCAAGACCTTGGTATTTGTCTGAACAGAAAGACACACCAACATCAATATATATAGTCCAGTCTTCAATAAAGATAAGTAGGAATTTATTAGAAATGATGCCAATCTTCATTATGTCTGATAACAATTAACAAAATCGTTAACGATTTCCTCTCACTAGTCAATCAATAGGATTTGACCTCAACATCACAAAATCATTAATATAGGTCACTTGAACTTTGGCTATATATTTATATCTTCTCATAAGATTTAAACACTATCAACTTATTTTAAACTGCCAGATGCTTCATTCTTTATATTATCTGATATTTTTAGATCTCTCAATACTCAAATTATATCTTATATTTTTTTATGGTTTCTTTAATCCATAATTCAGCAAATCAATTTTTACAAAGAAATTTGATGAAAATGAATCTATCTAAACTTCTTAAAATTTCTTAGAATATCAATTTGATTTGTGAGTTGATTGAAGTATCTGCCTATGTTTTTAACACTTAACTTGGCGACATTTTTTTCATCAAGCATATGTCATGCTTTCATTCTGGATATTTTCAAATGCAGATCTTAAATATTTAATCAAGGCAATTACCAAATATCGGCTTCAATAATTCATTACATGCTCGTGATATCTGCCATTTGCATTTCTGCAATGATTTATTATTTTTTTACATTCAGATTGATTATATGCTCATTTCTAGTAACTCAACTTATAGCCTCAGGTTTAAAATAATATATATTGTCTTAACAATTTGGGTAGCTTGTCTGGAATGAGATAGAAATACAAGCATGTCTCAGTGAAATAAGTTCAAATATCACAAAGTGATTTAAGAGCAACCCAATTCTACAAAAAACCTTGATTAGGAAATATAGTGATTTGATTGGTTGGTGCCCTTAATTTTCAATTTGTTTAAAAAAATTCATCACACAACCAGAATACTGAAATTGTTCTAAGTAAGAGATTAAGCCCCTGCATTTGAAATAGATAACAGGTAAAAAGAATGACTACTCTAAATCTTTAAGTTAAGAACAAAATTACCAGAAAACTCTGCATAATTATGTCATGATTCATCTAAGTCTGATGAATGAAAACTGCAGCTTTCATATATTTTTTAGCTTTCACAAGATGCAACAGATAGTTCAACAATTCTTTATTCTTTATAGTAAACTATCAAGGTTAACTGTGACTGCCCATCTTAAAGATGTATAAATTTGTTTCTTTTTGAACAACACAATATATTTCAAAACTATTTTGTAACTTTAATTAGTAACCATTAAGTAAGTTTACTCAGAATTTATTTGAATATTTCACTGTATGTCACTTTAAAAGTCAAAGGCAATAATACTGCTTGCGCACACCAAAACAGTCAACCAAAGAGCATGAAATACTTCATTAAGTCATGACTGTGAGTTATCATTTATTAATTATGTATTGACAGATAATGACAATAATAATTTCTACTGGTACCGTTCAGCTAATTCAATAACCTGACCGATACATACAATGGAAAACAATAGACTAGAAACACTATTAGATTTAATCAGCTTATATTGTCCATATATAATCATACATAAACAATGGGCAGGACATTGTAGCTTTTATAGAAATATGGTTGAATACCAATGTTCGGAGATAAATATATGAGCATTCATCAATGTCCTTAACATGTTCAAATAACTTACGCTATGTATTGTCCAACTGTTTGAATTCAAACAAAGGAAACATGCAAACTATAAGCATGTCACATCATTGAACCTTTCTTCTGGGTTCATTCCTTTTGAATAACATAAATATTTTAACAGTGTCATTTCCATGCCTTCCCCCCACCACCATAAAAGGGCTAGCCCAGCTTTGGCCTCCCCCACTTTAAAATTTTATTTTCATTTTACATAGATAAAGAATTACCTCCTGGACCCCCTGGAATATTTTGTGGCCCCTGCCAAGCCCCCTCACCTAATGTTTCCAAGAAACACCACTGATTTTAAGTGAACCCTAAAAGACCAAATGACATGAGCTCACCTTTAATGTCATGTGATTCAAATACAAACTACATCCTCAAAACAGCTTGGAGCAAAGTCAAAAAGTCTTGGCTCTAACCTAATGATAATACCATACCATTTAAATTCTAAACATTACAGTATCTGCTATAGATTGGCCGACTGCCAGAACTACCACAAAATTAAAAACACAGACTTCTCTAGATGGATAATTAAATACACATACAACTGGACCAAAAATCATTAAATACATGTTTATCAATATCATAATATACTTTTTTTTTAAAATGTCTGTATTCAAACTTCTTTTAAAAAAAACAATATCTTTCTGAAGAGAAAATAACAGAATAAATCAGACAATGTAAAGATTATTACAAAATAATAGATTTTGAGTCACAGCAGGTTATCAAATGATATTCTAACTATACTGTACTTCAAACTGTACAAGGAATGAGCCTTTATTTATTATATGCATGTATCCCTATATAGCCCATTGTGTATTCACTAAAAGAAGGATATTAATTTCTCTGATGTTTTATTGCTGTTATAATGAAAAGATTGCCCAATCATACTTAAATTTCTGGCTGTGAATAATACCATAATGGATTGAATTTCATGTTATAAAAAGCAAGTTTTAGTGAAAATTTTGCAACAAATGTGAATTTTCATGCTAAAACATTGGCAAGCTATGTCATAACATATTAGTGGACAAGACCATACAGGCATTGTTTAGTGCAAAATATTCCTAAATTGAACTAATAAGGGTAGATTTAAAAAATATTTGCCAGTCATGTTCAGTTAAGGCTACACAATGTCTGAATATGATTTTAGTCTTTGTGACATCTGATATCATGATGAGTTACCCAAACCTAACCAAGAATAAAATATATTCAACAACTTGAAAAAGATGTTTATCATATCAAATAAATGAAGTATTAAATAGAGGATCTTGTACCTGTGTTATGTACAAGAGAACAGAAGTGTTGTGTGATAAATGGCGATAAGCTATGTTGAAATATAATCTTACCTTCATTGCCTCTCCGTTTTTTCTTTTTTCTAGGAGAATGATTGTACTGCGGTAAATGTTCATTTTCTAATTTTTCTCTATGATGTGCCAACACTTTAGCTGTCACCAACCACTCATCTTGTTGACATTCCCATTTATCTAATCTAAACGAGAAAATACAATATAATAACAAAGTATGTCCACTGTTAAAATTGTGCTTAATACATCATTTGCAGAGCGATATATAGAACCTGAACTATGTTGCTCAGAGGAAAACATAATTAAGGAACTTGTACAGAGGTTTCCAACCTTTTTTAAATATGTATTTGTGATATTTATATTTTCTACTTGCCTATTACTAAGTTCCCTGGCACATCTATTACTTAATAGCACAATGTTGTTACAGGTTAGTCTCCTTAATCTTTGACATTAAATTTATTGGCTCACTTTGCTACCCCATGACAATCAGAACTCTGTGTACTTACTTGATCCAGCTAGAAGTTTTTAAAGCATGTTCAATCATCCCACATCGATGTTTAGCTGACTCTAATCCCTACAACAATCAATCAATGACCAGTGAAAAATATAAGACTTAAGAAGATATGTGATAAACGGCAATTAAACTAAACGTAGGTTTGGAATTTTTATCAAACACATTACTATTTCTTCATTCTTCACTCTATGCTATCACATGGAAAATGGACTTGATTTCAATGAATATAAATTTCCTTTAGGGTCTCACCATACACCTTTCATAATTTTCATCAATTATATCATTTTTTTTAATTCCTGAATTAACATTCTGGACGGGTTTATTATTGAAAAATAAAATTAGACAAACACACACAACAGAAAAAATAAGCTTTTATGAATCATGGAGCAATAAAAATGACATAATAAAACATCATTCATCTCTTTATGCAAACATGGGAAGTTGGGGAATATTTTCAATTAATATGAATTTCCTGAAGAGTTTCAATATAAACCCTTGCCCTTATATAAATACTGAGATAAGTATTTAAGTTCCAAACATTAATGGAGGTAAAAACAAATAAGGAGGGGGGTACTTGCCTATGTTACAAGGTGCTCTAGGGGGAGTAAGTGGTGCATTTGTCGTTTTTTGGGCGTAATGTTTGAATAACTAAAGTCAAAGAATACACTTACTTCCTTACTATATTTATCATTAACAGGTGATATAATCCCTCCTATTACATTGTATAATCCTGTTTTATTTAATGAATCTCTCGCTAATTCTGTAATAAAGAGAAATAAAACAATTTAACATAAGTTTCATTAATAGTCTTATGAAATCTTCATCATTAGGAAATATTAATTATGAAATGAAATGTCTGAAATAAATACAGTAATTGTTATCCAAAAATTGCTAACAAAAATAGCTTTAAAACAATTCATGGGGAACATAGCAAATTACGAACTTATGCCAAAGTCAAACCCTTTATTTCTACTCCCACACCTTACCTTTTCTCTATAAAAAAATCCAAAACATAAAAAAGCTTTAATGACTATCTGACTGAGTGCCCATTTTGGAAATAGAGAGAGGTTGGTACAGACATGTCCCTGTAAATAATAGAATATGTCCGCATTCTGAGCACTGTGATCTTAATCAGGTTGAAGATAAACAACATATTCTTCTATATGTCCCAGATACAGTCAGCTCAGAGAGAAATATATAACACCCATTTTTTCTTATTATACAAATTTATACCTATCCCTTCATATTATATTAGGCACAGCGCCATTTATAGCAAAAGGCATTTCTCGTTTTGTGTTTTTTGCTCTTGATGAACGTAAAAAGGGACCATGATAGTTGTACTTTGTTTTCTATATTTTGTATTATTGATATTTTGATGTTTATTCTGCATGTATCATAACTATATTATATATATATTCATTTAATCTTTTCACATTATTGTACTGTTTTCAAGTTTGTTATCTGACTATAAAGGACCATGACACCTGTACATTGTTTTATATATAAAGTAACAGATATCTATACTAAATCTACATTCATTATACCTTTCACTTTATTGTACTGTTTTATATTTGTATGCTGCCCACAATGGGCGTATATGCAATAAAATCTTATCTTATATGCAATACATTTATACAAAATTGAAATCTCAAATAAGCAGTGTTCCCCATACTATAGCAAGTGGTGTTTCTACACAGAAAGATTTGACTGGCCTGGGTTTCCCATCCCCCATCAGTTTCAGAATTTGTATCATTTAGTTCTTCAATGCCTTACTTACTAGCCAAATACCCTCTTCAAGGCTATTTCCCTTCCAAACTATTACTAAAATATATCTATATTAAGAAGCTGATTAAACTCAGTACACCTTAAACTCAGTATTGTAACTTCACCTACCCTTTTATCCTTTATATGTATCATTCCCCAGGAAATCATTGTACTTCGAAAAATATATTTTTTGAGAATAATAAATTAGATAGATTTACTGAGGCATAATTAAAGGACTCATGTCTATAGGTTATAATCGAGTATGATTAAGAAATATGTTCTACAGGCCCTATCAATTCCACATTGTTAATTTTGGCATTGGCAGTGGAAGGAGGTTTCTCACTCACACTCACAGTAAAATCCATGTCATTGATTCATGATTGTTCTCCATTCAAGATAGATGATTAAAAGATCAAAACTTACCAAACAATCTCAAGTGCATGTTTGTGATTGGATTAAACGATCCGCAAGCTAACAGCACAACCTTCTCCGGCGCTGACATTTTCAGTTTGTTCATTGTTATTTCTTATTGTGTGGGAAGATTATATCTCGATGGTGAAATCCAGACGCGACGATCCGATTGATTAACCACGTGATAATCACGTGATCAACATATTAAGAATATTAGTCTCAAATTGGAATCGGGTTTTCATTTGATCGAATTCGCTATCAATACGTTTTATTTGCTTATTTTATTCTTAAATGTTAATGGAAGTTAAATCAAAAGTGAAAATAATGATTTTTATCTCATCGTTTATTCTAAAACTGCCTATTTTACAATATTTTCCTAATATAATTTTTACGCTGCACTTAAATTGTAAACATGGCTGACTCCAGAGAGTAAAAACGTGTTTTGGAAATATTTGCTTGGATTTTCAATGTAATTAGAAGAAATTTATAACATTGATTCAATTAAACAAGCGACACATTTACAATATATAAAAATATTAAACCTTCGTTCCGTTTCACAGATAACGCATCATCTAGAAGAGCTAAGTGGTCAGATTGCTTGTGTGTTTACAAATCTATCGTGCGTCTTTGAGTTTGAGCGAGTCTAAAAAAGAGTGGTCCGAGTCTTAAGAAAAGTGGACCAAGTTGTCTTTGAGAGCTGGACAAAGTCTAAAATATTGGCCCGAGTTGTCTTGGAAAGTTTTTTAATAGTCAATGAGTTTCAGAACTTTAAAAAAGCAGGAGGAAATTTACTTAAGTTCAACCAAACTTTACAATATTTAGCCAAAGAACAAATCCAAAACTAAAACACATTACCACTGTCTGACCACTAAAGTTACAGGATTGTATTATTTGTTTTATTAGATTGAAAGTGAGAATGATCAACTGTACAATAACCAAGTATTGTCAGTAAATCAGTTAGATGAAATTTCCTACCAAAGAGAAATTATAATATTTAATTTTACTGTGAAATCCTATAAGTTCTTGGAAGGAAATGTGTGTGTTTTTTTTTTTTTTTCAATTATAAATAATCAAACCTTATATTTCTATGGACATATAGACATGTTGAGGCTAACAATCTCACCTAAAGATATATTAGGGATAAAATAAAAAGAAAAGTGATTTGTTATAATAAGGTTTCACTTTCAATATGAAGCAAAAAAGTGGGAAATTAAATTGTATTTTTCATATTTCAGACAGTATTTAAGAAGTAAATATGGCAAAGAAAAAGAGAAATTTGTCAGACAGAACACGGGGAAAGAGAAAAGACCATGGAAAAGTCAAGAGGACAAACCCGTTTGAAGTAAAGATCAACAAACAGAAACATCATGTTCTGGGAAAGAAAAGAACCAAATCAGAACATGGGTTACCTGGTGTATCAAGATCTAAGGCAATGAAAAATGTGAGACATTGGAAATGCAATATTCATAAATACATAGTATAGTAGGCCTACTTTTTATGCAATCTTGCAACAAAATATCATTATTTTTCTTAGAATCATTGCAAAACCTAACCTATATGGTCTCATTTGATTGTAATTGATAATGATGAACCAATCATAAACTGATTTTGCTACAAATATCTATACCACAATTTGTTGTATTGTGCCTTACTCATTTTGAAACTAACCAAAATTTCAATGATAAATAAGAATGATTTTATGTTTTAAATTCAGCGTACAACCACCTTGCTAAAAGAATATGAAGATAGAATTAAAGTAAATAAGGTGATCGATAAAAGAATTGGGGAGAAAGATCAAACTATATCTTTAGAAGAGAAAATGTTGAAGAGATATGCTTTGGAAAGAAAGGTAATGAATTCATTATGATTGTTTCATGTTGCTTTAGAAACAGAATACAATGTATTTATGGTTAATATTTTTTGACATATCTTGAATGTCATCCTTAAAAGTTTTAGTGGATATTAACTAGTAACTTATGAAGATGGTTTTGGAAATGGTTTATTTTCTAATACTTCTACAGTAATTGGACAATTTAAGGAGACCGTCAACTACATTTGACAAATTATTCATGAAAAAAATGTACTTTACCATTCAGAAATATAGAAATATCAAAACAATACCTGAAACATGTTTTCTATATATATCTTTCTTGCTCTTCAGTTAATGTATTGAGAACTATTTCAACAGTGAAAATAATTTGTTATTTTACTTTCCTTTCATATGAACTTAAGTTTAAAACATAATGATGTGATTTGTAGCATGAAGATAAGAAAGGGAATATATTTAGTTTAAATGAAGAAGAAGACCTAACTCATTATGGTCAATCATTGTCTAATATAGAGAAATTTGATAATCCTGAGATTAGTGATGACGAGGAGGATGATGATGATCTAAAAAGACTGCGGGGTAAGAAAGGAACTTGACACAGCAGTGAAATAGCTCAAGTCAGCAACAAGTTGAATTCTGCTAGACGATAAGGTGCCATGGGTTCAATTGCTTTTCAAGGAGGACTTTATGGATGACACGGTTAACCCCTTTTACAAAGTTGTTATGTCATATCGCTAAGAGAAGGAAAAGGACCAATCATATTTATTTATCTAGGATTTAAAATTTCATCCTGTTGATCACTGCTTCTGTAATTATGACTCTACTGAAATCTACAATTGGTATATGATGTAGGCGTACATCTTGTTCAATTTATTATTATCAATTTATTCCATCCACTATGTTGATTTTTAAGGGATAAAGAGGCAACTGTCTTTGAAAAATAACTGTCATTTCTTCAATCTACTGTACTTTAGGTATCATATTATTTCATATTTTGATTTCAGCAAAGATTGTGGCAGAAGAACATTTTGGTGGCTTTTTAACTAAGAAATCTGATGAAGAAACAGAAAAATCCTTTAAAGAAAAAATGGAAGAAGTTGTTGCCCTGTCGAAAAAATACAAGGTAGACTTTTGGCTATGTGTTCAGTTTCTTGGAGCTGAGGGTCCAAAGGCAAAAGTGCATAGGCACATGACTCCTTTGGAGGGAATGGGGGGGTTCTCAAAATCTTGCCTTATCAACTAATGAGATTATCATATTTCTTAAAATCTCTATTTTATCTTATTGACAAGCTTTTTTACCTTAACCTATACATGTACTTAGTTAACATTTTGTGAAACCAGCCCCAATCTTCAAGCTGTAGGATTTGTCCCATCAAGTTTTTATACATTTCATTGTTTAAGGGAAAAGTTATTCTACATTAATGTTAGTTTATTCCTTTCTTTTTATAATTTATTTTCTTTAATATCTTTTTGTGTTTTTCAGTTTGAAAGACAATCTGATAAAAATGAAAGAATTGAAATGACAGAACAAGCTGATAAAGAATACAAAGAATTGTTACCATTACTTGCTGGAATTACTGTAAGTATCTTTATCAAATCGTTCATTTCCCAATTATCTGTTTAAGAGAACCTGTTTCTAGACTTGATCAGAGTCTTAAAAAGTCTTTATCAAAATTTAACTTCGCTTTCATTAAATCTATTCTGGTGACTTTTAAAATTGAGTATGATGAGTTCAATTATTCATAGTATTCAAAATGGCTTGAACAATTATAAATCTTAGGAAAATAGTTTTCCATTCATTGATATTAGTTTCTTGGAACTATCATTTATGGTAGTTTTTATACGCCCACATCTCTCTATGTGGGCGTATATGGCTGTGGTCCACTATCTTTAATATTTCACGAAACAGATTCAAATATTCAAACTTGAATTAAAAGCTAATTGATATAGTGAAAACTAAGTGAAAGAATATTGGAATCCAAGCCTCTAACTTTTATTCATTTTAATAGAAAAATAAATTACCTAATGAGAAAGAAGAAGAACCTAGGAAAAAAGTTGATGATTATGATATAGCTGTCAGATCTCTACAATTTGAAGCTAGGGGAAAGGTAAGTTCAATTTCAGCATTATTTCAGGTTGAACATAACATTAAATTCTGTATATTGTGTCTAAAACTAACGACTACATTATTAACAGTTTTCCATTAACATGTACCTCTTTTTGCTATATATTCTCATGTTTACCCCTTCATCTTCATCTCATCTGATGAAGTGTAAACTGTATTGAAACGTTATACCATAATAGTCCCTCTTATTTTTTGCTTTATGTTCTCTCCGTTTCTAAATATCGTCCATTACCAGTTTTACTTTTGTTGGTTATTCTTAGACAATATGTGAATGAGACTAATAGATGTATTATAAGCTAAGATGTACTTTGTTTTTTTTTGGTTTTTAAGTGATAAAATCTTTGGTGTATTGTAGGCTACAGATAGATTAAAGACAGATGAAGAAATAGCTAAAGAAGAGAAAGAGAGACTAGAGAAATTAGAGGCTGATAGATTGAGACGTATGAAAGGTATTATAGATGATGGTGGACCACAGATAACTCATGTTTCAGCTGACGATCTTCATGATGGGTAAGCTATTTCATTAAATGTTAGACATCTCTGCTATAGGGTTGAGTCAAAAAACTTATTGGAAAAATTGGCCTTTTGGCCATTGGCCTTTTTGGGGAGTGCTCATTTTATATTTTCTTTATTTTTTTTTTAGGTTTAACTTGAATGAAGACAAGAAAGATAAACAGAGAGCTAAACAATCAGTACATTTTAAAGATGGAAAGTTGGCAGGTGGGGATGATATACTGGGTGATGGAGAGGAGGAGGACATTGATGAAGATGAGGATGATGAAGAGGGAAGTGATAATGAGGACAATGAAGATGAAGATCAAGAGGATGGAGAAGGTATTATTTTCTATGATTCCTTTGTTTTTTACAGGGCATAATGATTTATTTGTAGGTCGAAATTTTTTTTAAGTTTAAGTTACTTCCCTTAACTGTTACCTCCAGGTAGTTTCAGATAGACAATACTATGGATTCTATGAAATTGATATCTTTTAGATGAAGAGGCTAATAATGATGATGATGCCAGTAATGAAGATAATGATGATGATGACGATGATGATAATGATGCTGAGGAAGATGATTACAGTGATTTAGAATCAGAAGATGAAGATGATACAGAGGAGATGCCGCCAGAGCTGAAATCAAAATTAAAATCCATTTTGAAAAAGACTGGAAAAATTGCGGAAAAATCTTTGAATTTTAAGGTATTTGAATTGATTGTGTGCCTCTTTATTCCTAAGTTACACCTATTGTGTTCTATCAAATCATTAATGTTGCATATTGACTGCTTTACCTTTTCACAATTACTCTATTATGAATTAGGCTCATATAAAAGTTATAAAAATTTTTATTTGATAGGAAACAAAAGAAATTATAGAAACTGCAAAAAAAGAATTACCATATACTTTCCCAGGTGAGTAATTGAATTTTAATTACACATGAGATCCCTTGCTGACTGATTTACTATGTGTTTTATATATGCTCTCATGAAATATGTAGCATATACTGCCGACATGACATCTTCCACAACACATCAGATAGGCACGAAGTTTGATGAAACTTGGTGAAAATTTATGACACATTCGGATGAAATTACTAATTATCACTTAAAGAAGTTCTGAAAGCAGTTAAATATATCATACTTGTGCTGGTTACCTAGCTGCCAAGTATTCTTATTTGAAACAAAGCTGCCAGTGGGTGTATATTACCTTTCCTGGCAAGCCATCTTCTTAATGTATTCAGCAGGCTATTTCAGAAGAAGAAGACTATTTTATCATCATTGTAAATGAATAATGGTAAGTTAAATGATGCTTGAATATAAATCACATTCAATATTTATTTACTTATTGTTTTTTTGTCACAGCACCAAAATCTTACGATGACTGGTTAAATACAGTAAATGGTTTAAATACTGCAGATCAAGTAGTTGTTATAGATAGAATACAGAAACTATATCATCTTAGTCTCGGACCTGGTAATAAGGAGAAACTGGAGGTTAGTTTGGCTTAATGCACAACTTCATCTTATGAGTGAAAACCCCAGAATTATTACAGCTGGGCCTTTTATAATACCAAATTTTGTTAGTTTAATTCTTCTAAAGTAAAGTTTGACTATTGAAGCCTTGGTTATCCTACTAGGTATAACAAGCTTTTTGCATGTATATATTCAATTACTGCTGTTCTATCCCAACAGCGAAAAATACTCTTCTCTTGTTAGGTTGGAAATAACCCCTAATGGGCACTAATGGCTTTTGTCAGAAATATCCTTGACAATTTTATTGATGTGAAAGATATTAATTTTAGTAATCAAAATTTGTACAAGCAATACAAATCCATTAATCAGAATCAAGAGTAAAAATTGTAAATAATGTTGTAAAAGTTAAATTTCTAAATAGAGGGAATATTTTCATTCTTTCAGACGTTTCAAGGAATCTTAGTGCAATATTTTGGTGATTTAGCCCTACAAGATCCACCTGAATTAGCTCTAATGAATAAACTAGTACAGCCAATATTCAACCTGACTAAGATTTCACCAGACAAGGCTGGTGAGGTGTTTCAACAAGAAATAATGAGCCGACAAGAAGAATTCAGACAAATTACAGAAAGAAAACATGGTCGTGGATTATTTTTAGGCATTGATACAGTAAGTTTTTGATGTAAATTGTTTAAGATGTTAGATTGAAACATTTGTTGCAGGTTTGGTTCTTTGATACTAGATAAGAAGTGAAAACATGTAAAGTGAAACAAATTTCATCCACATTAAATTAAACTCCAGACTTAAGGCAGCTGAAATTTGACAATTGATGTGATTTTGATAGATTGACATTTGAATTAAACTTACACATATTGTACATGTGATTTACTATATTACTTCATATCAAATTATTGTCCTATTTTAAAGTTGCAAGAAACCGGCTCAGTTTTATATCTTCTATGGATATTATTATTTTCAGTTATTAATGTTAAAGTTGATATCTGTGATATTTCCTACCTCTGATTTTCAACATAAAGTCACCACTCCATCTCTTATGTTTATGGCCCAGATGTTGGCTCAGGTATGTCTTTCATTTATTTATGTCATTGGTGAAAATTTAAATCTCTGACTGCAGCATTTATTTTTGTTTTATTTATTAAGTTCCATTTCTAAACTAAAACAAATTTGCAAATACTATGAAGATAAAGATAGTAATACTGTAACATACTTATTGAAAGAGATTGTCAGATACTCACTGAGTAGCAAACTATATTATAATGTTATGAATGATGATATTAAACTGCGTTTGAGATAGCTATGTCATAAATGGTTAGTTTTAGTGGAATAGTAAGAAACTATTATAGACGTCTGACTGAAAATTGAATGATGCAATCAATACTATTAGTCTCCCCAATAGACATAAAAAGTTAACAAAACAGTGAGATGGTATAAACAGTAACATGATTGTACTATAATACTAGATATGACAGTAGTCTATAATATTTAGATTTATATTTCAGACACCTGTAAATAATGAAAGAGATATTGTTTATGGTTTATTTCTCTGTAATTTATGTTTAGAGGTAAGAATTCTATGGTTTTACTCAAAATAGTGATTTTGCTCTTTTTGAATTCTCGAACTTAGCAGGGTATATGTAAATGAGACTAAGGGTCTATTTTGATCTGCCAATGTTAACCAATCATGTTGCTATATTGTAGTATGTTAGTTGTTCTAAAAGATTTATACCAGAAGTCATTAGTTATTTACATGGTATCTTATTTCTCGCTGCAAATAAAAATCCTAAAAAATGTAAGTAAAATGTTTATGAAACTGCAGTATTTAAACCAATCAGAAGATGTGTATGTATCAGTGAAATTGTTTCAAGATTCGGATTCTAAATTACAGAGTGCATATCATAGAACAGATCTCAGATGTGCTTTTACACAACCTTCTCCACAATATCAAGCTATTAAAAACTTACGACTCTAGGGAACAAAATCAAAACAAATCCATATTTTGATGAAAATCAATATAACCAAACCTTTACGTTGACCCTGTATTTTACAGTAGAGAGAGTATTTCCACCATTTAAACCAGTAGGAGATAATATAAATATGTTAAATATCAACTCCACTGATCTCAGGTAAGAAATAGAGTTTAATCTCATCATTAATCTCAACTATCACTTGTCAGTCAGAAAAAAAAAACTTGGGATAATCTCATATGATAAGTATAGTTTATATCCTGGAATGATTCCAAACATAAATACAAACAGATCATTTTATTTTGGGACAGAATGAATAGTAGTTCAAATTGTACAAACTAACTTACATATTGTTGAGAACTATTTCTTCAAGCTGAAAATAATGTGGACTGCTCTTGTTCATGGTTTGATATGAACTGGGTCTTGTCAAAAAAAGAATTTCTTTAACTAAACCTCAAAATATAGTGGACTTCTCTTGATTATGTTTGTAATTGGACCCAGATGTGCATGAATATATTTGATGTACTATACCTCAAATATAGTGGACTGCTTTTGTTTATGATTAAAATGTGTGTGAACGTCTGACTCTACATTATTATTACACTGTTCATAATTTTATAGAAATGGGTATACATGGTCACAAATTTGCATTATCTTAATCATAACACTGAAAGATATGAAGGCCTTGTTAGTTGATTAGGGTTATTATAGGCTCTGTTCAACACCATAATAGAATTACCTCCCCTTATAAATGATGTACATACATGCAGACTTGTCACAGATTCTGAATATTTCAGATAATATTTTGCTTACTTTTTCAGTAAATTGAAACCAGGCCAGTTAGATTTCGTCCACATTTTAGCGAATATTGCAACCATTAAAAGCTTAAAACAGAATGATATCAGGTATGTTATGATATATTTTTGCAATTTTACTGTCAGTAATATGATTTGCGCCCTGTCTGAACAAAAAATCAAAAAGTTGGCATAATGCAAACACAATTCACAGTGACAATATAGCAAATTCTACAACTCTACGAATCCCACATGTAAGCTTTGTACAAAAATTTTTCAATGCTTATCTTTATATCTGTGTATATGTATTATTGCAGGCTAAATATGATATCAACAACTATAGAATTATTGATAAAATACAGTGAATTATATGACCAACTACCATCATACAGTGAAATATTTCATCCTATAGTCACCATGATAAGTAAATTACCATCAAAATCATACCCTACATTACTACAGGTATATACCCTTTTTAAATACCCAAAATATTAAGCTAACTTGACATGGCAGAGATAGCACAAGAGGTTGATGAGGTTTTACTTTAATCATATTTCTGTGTGCCATTTGTTGTTCCTGTATATTAGCAAAGCTTGATTTTGGCTCACTATTTCTACAATCCAGATATAACTTAATACAAAATTGTTAAAGTCTCAGACAATCAACGATTCTACCACAATATTGTTAAAATTTGTGGAATGAGTTTTCAGTTGGATTAATATGCTATAATCTATTTATTGATAATTATAGGAGAAAATCTCACAATTAGAGTCTTCAATAGAAAATAAATCTTCTAAACCAAAGAAACCTTTACAAGTCCAGAAAAATAAACCTATTCCTTTGAAAATGTTTGAACCTCAAGTGGATGAGAAGTAAGTTTAAATTGGATTTTTATTCATAGAAAAAAGAAACTATTGAGCTCTAAATATGCTCCATTACGAACTGTGTACTATACCTTGACGGCAATACCAACCTTTTATCCTCTTGTATCATGGAATGCAGCTAGTTGAATAGATTGTACGCCAGCTAATCAGAACCCTCAACAGATAGACTATAAACTCTATGGCTTATTGTTTACAGTCTTTCTGTCGAGGACTCTGATTTGCTGTATTAGAAAATGTACAATCCAACCAAAATGCTGCATTTACAAACTTCAGTGATACAAGTCATGGTATAAGACAAAGTTGGTAATACCTTGATAATTGTGAAGATGAATGTTTTGTTGAATTGTTATTAATAGTCCTGATTATATTGTAGATGGACAGGTAAAAGAAAGAAATGTGGAGGAACAAAGGAATTTCAGGATACTCAGAAATTATTACATAAACATAAACGTGAATTAAAGGGAGCTGTTAGAGATATCAGACGAGACTCTCAGTTCTTAGCCAGACATCAACTTAAAGAAACCTTAGAAAAGTAAGTGACCTTTTCGTTATGAAATACTAGCTCACTTATGATTGATATACTTCATCATGTGAAAAGTTTATAGGCTGCCACCAATGTGTTGTTTTCAATTACAGCATTTTGGACTGTTAATGGTTTATTATTTCAATTTTCTATTTTGCAGGGATGCTGAGAGAAAACGAAAAGTAAAAGCCTTGTATTCTAGTCTAGCCAATCAGGAGGGTGAAGTTAGAGCTTTGAAGAAAGTCAAGAAGAAATAGCATGTTAGTTTTGCTAGATTGTAAATATGTACAGATGAATATACAAAATATCAAAATTAGAAAACTAATTATAAAAGTTGTTTTAGTAAGCTTATAGAGGAACTTCCTGATTTTTTCATTTATTGTCTTGAAATCAAATATTTTTAAACCAATCAATCGCTATATTTATATCATGTGATGTTTAAAATGGCTGCTTCTGCTATATTGTGTAGGGTGAAACAAAACACTTGTCTGCCAATAGAGTTACGCCCCCTCCACTATAGTATGTCAAATGGCAGATACATTTAGGATAGAGGTAAAACTTTTTTATTACTGAAAGCTCTTAATATTTAAGTAATTGTTCAACATTTGCAAGGCAGCTAAAGGTTTATCTGTAGGGACCATATGACCAGCACCTCGAACTGTCACAAGATCCAAATTTTCAAACTGCTTGACAAATCCTGCAACTTGTTTGGTGTCATCAGCTGCCATGTAATACCATTCCATTCTGCCAGCTACGACATTGAGGTTTAATCTCTCTACAAACCATTCATCACCTAGGAAATTACATGCCATATCAACATCCCCATTGTACACCAGGACTCTTTTCTTGGCTGCCAGAACTTTCATGTATTCAGCAGACATGTCTTGATAGGTTGAAATGTAATGAGCGCTAACATCTTCGCTGCAGGTTGACCATTTCTGAACCACAGAGGGAATATGAAGGACTTGTCGAGTTTGCTCTGTATTCAAATAATCAGCAACATTGGTGGCATTGATGCATGGTGGATCTAATTGGAGTTTATTCAACTTAGCCAATATTTTGTTTGCTTCGAATTCTTTTTTGACGTGTTCTACTGATGAAAATAACCAACCAAAATTATGGGAAACTACTTTCTGTAACTGTTGATTGAAAGTTAAACCGCCAGAGGGAACTCCACCAGCACACTCCCCATATAGATTGTATTCGTTCAGACCACTATTATAGATAAGTTGGCTCACTTCAGTGACATAATTCCTGCATTCTGAACTGCTTCCTTTAGTAAACATACACTGCCCACTGTAGTTGCCATTACAACAAGACTTAATGAGTCCATGCCATGTTTTAGCTCCATAAAGACCATGATAGTAGCCGAAATAGATCAAAGAATTGTCATTGAGTTCATAGTTCGACAAACCATTTCCAATAACCATTCCTTGAAAATTAATATCTGTATCATCTACCACTAGAGCACTCAGAGTTGGTACGTACACTCCACCATAGCTTTCACCAGTTACATAAAAATCATGAGAGGAATATTCAGGATATTTCGAGAAGAAATCTTTGAGAGCGAGGTAGTTATCTTTCGCCACTTGATCATCATTTATAGTGTAGTTTCGGTCATCAGAATACGAGAAGCCCACGCCAGCAGGTGCTTCCAGATAGATCATATTAGCAAGTAGATTCCAACTAGCATTATTATAATATACTGTTTTACCATCATCCATGATTCTAAATGGCCCATGCTCTGTTAACAAACCCAACACAGAGCTACATCCAGGCCCACCATTCATCCATAAAATTAAAGGATCACTTTTGGGATTTCTCTGTGATTCCACAAACCAATAATGTAATTTCTTAGTCCCTGAAGCCTTCAGGTATCCCGAGTATTGCTTGAAATTAGGTTGAACTGCTAAACCAGGCAATTCTGTAATCATATCTCCTGGCACTGCTGCATTGGTAATTCCAAAGATTGCAAGACTTGCAAGAAAAGCTATTGCCATCATCTTGCAGCTCAACAAAGTCAATTAAAAAAAAACCCTGTTTAAACTGTATTAGTATTCACTCTAGCCCGTCTATCCCACTATCAGTATAAATGGGTGTTAAACATGTGACTGGTCATACGACCTATCACCTTTGAAATTGAATTTCACACAAGATGAGGCAAGATAATATTCATTATCATAGATATTGTCTTTCTGGCTTTCCTCTCATATATCTTTGTATTTACATGAACTTTAAAAATCTTAAATATGAGTATAAAAATCGATAAATGTGCATTTCCTGTTACATAACCTGCAGAATAACTGTAACATGTATGGCCCATTATTAAAATCGCTGATCTGTGAATTGTCTATTTAATATTGTATATATACCTAGCCTAGTTATAATTCTATATCGAAAATGTGACCATAGAGACCCCCTCCCCCCACTCATACACACTTTAAAATCTTTTACATAGGCCTACATAGTGAAAGAAGTGCCTGTCCTTCCCCACATCCGGCCCCGGAAAATTTTGTGGCCCCCTGCTGGATCCCTCCTAATGTTTCCAAGAAACGCCACTGATGACAAAACCTGACATAAGAAATATAATTATATAGGCCTTAGTCTATATATTATTTTGGAAGGAAAAAATATTCATGGCTAACATAGGCATGGAATTGCATATTAAGGTATATTAGGCTATAACATAGAGTTATTATATAATACCAATGGGTTATGACAATGTACCGCTATCTATAACAATAATGTAATCGAGTGCCTGGTTAATCAAGAGTGCCAAGGTCATTTCAGGAATTTTTTGGCATGCGAATCAATTTCTGCATTTGTGCAGTCTTTGTTGTGTCGATCGGGTAAATATCATAGCTGAAAAATGGCAGAGTATACTTTGGTTCTAATTCGTCACGGTGAGAGTGAATGGAATAAGAAAAATCAGTTTTGTGGTTGGTTTGACGCAGATTTATCTGAAACTGGTTTGACAGAAGCGAAATTAGCCGGACAGGTACCCGTCACATTGTTCTTTTTGCAGTGCCATTCCAGTTTTTCTCAGTATAGGCTATTGTTATCATTTAAGTTGTAACTCCTTTATTATTCTTTTTCAGCAGATTTTCTTCGCCCAAGCATGACTTTTGAACAGAAAATTAAATAAAAAAATCGTCTGCTATGATAATTTAGTTAGAGGTGAAGGGTCAAGGTCATGGTATCATGTTAAGGTCAAGGTTACATGTGACTCCATTGCCAAGTCTGAAAAATTACTTCAAGAAGATTTGCAAATATCGCTTGTTTTCTACAATTCCAATGGCTGCTGAATATACCCTTGTACTCGTTAGGCACGGTGAGAGCGAGTGGAACAAAAGCAACCAGTTTACTGGCTGGTACGACTGTGATTTAACCGAGAAAGGGGTGGCTGAAGCCAAATTTGCCGGAAAGGTACCATTTGACCTCCAATTTTTGTTGGTGTTTTTCCCAACTAAGCACTGGTATTTTTTTTGTTGCTTCATGATTCATTATTTATAGATCAAAAGTATGATAAATAGTTATAAAGACACAATGGTCATTTAGTAGACTTTTAGTCAGTTAACAGTTACTTAGATTTCATAATATTGCAATAGAACATATGATCTATTTTACAGGCTTTAAAAGAAAAGGGTTACACCTTTGATGTGGCTTTTACCAGTGTATTGAAAAGGGCCATTAAAACATTATACTTTGTCCAAGATGAGTTAGATCTTCACTGGCTTCCAGTCCACAGGCATTGGAGATTGAACGAGAGACATTATGGAGCTTTACAAGGGTTAAATAAAGCTGAAACAGCTGAAAAATATGGTAATGAACAAGTCCATGTAAGTTTTAGACAATAATGGGCTTGGTGCTTTTATAGTCTTCTATACTCTTACTATAATTAAAGTTTTTAAGAAATTACCTAAGCTTATATAGTGATTTATAACTTCCATAAGGTCACTGGGACAAAATTTAAAAGATAACTGAAATTATCATTAAAAATAAGCTTAAAATAAGGATTAAAAAAATGGTTGTAACTTTGTCTGTATGCAAATATACATGAGCTTATACCCTAATAGTAATACTATTTTCCTGTCAAATTCATGTTTGGTGAGTCTTGTGGTTATGTCATAGACATTTTACAGAATTCTAGGATTCTATACCTATATTGCCATTGATTCAGATTTTTGAAAATGAAATAGTCGGATGCATATAGTGCCTATAAGTGCCCTCATTCAGTATGTACTACATAGCCATTTGACTTCTCAATTTGTGCTTAATATATAGTGTAGTTTATTGTGTAATGTATTTATTACAGATATGGAGAAGATCCTATGATACTCCACCCCCAGCATTAACCCCTGATGATGAGAGATGGGCTGGTCGAGACAAGAGATATGCTGTAAGTATTTAAGTATATTTCTTTTGCAGTATATGTGAATTTGTTTACACTTTAGGCCCATATGAAGATGAAAACTTTGTTATTAATTTATGACAAATATCTTGTAGTAACACCTTTGACTGTAAAATAGCTATCAGAGAAACATTTAAATTGAATCAAATACTGTAACCTCCTCCTCTCGAGTAAAGAATGAATAATCCTTAATATTAAGCAAAAATAATAAGTGCAGCCATGTATTTTGATTGCCTGAAAAAGACCCTCAAAGTGGAAATTTGTTGATTATTTCAGGATTTAGACAGCAGCTGTGTACCTGCCTGTGAATGTTTAAAAGATACAGTGGCTAGAGTTTTACCATATTGGTATGATAATATAGTTCCTGCTATCAAGGTATGCTATTATGTGATAACTGAATAAGTTATCTTACACTAATACATCTCTAATATTAACATGTAAATACAATATTAGGTTTTGGTCCATTTGTCCTTAGACATTTTGACATATCAAAGAGTAAATTTAGGGGCCATTTTGACTATTTTATTTGGGGCCATTTGGACTAATATTGACTTGTAGCCATTTCAGTTAAGTGCCAAGTTGATTATAACCCCCATGCTCTTGAGTCTACAGTTTTTAGATAGAACAATGTATGACTTGAAATAATCCAAAAGAGAAATCTATGTTGAAATTTTCGCAATTTCAACAATTTTAGTGGGTTTTGTGCTTTTAGAGCGCAGAAGTAAGGTTTTGTGTGACCAACCAATTAGGTGCACTCTTATGTTATCTATCACTTACTTTTGATAAAGTGATGTTTGTAGTAAATCATTTATCATTGTGTATTTCAGTCTGGAAAGCGAGTTGTAATTTCTGCTCATGGTAATAGTTTAAGAGCCTTGGTGAAATACCTGGATAATATGACTGATGATGCTATATTAGCTCTTAATATACCTACAGGTAAGCAGGGTAGAATTATTATGTTTTTCATAGATCTGTTTCGGGCTGACCTATTCTTATTTGGTCATTTGGATATGATAATTAGATCTCTGTAATGATGGTCTGAATGATGTTAATGTTGAATGTAGGACTGTGTTTACTAATGAGTAGACGAAAATCCTTGTATTTCCATGTCCATTCATATGTCCAGTTGTTTCATTTTGATAAAGGATCCTTTATTTGTAATATTGTAATCTTTCAATTATTACTTAAATGATGGTTATCTCCCTTGCATTGTAGGTATCCCTTTGGTGTATAAACTAGACAAGGATCTGAAGCCATTAGAACATTTCTATGTAGCAGATGAAGAAAAAGTTAAAGCAGCTATGGATAAAGTAGCAAATCAAGGAAAAGCTAAATAAATCTGTGAACAAATATAGGGAGGGATAGTTTTACAAACTGCGAGCCTACACAATCTACTTTCAAACCAACATCAGGTTGGCAGAATAGTATAGCTATCTTTCAGTTATTTTTGTTACTATTATTTGTAATGTGTAACTCTTGTGTCTGTTTTTAATATTTTGTTTTCCAACACTAATATACCTGTCATAGATTTAGTGTTGAATAATGGTATTTTGAAGGTCGTCTGAATATCTGATGATTTTGGGTTTTGCAACATGGCATGCCACTTTGACTATGGCTAAAGCTTAAAAGTTTCTCTAACGGTCTTTTGTGAAGACTATATTCTTTTGTTACTACCGGTATTTGACCAATACAATCACTATTGTAATTAAAATTTAGAATTAAGACAATGTCAATGAAACTAATTGTGAATTAGAGTTCTCCAAATTAAAAACCAGAGCATTGGGATCATATTGTTACATGATATAATATGATTTCGATTGATATTAGAACAGTTGAATAATCATCTTTTTATGTCAGAGGGACAAAGCATCTATGGATCTTTTTGAGTCTTGTTTGGTTCAATCTCATCTTCCTGTTCTCTTAGACAGGTCATTTAGAATAGTACATGATGGAATAGTGTTATATAAAGATTAGTTATGTATCTATACAACATTTGATATGTATTTATAAACAAAAAAATACAAAAAAGAATAGAAGGAAAGTTCTTCAAAAACATAACAAAGCATTTGGTATCTAATAAATATACATAAATTATGTACATCAACTTTGAAAAAGAATACATTTAAATGTTAGTAGAATTTGAGATAGACATTAGTAAGCTTTGGAAAATCTTCAAGACAGGATTTATGTATGATTTAAGTTTGGTATTAACAACAATTTCAAGTTCACTTTTCACTAAATATTGCTCTAGTCTTAGATCTATGTACAAATACAATTAAACTGAAGTCACAAGGCAGTCATTTTACTGAAACTGATAAATATATAAATGCAAGTACTGAGATTATCAAAATATTACAAATATGTGAAGCATCTTCAGGATGAATGAAATTTTTGGCAGGCAATATGGACTAATTTTCATTTTCTATTAAGCAACAGTCTACTACATGTAGTTGTTGTCAGCATCTATATCCTTAAAGAGTATACTTGTATAATAGAATGGAATCTATAAATTATAGACCTGTTTAGGATTGTTGTTATTTCTAACTTATTTATTCAAGAATATATAGTTTTCTGTGCTACTCTTGTTTGCTTTTCTTAAATAAAATGAGCTGGTATCTCATAAAAATTGATGAATTTTTAGGGGTCATTTCTGGAGCTGGTATGATCGAGTCCAATGGTTCTCGCATAATCGTCAGAATGAAGCCATGACCAAAAGATGATAATGAACATATGGTTAAAAATTTGTACATTATTGAACAATTCCCCCCCATTAGTAAATCAAATCAAATATTAATTGACTTCCCTCGTGTACATGGAATAAATAAATAATAAGCAGATACAATTCACAGGTTAGTGTCACGTAAAGGCATAAAAAAGGGTCACATTTAGAAACGATTTGTGACAAATTTAGAAATTAATTGTGACGTATAGATGTAAATAACGTCACATTTAGAAATGTAAAAACTCCACATCCGTCACATTTAGAAAATAATGTGACATATATAAATGGTAATAACATCAAATTAAGAAACTAATTGTGACACAATATGTAAATAAAACACAGTAAGAATCTAATTGTGACACAATATGTAAATAAAACACAGTAAGAAACTAATTGTGACACAATATGTAAATAAAACACATTAAGAAACTAATTGTGACACAATATGTAAATAAAACACAGTAAGAATCTAATTGTGACACAATATGTAAATAAAACACATTAAGAAACTAATTGTGACACAATATGTAAATAAAACAAAGTAAGAATCTAATTGTGACACATGTCAATAAAACACAGTAAGAATCTAATTGTGACACAATATGTAAATAAAACACAGTAAGAATCTAATTGTGACACAATATGTAAATAAAACACAGTAAGAATCTAATTGTGACACAATATGTAAATAAAACACAGTAGAATCCAATTGTGACACATGTAAATAAAACAAATTTAGAAATTAATTGTGACGTATAGATGCAAATAACGTCACATTCAGAAATGTAAAAACTCCACATCCGTCACATTTAGAAAATAATGTGACATATATAAATGGTAATAACATCACATTAAGAAACTAATTGTGACACATGTAAATAAAACACAGTAAGAATCTAATTGTGACACAATATGTAAATAAAACACAGTAAGAATCTAATTGTGACACAATATGTAAATAAAACACAGTAAGAATCTAATTGTGACACACGTAAATAAAACACAGTAAGAATATAATTGTGACACAGTTTGTAAATAAAACACAGTAAGAATCTAATTGTGACACATGTAAATAAAACACAGTAAGAATCTAATTGTGACACATGTAAATAATGGCATAAAAACTAATTTTGACATATAAATGTAAATAACAGCACATTTAGTAACAAAATGTGAATTATAAATTGAAAAAAAAAAACAACACACTGAGAAACTAATTGCGACCTATATGAATCTAAATAATTGCACATCTAGAAAAGCTGAAAGAATCATATAATTATCTCATTATCTAGAGACAGAGGGGTGTACACAATCCTGGGCTGAATCTTGTCCCTCTAATTGGTCCCATTTATGAATTAAATGGCACTGTATTCACGGACTGAACCTCAAGCACGTTATATAAAATGCGGACAAAATATATGATGTGGTGTGGAAAGAGTGCAGAACGCTATCCTCGCCAAATATAAATGGGAAATATCACTTATGTTTAGTACGCAACAGTGTCTCGGAGCTTGATAACCTCATGAAGCCATGTACGTGCTGAAATATATCACCAAGAAAAATATACAAGCATAAAGAACTATGGATATTACTGTTCCCAAGATGAAACATATTGTACCTCGTCGACCATATTTTTGTGCCATGATGTCATTTCCCCGTCGATATTCTTTATCCGACATTTCCATGAACTTTACGGCTGGCATACAACAGAAAAACACGAAGTAAAAACAACAAGCACACCAGAATATACTGTGGATTTTGTGGTTTATTCTGTTGTATGGATTTGGAAGTATGCTGGCAGAAGACGCCGAAGACACTGTTGCTTCTAGTGGAGACTTCTTATTCATATTGATTCCGGATGTTGAAGGATGTCCCCCACTTTCCATGAAGACATCATCTGAATGGCAGGAATCACGCGAAGTCATTCTACTCAACTTTCTCTGGGTTTGCGAGGGATAGTAAGATTCCGAGAAGGACAGTTTTCCAAAGTCCACAGCGCCATCCATGATTTCTGAGATGCTCGACAGTCTACGTGCTTGATGATGAGTTGGTATATCACTGCTATTGCTAGAAGTTCTATAACGATTGTTGTAGGAAGGATGCCTTTCCACTCCAGGATGTTCTGTTTCATTTGACATCATTGTTAATCTGAAAAAGAAGCATAATATAACAAATCTATTCTAAGTTTACACAAGAGTTACAAAATTTTAAGCAAGGATCTTAGAAGTTTATCCAGGACTATTACAAGTTTATCCAAGACTATTACAGGTTTATCCAAGAGACTTACAAGTTTATCCAAGAGTCTTACACCGCACCGGACACTGTACCTCGTCTATTACCACCTTGACAAGTGTGTCCAAGAGTTTTACAAGTTTATTCAAGAGTCTTATAGGTTTATCCTGGAGCCTCATAATTTTTTCCGGCAGTCTGAAATATTTACGCTAAATTAATCATAAATGTTTCAAAGTTATTTCAGAGTTCAATCAGGGTTAGGCCTTTTGACCATCCTTTTCAGAGCGATAATTGCAATAATCATTATATTTATGAAGGCAAGGTAACAACATGGATTCCCTATAATGAATCAGACACTCCAATTTTGTGTTTCTATTGAATGAAGTAAGGTTAAGTAACCCACAAGGATCGTATCTTGATAACTCTTTAAAATGATCAATATCTCTTGATATCTGTTGGTACCAACTATTTGTATCATGTTTAATAAATTGAGAGACAAATATAATATATATGATGACAATATAAATGTTATGTTGTAATCATAAATAATAACTAATATTTAGACGAGTTTATTCCTATAATTTTATAGCTGGATTTATAATATTCCATTGGTTAAAAAAGATGATTTACTCTACTCATCTCTGCAAATCCAGTTTGAAATAACTTTCTATGTAAGAAAAAATACTTAGAATCACTATATATCTCCCCACCCAAAAAAACAAAAACCACAATTACCACGTATTATCCGATACTTTCCTCAGTTCATACACTCCTTTATTACCAAAACCCTCCTATTTTTCAGGTATTCTCAAACGGTATCCTTGGGTATCAATCGATATTTTATCACTCTTCCCAGCCCTTAATATAATTGGATAAAAGACATTTTGAAAGAATTTTACCTTAAATTTCGGTGTCGCTGACTATAATATAATACAGGTAAATGTAATACTGTTATATACACAATAAATCCCGACTTAACTTAAACATGTTCTTTGGTATATAAGAAGAAAATAACTAAATAAAGAAAGTTAAAGCGTGTAACCCACACTAGTCTATTACGTCACTTTAGGGACAATCCTAGTTAGGGTGTTGATATTGCCCTGTGTATATTGATATATCCAGGCTGATCGTGTATAAAGAAACAATATAAGGGCAGAGGTTATTATTCTCAAGTTATTTTATACCACACCTTAATTTGCCTTTCTGATGGCCGATATATCGTGTGAAATATCTTATAGAAATGCATTTCATTATTATAACCAGTTATACGAGTACAAGACCCTTAGACTACTAAAAAATAACTTTAAATACACTGCACTTTTAATTTGAAAAATATACATTAGGTCCCCTACCTGCCTCTGCCTTAAAAAAATTAAAATCTATCTTTTTGAGAGAAAAAATAAGAAAAGAAACATTCATTTTTACAAAAGGATAACGACAACGGTCACGACGACCCAAACCTGAATTGTTCTTTCCCGGATTATCCGCACCCATTACAGCTGGGGTTGCTGGAATGAGGAAGATGACTTTTTTAGGGTCAAGAAGGTTCCAATGCTCTAACCCACTGTCCTCCTTTTTTTTTCTTTCTTTCTTTCTTTCTTTCTTTCTTTCTTTCTTTCTTTTCTTTCTATGAAAAACTTTACAGAATAAAGAACCATTTGGAATTATTTAACTCGCTGATTCGTGGATAATGAAGCTAATTTGCTTATATAATTTGATACGTTATGATCAACCTTTGATAATGCAGTAAAGTCGTGTAAAACATGTATCACAAGAGAGGTCTCAAATTATCACGAAGAGTTCTATGTGACGTTAATATTGACGTTGGTTTTATTTTCTTAATACCTATATAACGTCAAATCTCCTCAAGATGTATATATATATAGAATGAATAGCTCTGGGTATATTACACGACCCTGTGGGAACCCTGTAGGCCTACTAGTGAAGGACACTATATATAACATCTTTTCAGAAAAAATAGCTTCACATGTTGGAACAATCAATATGATGTATTTAAATCGACCATGATGTCCAAATCATTGTTTATTGATCGAGGTGCTCCTAGTGAACGAGTGTCTAGAGGATAGAGTGGATAGAGGGTGATTACCTTTAAAAGGACAGTTTGGAGGGGCGGAGGGGGGGTGTGGGGAGATTTGAGCGATAAACGTTGAACATAATAATGTAAATACTCTTCAGAAGTACTGGCAATGTAAGATTATCACATAATTCCTTTAAAATGCTTCAAACTAGGAATTGTACTCACAATTTGTATGTATGTCTTTTCTATGCATCACAGACTATCTTAAAATGACGAATCGTCATTGTAGGCTGATTTATCTAAATCTTGAATGGGTAAGGTCTCTTGACAAATAAATGATAACTGTCAAAGTGAGTCGAGTTGGTCAAAGTTGCAAATTAATAAATCCATTAGCCATGTTAACTTATGAAATAATGTTGCTACTAGCATGAAAAGAGCGACGAAGCGTTAATCACCATGTATACGATTAGTATGTTGGATCCAATCAGTAATTGTTTCTAAATATTTAGGCTTACATTCGGTTGCGATGGTTGAATAACGGTTTCAATGTAACTATCATTAATTGTATAAATTTCTTAATGTTTGTTCGCAGGAAGTCTTACTACGAAACATGTTCATAGTGGGACACATCTGGTTTGGTGATATCGTTTTACAAACTTACACTAGCAGTTTCATTTTAAACTTGATAGTAATACAGATTCTTGATTTACTTACAGTTACTTGTATAATAATGAATAGCAATGGCGACATGAAAAATCGAAAAATAATTAGTATGAGTTATTGCCCTTGCTATTGAAAACGTGATCAATTTTAGCTCGTAAACACTCTAGAAGGGACAACACTTGACAGATTTTAACGAAACTTGGCATGGGTGTTTGGTATCGCCCAAGATTGAACCCTTTTGAAAATCAGAAAAATCGAAAAATAATTAGTATGAGTTATTTCCCTTGCTATTGAAAACGCGGTCAATTTTAGCTCGTAATCACTCTAGAAGGCACAATTCTTGAAGGATTTTGATGAAACTTGGTGTTAGTGATTTTTATCAACCGAGGATGAACCCTATCAAAAATCAGAAGAATCGAAAAATATTTAGTATGGGTTATTCCCAATGTTCTTGAGAACGGATTCAATTTTTTACCTCGTAAACACTCTAGAAGGCACGAGTCTTGACGAATTTTGACAAAACTTGGTGTAAGTGTTTGTTATCACCCAAGGATGAACCCTATTGAAAAATCGAAAAATATTTAGTATGAGTTATTGCCCTTGTTCTTGGAAACGTGGTCAGTTTTTTAGCTTGTAAACACTCTAGAATCTTGACGTGATAATTGTTTATCACCCATGGATGAATCCTATCGATAATCACAAAAATCAAAAAAAAATATTAGTAGTTATTGACCTCGTTCTTGAAAACACTTTCAAATTTAAGCTTTTAAACAAGGTACGATTCTTGCCGAAATTTTTACAAAACTTGGTTTTATTATTCAGTATCGCCAGAAAAAGTTCAAAAGAAGTGTATGTCTGATGGTTGAATATTTCACACTGGTGATCGTTACTGTACTGCCAAATATTTTTAGTCAAAATCAAAGCTGCCAGGGGGCATATATTACCTTGTCTGGCAAGATATCTTTTAGAGAGTAGAGACCATGTATAAGTGTAAAAAATGTCGTTCTAAAGGTAGAGATTATGTATGAGTTTTTTTTTCATTATCCATGCCTTTAGGACACATTGTAGACTAATTAAATATAACATAATTTAACATGAATACACGATTGTCAGGGTCACCACATTATTTGACTTATGAAACTTCGTCTTGACGTCAATGCGCTATATTTTTGGTAAACAAAGTTTTTACAAAACTATGTGGGGGGAAAAACGGGTTTTACCCATCTATCTATTTAGGGGTATTTTCCTCCAAGTAAGTTACTAAAAATACATATTATATAGATAGTTATCACATGTTTTCCTTATACTACAAACAGAATATTAGTTGTCAAGACTGTATCCTGTTTCAGTTTACTTCCTATAAGAGTCAATGGGTCAAATTCGAGTACTTAGATCTCACTTTGTTCTGACATGGAATTTGAAGTAGCACGAGAAGCGTTTTCGGACCTGAGCACCGTTCCTGCTTGTACCAAAAACCCAAATCATGAAAAGTTTATTAAGTTTGATGAGTTTAAAGTAGAAGATTTACCAGAAGATATGAGAAGAGAAGAGATTTATCAATATATAAAGAATATTGGACTTAGAGTCGTCAGGTTAACTGTTAAAAAGGATGACGAATCTACTGTCTGGGGTACAGGCGTTGTATATAAAGCTGGAATTTATTATGGTATTCTGACGAACGACCATGTCGTAGCCTCTCAAACCGATGTCGAAAATTGTACCATAGATTTCTTTTACCATACAGAAGGGCAGCCATTGATACAAAGTAAAGGACAGGCCTTACAAATAGGATCAGCGATTCAGGATAAAAGCATCTTCACTTTTTCACCTATTCCAGAATCTTTAGAAAGAATGAAGCTGAAGGACAACTCCGACAGTTTAGCTCAGGTAACGCTCATATTTGACGATGGATCTAAAAGTACAGTTGTTGGATGTATTGCTCGGGAAATGTCTAAATGGTTTGTACTTGTTCCAAGAGATAATCAAGAACAAATTGTCGCTGTGGAGGTCGTATTTTTTGAAGCTAAGACTGGAAGAAGCTACCTTTACGAAGCTGGTTCCGAATTAATCGATGTATCAGACCCAAAAGCAGTCCAGATTGAAGTTCCAGACGACAATGTGCCACAATTTGTGAAAGATTTCACATTTGACAAATTCAAAGCTCCTTGGCCAAAGGGAAATGGTAACTTCACCCCATTAGTGATAGCCCATCCGCATGGTGGACCAAAAACTATAACAATGGGCAAGCTTCTTGATTTTGAAGATCGTGGCCGCATTGCATTGATTCATCATACAGCTGAGACGTGCCCTGGATCGAGTGGAGGGCTGTTGATAACTCTTGGTGGAGATACATCATCGTATTGTGAATTCTGTAACACAGTAGGGGTACATTGTGAAGGGCAAAAAGTAGAGGAATATAAAGGAATGAAACTTGATAATGGCAACTTGAATGTGTCGTTGTTCAATAACTCTTAAACTGTATCGTTTAAAAATATTTCTATATTTCTCAATTGATGTATTGCGCACTATTTTGCTATTTTGACAGTGAAAATATTTTTTTTATTGCAGTTATATAGTTAAACTAGAAATATTAGAACAGAATCAAAAAATGGTTGTCTGAAGATCGCATAGCGTGAAACTCTGGGTAACAATAACATGTTATTTTTAGGTTCTGTTTTAATATTTCAATATCGCTCTACGATTGAAGTATTGATCACTGTTTTACAGTGAAAATATTTCGATTTTGTAGTCATTTAACTATGTAATTTTCCAACTTCAAGCTTAAGTTATAATTGATAATCACTCGAAATCTCTCCACAGTATTCTATCTGAGTGTTTTGTCCTATATATATGAATCGTTTCATGTTAAAAAAGAGCAAACATTTCACTTTATGTTTCAAAAACATTAAGTAATAGGGTTAACTTAGTCTGAAAACCTATACTCATTACATTCAGAGTTTCTGAATAATACTCTCTAAAAATACTTAGTTTTGAATAGGGCGTAAAACTCCACTGTATTTTATTTCAATAGGATCTGGAAGTAGTTGTTGATATGTACATTTTTTGTGTAAAATCTTATTTCTTTTACCATTGATATAATAATATTTTTATGAGATTATTAAAACATTTATACATTTACTTTTTATGCATCCACATCTTTATATGTGGGCGAATATCGTCGACGGGCATCATACGCGTCCTTCCGTCAATGAATTTAGTCAATGGTGTTAGGATAAAAAGTGTCAAGATTAGGTTGTTAACTCAATGGAGGTTGGAGTTTTAAACCGATTTGGATGAAACTTATTAGTGTGGATTGATGAGATCTCGAACAATGTTGCAGTTGGCGATTTGATAATAGGACAATTTCCATATATGCTTTCTTGTTCATTAAAAAGCATCACTATTTCTCCTCTTCTGGCGTTGGTGTAAATTATCTTGCCTGACAAGCTATCATACTCGTGTGGAATGAATTAGGCTTCATCAGTCAACGTTGACTTTAACTGTGCATGATCTTAAGGAGGAAGGTTTTTACGAAAAGATACTAGTGCATATGATCGTTTTATAGAAATATTTGCTTTTATATTATCAAAATCGAAAGAGATGGGTAGTAACAGTTATCTGATCATCTTTAGAATGTCAAGGTCGTAATAGCTTGACATTGTGAAGCTGATATTTAATCGGGATATGAATATTTGTTTAATGCACCTGTTATCTTTCGTGTAATATAATCTGAATCAAATATGGAGCTGTTGTCAGCTGTAAGGAAGGGAATTAAGGGAAATGATTAAGTTAATATCCTCCATCGTTTGCAACTGTTTGAACTCCTCGCATTATATACTCTTCAATCTAGGCATTTGCCTTTATCAGCGGAACAGGCGGAGGAGAGGGGTGTTTTGGGTGTACGTGTACACTGTACATTGCACATGTAATACAAGATTGTTTATGTTTACATAAATAATAAATAACAATGTAAATTGTTGAAACTTTGTGTGCAATAAAACTAAGGGGTAGTATACCATAAGATTGTATTTTTAATGTGACTTTTACCATTATGTGTCGCTTAAGGATTACTTCTTACATCTTGGTTTAATGTCGCTATATATGTCTTATTACTTCTTACATAACCAAACACCAATGCTCAATGCTCGAGAATTTCACTACTGCACATAACGTTGAAAAAAGAAGTAAACAAATAGGTCACATTGAGTTCTATTTAGATAAATGTATTCGACAAAAATGGTGATCGTATATGAATGATTTGAGAAATGAATAAAGATGATGCTTTGAAATCAATTGGTCCTTCTGAGTGGCACATCTAGTTGGTTCATATACAATGAAACATAGGAAACGGATGCTGGTGTACAGTTTTCATCTTTCAAGAGATATGGCTCCAGGCATGCAGCTAATCGCCCGTAAGGATACCTAGAAATACATTAAACATGATATAATAGCATATTTTTTTTTTTGAGTAGCGGAGGGAGGGAGAAAACTTAAACACAACATATAGCTAGTAGTTGGCCTATTCTATACGTAAGAAATTGGGTATGTATATCATTGTTTTATCCATTTATAAACAAATCTGTCAAAAGGAAGGAGGAGAGGAGGGGAGGGGGGGGGGGGGGTGCAAAAAAAAAAACCTATACATGTAGATACTGTAGATTTTCTGCTGGAAGTTGGTTTGTATCGCACGTACGAAATTGGATATGTCTATCATCGTTTAAGGCATTTTTGTGAGCAGTATCTTGTTGTATCTTCTTGGCTGATAGACCATTCCATGTTGAGGTCTGCTTGCAGCTCCTCCATTCGTGCTGCCAATTGATGCGCTTAACTTGCGAAATTTTTTTTTTGAAGCAAAAAAATTAAGTTCAACTTACGGACAGAAATTTTTGCATCCTGCTCTGGTTCTGGTTTTACACGTGCTGGTATTGTTGTTGAATGATTCTGATTTAAAACAAGGCAAACTTTCACTGAATCCTATAAAATATTGTATCAATATTTTCAAAATTTATCTGGAACTAAATGAGATTTTAACGTCAATTGTTGGACCAGGGATTTCATTGCATTATAATTGTGATATTGTAATATGTGAGCTGTTCTGGTCAGTGACGTTTCTACGGAGGGGGCAGCCCCCCTCCCCTCACACACTCACACTTTTCAAATTTTCCATCATTTTACATGGTGAAAGAATTGCCTGTGGTCCCCCTTTTCTTGGCTCTGGTTCCACAAATCATACAACCTATTAACGGGCGCTGATCTGGGGCTTGAAGCTAAAAACAGTAACTGCAGTTGGTTGGCGTCATAGAATGTGGCTTTTTTTGTTTAATAAGTAACTGTAAGTATGCTCACCCTCTGTCGTGTCACACATCCAGTCAATCATGGCAATGGCTCGATCCATTGATGGTACAGGAATAGAACATTCCACTTCACTGTAACATTTCTTTAAGTTCTCCAAATCATTTCTAAAATATAGGTTATGTTTTTAAGGTCAATAATATAACACTATTAGATCATGTTTATAACGCCGGGTCTCCATGCTATTCTTAATGACATTTTCTGCAAGGTTATTAGTATCTTTAATCATATTGAACAATTTCATTGAGAAGCCAATATAATATATCAAACTCGTCCACTAACGCTATTTTCCTTGCCTACATGCTCGACAAATATCACATAACTACAAGTACTAGCTCAATCCTATTAACAATAAGGCAAAGGGGCGTTTGGGTGCGTTTTAAATACATAATTGAAAATACATCTCTAACGTTTGGTTGTCGTTTCATAAAAGAAAATTGTCTCCAAAAGGCCTTGAAATAAAGTCAGTCTGAAACTGTTAATAAGATGTGAATTTTTATAGAGGTAACTGAACCATCTATAAGCAGGCCCGTAGCCAGAGGGGAAAAATTTGGGCACCTCTGAAAAATGTAGATGCTTTAAATGACTTGTGTAGTCGCTGTAGTTGAGCCCCCCCCCCCACAGAAAAACTGAACTCAATTTCATATCAAAGAAAACCCTATGGATATAGTTTGCTTACCTGGAATTGAATGTGTCCAACAAAAACAAAACAAAAAGATGAAATAAAAGAGAGATTTCTCCATTGCCATGATACAGAACTAAGAACAGCTACGATTGTGAATAGAAATAATAACTAATATTTAGAATTATAAGTTTCTCTTTATATCGACGTTTTTTATCATTTTAAAAATCTTTAAAAATATGTGTAGGTATTAAACTAATACTTAAACTATTATCTTAATAACTTGTACTTCCTCAAAAGGGATTAATAAAATAAGATGGTATGTGGAATTATGCAAATACGTTTGAATATTTAAATTAATTATTTATCAATTAACCAATTCATAATTAGCTAAATAAGAAGACAATTACCAGCAAAATTCCAATGAGTGACCCATCAGGAAAGGTCAAAGTCTCTTTTGTTTATCTAGACTGTACATAGCCTAACTGAACATTTATGATTGGTTAAAACTCTTGCAATATAAGAAAATAATGATATGATTGAGAATACAGTGTAATTCATTAGAAACACCAATTAATCAAAGAGTTTGGTTTATTTGACACTAAAAAATAAAGAAACCCTTTCTCAATAAGTTTTTCCAAATTTACACATTTCTTTTATATTTAGACCATGACAAAAGTAAATGTAATAGGGATAAAGTTGTCTTAATATTTTGCTTTCCTGGTGGAACGAGCTAAATTTCAGCTGCAAAAATCACCTTTCAAAAAGAAAATTCAACTTATTTAGGGTGGTTTAGGGTGTTGAAACTATACTGCAAAGGATAGGCCATTCTGGTATGTCAGTGTAATCCAGTTGTATCTATTATTTCATATCATCGGAATTAATATAAAGTATACGTGTTGTTTGAGCTTTTTCTTTGTAAAAAGGATTATATGTCGTGGACTAAAAATAATCACATTTAATTCCTGTCAACAAAAAGGATAAGATTTAATACTCGTTTTTATTGCACTCTAGTAGGGTATAATTTATTAAAGTGATACTACGTCTTAGAATGAACATAAAATTTAATTCTCAAGAATGGTCAATATGGGTATATATTCATCGGTGAACTTACCTGGTGTCATAAAGTTACAACATAATCACTCTAAAATCTAGAAAATTTTAAAATTAATAAAACTAAGTAATTATTGAAAAACGCTCAATTATAATATTAAGCGTTTTTCAATAGTTAATTGCATTTTTATTAAGTTTTTTGGATTTATCGGATTATGTAAGGATCCTGTTATGTTCAGCTATCAAAAGGCCGTATTGCTATGGGTTTAGCTATCAAAAGGTCGTATTGCTATGGGTTCAGTTATAAAAAGGTCGTATTGGTATAGGTTCAGCAATCAAAAGGTGGTATTGCTATGGGTTCAGCTATCAAAAGGTCGTATTGCTATGAGTTCACCTACCAGAGATCATATTGCTTTCGGTTCAGCCATCAAAAGATCCCAATGGGTTCACCTACCCAAAAGTCCTGTTGCTACGGGATGCGTGGGCTCAAGGATCGATTGCTGAGGGATAAGCTTTCACCCGGAAATATTGCTTCAGGTTCAACTATAAAAAGGACTTATTTCTATGGGTTCAGTTGCCACAAGGATTTATTGCTATTGGTTAAGATGCTACAGGGACCTATTTCTATGGGTTTAGTAGCAACAAGGATTTATTGATATGAATTTTTCTATTGGGTCAGCAGCCGCCACAATGACTTGTTGCTATGGGATCAGCTGCTACAAGGACGTATTTCTATGGGTTCATTTCAAAACAAGGATCTAGTACTATGGAATCAACTGTCATAAAGAACTATTACTATGAATTCAGCTGACACATGAGACAGGGTAGGGTTATTTCTACACAAAATCTGTATAATTTAATAAAAATCAGCTATGTTCAATTCATTACAAAAAATAAGTGATATACAAAGAATAAGAACTGTCTAAGAGAGATGATATCAATACATTAAAAATCATATAATATCAACAAATTATAACAAAATGTATAAGAAACAAATCCATATTAAAAAACATTAATAAATTAAAATTAACATATAAAATTAAATAAATTATATAGAATAAAATTACAATAATTGCACTGAAAATAATCAATAAGCAATTCCCTTTCTGCTTCAAACAGGGCAGTAAAAGTCATGCTTGATAATAATATTATGCTTTTACAGTTAGTCTGATTACCTGATTACATATTTGAAGAAAACTCTTTAGGATGAACTAGTATTGTCATGGTATAAAATTTTTAAAACTAAGTCTTGACATAAACCTTGAGTCAAGTCAGTCAGAAATAGATACAATTTGTCAATAAAGATATCAATCAATGATCTCGTTCTTCTGGAGGTCTATATGGTATTTTAAACTGTTCAAATACTGATTTTTCTGTTGGTGTAGGTATTAAAGTTCCTTCATGAATTTTTTCACCACCCTTAAATTAAGCAATCAAAAACATCACATTAAAGACAAAAGTATATCTAAAGTTCTAATGAAGTTGATCGATTTTCGAAAGGTAGGACATGTTGAACTCACAACAGCATATCAAATTAATTTCAATTGTATTCATGGAAAAGAACACAATGAAATTTGTATCAAATATTGCATTAAAAGTTGTCAACTGCTACACTGCAATCGACATGTTTGTAAAAAGGTAGGGATAAGACCAAGGATCAGCCAAAAAACCAGCTAGTTCCTCATGAAAATATGATGTAATTCTCATATTAAATTGTTGCATTCTTTCATTTCTTTCTTACATAGAATTCATGTACCAACAATTTTCAAATTCTCACCTTTCTAACAACGCCATATTTTAAAGCATGTTCATTTAAGGACATATTCATCTTTTTAGCTAAATGTCTTAAAGAACGATTGAAATGAGCAGAACCAGTAAAATAAACCAAAGCACAACCATATTCATTATAAGGTACCACAATAATATCTAATCTTCTGTGCTGAAAAGGAGAAATCATTTTTCCAAGTAATTCACACAAAGAAAGAAATCAGAAATATATTATACTATGACTATAAATATAATATATTGTACATCATTTGTAGGTAACAGATTTAAAGAGATTGTAAAAAGGTTTTTCTAAATTTTATATGTGTATCGCGGACACTGATAACATCAATTTGCACCATTCCGATTTTCAATCAGACGTCTGTGATGCCTTCAATTCCACAAAAACTAATTGCAAAATATGCTTTATCACATAAGACCCTTGAAGATTAGTGATGCCATAAAACTCTTAGTCTTAGAATTGCAGGAACCACACACGCCTGATTGACTTTTGCAATGGTCTAAATTGACGCTATTCAGTAGTTTACTGTTGTCTGAGTATGAAACATTACCTTTCTATTGTCTCCCTTTAATTTACAAACACCTAAATATTTCTTCTGGTTCCCACTATCTTCAACTGATACTAGATGATCTGTTAAAAACCCTGTAATAGACATGGGGCAATTCTTAAGATACAAATTTGACATGGGTATAAGTAATATCAGTGTCTAACTGCATCTTTACACCAGTACAAAATTTTTAGCTGGTACATTTCATGCAGAATGGAGTATCATATGATATGTTCAGCTGTTTTTTGATGTATCAGAATTAATTGCTAAATCAAACTTTTGAAATTGATGTTAAAAACATACCCTGTTCTGTTAGAAGATTGATTAATTTTGAGAAAATACCACGGTGTGATTTCCCATCAGGATGTGTAATCAACACATCCACATCACCACATGTGGCTTTACCACGTCGATATGAGCCACAAGCTTGAGCTATTATACCATCTTGTAGTGATTCAGCAGCTTCACGAACCTGGCGATAGCAAGATATTCTTAAAGCATTAAGATTTTCATCAATCAAGATCAAAACTTTACTTGGGAAAGATGCCTGTGATAACGTATTTACCAGAATTAATTGTATGATTATTTGGGAAGTAGGGAATTGTGGTTTTGTGTTTGTTCTTACATTGAAATTTGATTCTATTGTTCACATTCATGCTATGGATATTTTTTGAAATGTTCCAAGCCAAGGTGTCACTTGTAATAACAACTGAAATGATATATTGATATGGACAAATTTGGAACTGAGGTTTCGTCTTTACACCAACAATATCATTATAAATAATTACCATTTTATTCTGCTTAAATTAGATTAAGTTGTTCTCATACAATACTATGGTTTTTCGGGTTTAGTTTTTTAATTTTTGAGGCATGTTACGATTTGATCTGACATTCCCTTTTAATACTATAAAAATAAAACTTACAACTTCTTCAATTTCACCAGCTTCTTCTCTGGACATTCTATCTAATATATCATCATATAGTCTCACACCTACTTTCTGTTGACTTGTTAACTTGGCTTTAGTTTTTAAATCTTCAAGAGTTCGAAATCCCTACAAGAAAATCCAGTCATGCTATTCTGTCATGCTTTTGTTGATCAAAAATAATAAAGCAATCGCAATGTAAATCTTTCTGAAATACTATGTAGAATTGTTTGAGATAACCTTCTTTTTTGTCAAATATGAAATGAAGTTTATGCCTCACATATTTAATATAATGTAGATGGAAAAGGAGGACACTGTGCGATGTTAATTACAAACAAAAAGTTGTTGAGAAAGAATGACAAGTTGTTACTGACAACTCTCAAAAGATTCTACACTTATGTTGCACACATAATCTAATTTCTGAATTATCAGAATTTATCAACTCTCTCTTATTATGTTAAACTTACTATAAGAAAAAGACACAACAAAAAAAATATACAAATTCACTGTAGCACATAGGATATATAGTTCCAGTTTCCCATTTCTGAATTATCAAAAGGTTGTCAACACTCAAGATTAACTCTAAAAATTAAGACAGTGAGCTTACTAAAAAAAATATTCAACCACAAAATTCTTGAACCATATTGATATGTTCATTTTACCTGTTGGTACCAAGCTCTGGCTGTAGTAGGACCAGCTCCCCAAACATTATTAAAAATATTCAACACTTTAATTTCTTCACTAGATTTAAACTCATTTAATTTTCTTAATTCTCCACTTTGTACAATTTCCCAAATTTTATCAGCTAGCTTTGCCCCAACACCTCTTAAATTTCTAGCTTCCTACAAAATAATGATATTTTGTTATAGATATTGGCTTCTTAACAAAAATTTCAAATATAAAACTTCTTTCCAAAGAATATAATTAGGACCAAAGAAAATAAAATCTATCTTTTCAAAAACAAACTGTATCTATATTTCCTTAATGGTTGCTTTGATATTTACTCTGATATAGAAGAATATTAGATGTTATAGTTGATTTGATAGCACCACTTTCCAGATTTCTTGGATTGTACAAAAACAAAAAATATTGATAAAATGGAATGCTATGCTATATCTTAGAATGCGGCAATCATCATCAAGTTCAGAAGGAGAAGTTTAAAAATAAAAGTCAGTGAGTTACCTCCCATGAAGAAATAGGATTAGGATGACTTCTAATAGCTTGAACTGCTTTCTGATAACCAAACGCTCTCCATTTATCATTGGTACTTTCATAATTCCTGATCATTTCCTAAAACATGTGAATTTACTTATTCATTCGCACAAACACACACCCCTTAACTAAATTTTGAAATCTTCAACACATGTGGAGTCTCATCTGTCATGTATCATTAATATCAATACTTACTACTATATGATGTATTAAATCCATAAACACTCTTTCATACATTTGAATACATGTGAAAATCTGATTAGTGAGTAATAATAAGTAATATATATCGTAGTAGGCCCACAGGTCAATAAACAGGTCTACATTCAGAAAAGTTTGACACATTTGACCCGTAAAAGCCATAAGTAGGACTTTGCCGAATTAGGGAATGGAAAAACCATGAGATCTTGATATCAAAACTTATATCTATGAGCAAACAATAATAATAATAAAATTTATTTCTGATGACAACATATTACCTCTAATTTTTCAGTGATAGCTTGATTTACATTAGGTTTCGGATTTTTTGATGATCGAGCACATGTCCATTTGGAAGCCTAAAAGAAAAAGACATCTATTGTATAAGTATCTCTATACTGATAGATATATAAATCTATGTAAATGGCATTTATAAAGATTGTTAAGAAGTTTTCTAAATTGTTTGCGTGTATCAGGAACACTGATAACATTGATTTTCACAATTCCAATTTTCATTAAGATGTCTGTTGTTCCTGAAAAATTCCACTACATAGAGTTTTATGATGTCACAGAGAAACCTACATTTTTCAGAGGGGAATTGTCTGAACTTGTACTTGGTATTTCACTACTCAGATTACTACTGCCTTCTTCAAAATCACTATCAAAACTGTCACTATCTGCATAATCACTATCATAGTCACTTTTCACTTTGGGTTTTGAATGACTATTGAACATTGTTCCAACTTTATAGGCCTGCTTGTCTGCTTCCTTTTCTTTAGAAGCATTTTTATCTTCGCCTGAGTCAGAATCACTACAGTTTATTTCTGACTTTGTAGATAAAAATGTTTCAAGCAAGTAAGGTGCTGTATCCTCTAGTTTTTTATTTCGAAAGCACAAACTTAACCAATTAGACTTGACTACTAAGTTATCCTGAGGGGGTGTGTCAGCTTTTATCAGACGACAAAGTTTATCAACATCCATTTTGTCATCAACAATAATGTGTGTAACATAGTCATTTAATTCAGTCTTCACTGAACCGCCATATTTATTTATCTGAGTTTCAAATATTTTCATTCTGGCTTTCTCAATTCCAGCTTTTACAATAAAAAATTGACAATTTTGAAAAAATGGATCCTCATCAGATGTTCCTTTTGATGTTGAAACATCGTTTGATTTCGGTTTCTTGGACACTTTTTTTCCCTGATTATCATCCTCTCGGTTCCTTTTCTTGGAAGCCATATTTGTTATTTCAATATATTAGATATCTCGGTGTAAGAACAGATATTTTAGAAAGTTTCTCTTGTGTTTACAAAAAATTTTATCTCATGTCGGCCATTTGTAAATACAAACCTTGATCTTTTGAAACAAGGAATATTACTGGTCGATTTCAGAATTCAGAAGTAAGGTAAAATTTGATTGGCTGTTGGTTGATAAACTGGAAGTAGAAGAATCTCCCGCCAAATTTGGTTAGACAAATCACTGATCAATCTCAAATTTCCTTATTTCAGAAAAAGTACATTATTTTAGACATTTTAGACATGACATTCATGCAGTTTGATTCTTCATTTGCATTCTCGAATACTTGTATCAGTTAGAAAACTAAAGGAGTGTATTTACATCTGATTTTTCTCTCATGAAACTAACTTCCAAGTAGCTTCATACTCATACTAAATAAAACTTTAAAGGAGTAAAAAGTAAACAAATTGTAAATCAATTCAGTTATACTTGGATCCATTAATCGTTTGTTAAATTTTGACTGAAATTTTTAGTTTGACGTTTTGAATTTCAATATTCATTTTAGTAATCATTCTACTGAAAGGATCAACATGAAGTTAATTTCGGGCCCATGCGAGGACCTTTAGTAGATATATCAGTCAGAGAGTCAATCTCTATAATGCAATCTGAAGAACATTATATAGTGGAGCTGGGAAAGCTAACCACCCTGCTCTTAGGAAGCCAGGACTAAATTTGCATTGTATTAGACCTAGCCCCCCGCCCATGTAGGCCCATGTAAGCCTACCTTAACTTTAAATTCAAAATGCAATTCAGCCTCTGCACTATTTAGATGGCTCTGCTGCTTTGGCTCTGCTGCATTGGCTTTGCCTATAATCAGATCATCAATGTTTATCATTTTTGGCTGATCAGTTCCACTGACTAACCTTATAGTGCTCAAAAAAGATCTTCTTCACGTTCCCCATAGCGGACTTCACCTGTGACCTATAGTCTAAAATTATTACAGGTTAAATCAGATGTAGAGAGTAATAAGAATGGAAAAACAAATATTAGATCTTCATGAGAAAGGGAAGACTGAAGAAGTAGCTGAGATTTTGAAGAAAACGGAGACATCTGAAGTATGTAATTTGTCCCTTAAGTTGTAATATTTTCTATTTGATCTAAGTTGGTCTAATGGTTATAATGACATCAAATGTTTTTGACAAAAGTTCAACATGAAGAAATGAATTTAATGTTCATGTTACTTTGATTGGTTTTTTAGATAAAAACACTGTTAGATGGTCAAGTTTTGAAGGGGAGAAATGATCCAATTATTTTACTACAAGCAATTCTTATAGGTAATTAGCATTTAATTCTAGGTCAGTGATATTAGTTTAGGAATCAAAATAAGAATTGTGTGAGCTACAGATTCCACATATTGAGGAATGAGAAGATCTAAAAAGAGCAGATAAATTGGAATTGCTGTTAACCTAATAAGCAGAAGAAGAGACATATTTGTCATTTATGGTCATGTCAATTTGATATATTAGCAAGCAAGTATTTAAGCACATTGGAATTGTGGAATTATAAAAAGTGAAAAGCATGAAATATTTAATTTCTGTATGTTTTAGGTTTGAATTATTTAGAAAACGAAGGCAGAGAAAAACAGCTGTTTATTTATAAACATTTGATTAAAATTCTACAGAAAAATGAAATCAACATTAAAACAGCATCAAATATTGTTAGTTTGTTAATGTTAGAGGTATGTTATCTATATTGTGATTTATTTAAATTTATGCTTGAAATCTGTCTTAAACAGACATATACAGTGTAGAATTGAATTTGTTTTGTTATTGTGATTGACATTTTTATATGGTGTCGTCTGTAGAAAGGGTAGCTTTTAAAGGAAATGTGTTTGATAAGATGGGATATATTTGTAAACCTCGGGATTTATTATAAGTCTTATCTTAACAATTACCAGATATACAATGCTTTATATGTTTCTATCAATCATTTGTTTTGTGGTAATTTGTTATGACAAGCATTTTAGTGTAACACTATATATTAAAATAAATAAGAACACTATTATGGATATACTACTCCTTTCTTTAATTCTACAACGTTTCAATTCACATACAGGAATCTTTCTCCATACGTCTTATCTCCAATAGTGTTCTTATTTATTTAATGTCTACTTCTAAATGTCATTTAAAGATTACTATAGATTTGTTTTTGTTAAATTTTATCAGTGTGAGAATCTAAATGGTAAAAATTTGGTGGAACTGGCTACATTGTTTACAGATTCTGTTAAGAATGGACAGTTTAAAGGTGGAAAGTGAGTATTGAGACATCTTTTTTTATTCTAAAAGGAATTTTTGGGTTTTGATCTTTGAAGGATTATTAGGATTTCTGACTTGTAAACTCTCTTTGTTATTACTAACAAAATCAAGATATCTGTTATTTGCATAACTGAATTTTCCTATCCCTGCAATAATATGATCAATTTCAATCTTCACTATATCAATACATGGAAAAAGCATCCAGTTGTTCGGATTGGACAATAAACCGAGGCCCTGTGTGCTACAGGCTGTGCACCTTAAAGATCCCTCGACAGTTGGAAATCGAAAAAGAGCAGGCTAATGCCACTGTCCTGGCAAAATTTCCCTCATTTCACCCTGCATGGCGTTGCCCGTCTTCATTAGCCCATATGGTGCAGAAAAGTAGGAAGTAAAACATTTCGATTCATTTCATTTATATCAATATATATTAACAGGGCTGCTGATTTATTCCCTAAGATACTCCATGAATTAAGTCATCAAGAAAATGTTTTATATGGAGATGGCAATATGAAGGGAACAGAATGTAAAAGTCATATCTTAAACAGTCTCTGTTCTGGAAGGTAATTTATTTATATAAAGATTTCACTTTTGCTCACTTGATTGAACGTGCAAGGTTCAATCCCGGCATAGGTTGAAATGAAAAAAGCTTCTAATTCTTCACCAAGGCTCTGTGTGCTACTACTGTACAAGTTTAAATCCTCAACAGGTGGAAATTGAATAACACTCATTTCATTTCATCTATTATATGTTTTCCCTGACTTGTCTTTTTTAAGACAAATGTTGGAGAAGGGTGTTGCAGCCCATTTTGGTGAAGAAAATGCTATGTTATTTCCTGTCACATGGACATCAAAATTATATACAAGATACAAGTTTCCTGTTGCATATGCCAGGTGACTTCAACATGTAATTTCTGTAGTTTTATCATTTAACCTCTATAAAGCTTTAGAACAAACTTAAAAAATGTAATATTGTCCATATTTCAGATGGGATCCTCAAACTATAATACATCTGTCTATAATGTTTAAAGATGTACCAATGACTTCAGATGAAGTAAAATTTGTTATGGAGAAAATAATCCGAGCTTTCCCTGATGTTGAATTACAAGATTTACCAGCTATAATATATCAGTTATTATTACTAGCTACGAAGGTAGGTTAGCTCTCTCTATTGAGAGAAAGTAAAGACCTTATTTACAAGGATAATAATTTAGGTTCAGAAGGATCTTTTCTTTCAGCTGGTCCTTGGCCAAAACTCTACAATACTGGCACTCCAAAAACATATTTGGCACATACTAATGAGATAAACATGACTGTTAAGTAATTCTAAGTTTTCAAATTAAATTATTTTGTTCCAAATTATAACATGCAAAAGATTAACTTCGATTAAATCCAAACTATGAAATTTATTACAGGGTCATAGAAGACTAGTTATTGATGGTATCACTACCTTTTTTATGGATCAAGATACTTTGAATAAAGTCAATACAATATCAGAAGCCAGGTATAGAGAATTCTCTTTCTGTTCATGTGCATATACTGATCCTTGCCTACCTGTATATTGAGGCTTAGGGGATGAAAGCTGACACAGGGCCAACTCTTGGAAGCATTGGCACAGGCACATGAGAATTTTTTTTTTCTTGGGGAAGATTTGAACCCATTGTACCTAATTGCTTACCTAATTGTAGTCCTACTAGATACCGACTGAGTTGTTCCATTCTTACGTGATTTAGAGTACTGTTTACATATTCAATGTTTTATTTCCAGTGAAGATTTACTGACAGAAGAGAATGATATAGATAAATTAAGACATACACAAGGAACTGTTATCCTACATTTTGTATTTTCAATCAAACAAGATCAAGAATTGGGAAGAGAATTTATTAAATATCTGAAGGTAATTTTACACTGTTAGAAATTATTGTATTGGCTGGGTGATATGATATTCATCATTAATTCTTACAGTGTAATTTTGTCTGGTTTTGATATAATATGGCCACAGATTTAGAAAGTTTTAAAGGGTTAAAATTTATAGCCCAAGTGAGCAATATGCACTCCAATTTGATACCAATGAGTTACAAAGTAAAGCCACATGAATTATGACATTATTTTCATGCAAACACTGAATAATCTACTCTTTACAGTTTGTTTTATAGTTTAAGAGCACCCTTGGATTTGCAGAGATATACACATATAATAGATATTGCCTGTATCTGCTTTGATTCATCTGGTGATTGAGTTAATAAAATTATGTACATTGCTATTAATATTAAAATGTATTCTTGACCTAGTGTCTAGTTTTTTTCCACATTGTATTTTAGTTTTTTCTTTATTCTCTTACAGACCACCTTATCCTGTTCTACTAGTAGAGTATTGGCACCGTTTGTATTGGCTTTAACTCTGTCTATAGCCAGAATACACAGATTTGAGGATCATGTGAGAGAAATCATTTAAATCATTTGTGTAATTTCCTGCACTCATTCTTTAAGCTTCTTTTTTGTGACAGTTAGTTTGATATGAATAGTTTTATGTTTCATATGAAAATCATATTTTTTCTAGATGGTAATAAAGCCAAATTTTTGTATGTTGTGACATAGTGTACTTTGCACAATTATTAATTTTGTATAAGTTGCAGATTCTTCATACAAGTACCTTCCAATTATTCTAATTGCAGATATATGACTTTCTGAAAACCACAATATTAAAAAGTTTTAAAGACAATGAGAAACAAGCTAATTCAGAATGGGTGAGAGAGATAGTACCAATTAAAATAGATACTTCTAGTTTGGTTCTTGAGACTGTTGATAATAGGTAAGTGTATTGGAGATTAAGGTGGTTGAAAATAAACCAGTTATTATTGACAAGAAAGTGGTCACCATTCAACAGAAGTCACTGACACAGGGTTATTTGGAGAAACTTTTCAAATATGACTAATGTTGTAAATTCTTAAGAGAAACTCGGAGAAACGTAACATGTAAGAAGACGGAAAATGCTTTGAATATTTCATCAGTTGTAAATACAGTGTACTTTTGTATAATCAACATCTGAGTATTCCGACATTCTGCATAATCCGACATCATTTTCCTTCTTAGGCTAATATAGAAATCAAACATAAAAAGATTAGAGAATGAAAAAGGCAATGTCACAAGAACCTAAGCAGCTATATGGGTTATTGTTAACTGGAATTTGGTGAGAGTAAAATAAAATATGCCTTTAGAAATCAGAGGGTTGCCACAGTTATGACTTTTAGATATTTTTATATTCAAACCCCCATGTATGATGTATGTTGTAAGTGTTATATTTTATAGTAAATATGGTTGGGATCATGTATTACAAGGATTAGTACAGCTTGGCTTCACATTAATGGATAGTTTTGGTCCGAAGGCTGCATTCGGTAGAGAAGTTTATCAAGGCTCTGTATCTACACCTTCACAATTAGCTGGTCAACTGGGTGCTAAAATACTTCAAAATACTTTCAAGGTAAACATAAAGACTTTGTCTTAAAGAGAATGACATTTTGCTGGAAGTTTCACTTATGAAAGATAAATTACATTAAGACTTTAAGATGAAGTGAACCCATGTTAGAGTTTACTAGTTGTAAATAGGCCTCTAAACTTTTGATGTGTATCATGCATTATTGCATGGATTTACACCATTCCAATTTTCAGTGTGTTATGATGATATCAATATTTTCATGTTCATTATTTACATTAAAAAGCAAGAAAATCTCTTTACAGTTTGTTTAAGATATTTGAATTCTGTTTGTCATAATATTGTTGGTATTCTCATTTCTCCTAGGCACATGAAGTTGTACGAGGAGAAATCTTAGATCAGATATTTAACAGAATAATAACCAAAGCTACATCTCCTGTTTCACATTATTTAGGTAACGTTAATTAGTTTTAGCTGCAGAGGATAATTGGTATTTTTGAATGTAGAATTATCAAGAAATGTGTGGTTTGGTGATGATAACTGATTTGAGTTTCAGGCCAAATTAACATCTATAGCTTCAGATAATTTGGATTAGAAAAAAAATTACAATTTACATTTTGTTGATACCAGTATGCCCTGTGACAGGCCAATAACTGCAAAACTACCAAAATCTTGAGACTGGTACAATTATTCTCAGAGTCAAAATGCACCTTTTTGAAGAAACAGAATATTTTTAATTCTTCAGGTATTCCAAGGCTTGCTTTCCTCTGTTTCAGGTTTTCTAAACTCTGTAAAATCATGTCCTTGGTCATTATCTTATGCTTAACACTGTTTTATATGCCCACATCTCTATATGGGCTGCACCCATGTTGAAAGATCTTTGCATCACCAACTACATGCGACAGAGGTCAATATTGAATGTGATCCATTATCTTCTTTTTTTTTCAGAACTACTGACAGATATCGTATCATCAGCCCCTCAATATTTACTAGAATCTGTACCTAAAGTTCGAGATGCTTTTGACTATTTATCATTTTTACCACCCAGTGCTGGGGAGGGTTTATTGAAGGCTATACAACCATTGTTAAAACTCAGTATGTCTTTAAAAGATACCTTAATGATTGTTCTGAAGAAGTCTATGTTTTCTAGGTATGTTAGTTGGGTTTTTTAGGGTATATTGTAATGGTAACATAGTTTAATTTCTAGTTTATTCCTAGTTTATTCCTATTTAAAGAGACTATAGTTTGATTCAGACTTTTATGGAATTTGATAAGGGTGAAATTTTGGTATTTCTTAAGGTATCCTCCTTGTTTTTGGCAAAAAATGTTTTGTAGCTACATTTTTTGGTGAAATTGCAATGTTATCTAACAAAAGGGACAAGTGGAACAAGTTCAATTGATCGTTTTAAGCTACTAATTATTTTTCAAATTGTCTAATGTGATCTTACATTTCAGACAACTGGAAGCTAGAAAAATTGGTGTCATAGGATTTCTGATGTTTTTAAAGAATTTTAAAGTTTTAGGTGGGCTGCCGTCTAGTCAATGCAGTCAGCCTTTTACTTTAAGTCAGGTATAACATGTTTCTTTGCGCTTTTTATGGGTAGCTACTTGACTTCGAAGTTACATTCCTGTCATAGGTTCAGATAGTAACAGGCAGTGGTTGTGCCAAACTTCTGAGACTGGGTTACAAATAGGGGGAAGACTGACTCGATGGGTAGGAGGTCAACTGTTGAGGTTGAGAGCATCTTACAGGGATCTCTCCCCAAAGGAATTTTTTTAAAAAGATAATGATTGGTGCATTCTGACACTAATTTTTGGCAAAACTGAAACCTAGGCGTGTAGAATTTCGGATCATAACTTCTTATCTAAAAAATCTTAAATTATTGTCTATGCAAAAATTCATGCAAGATAAGATTATAAATATAGAATTTCCAATAAAACTAGAAAGGGTATATCCATATATTTATTTATCCATGCCTTTTGCAAAATGTCTTATGAACAGTATGTTTATATCTAATCCTATATATAAAAAAACCCATAAGAAAAAAAACAAGGATCAAATCATACAGGTGGAGACTGTACTTTATAGGTACAAGTTGATGTACACACCAGGTATAACCCAGCCAGTAATGAGGCCCTGTGTCTAGAAATTCTGGGTAATTTGAGAAGATGCTGTACTCAACAAGCTGATGTAAGATTACAGCTGTATGAGGTAAGTTGAGAATTTCTTTTGACAGTGTGAATCAACATTGACATGAGTTGAGATGAATATGGATTTCGGTATAAAGTGGTATAAAAGTGTATAAGAACAAATGATATAGGCAGGGTATGCTTACTCTTCTAGACTCCTGATACCACTTTTCATTATAAAATAATTGCTCACTTTTAATTGATATACTTCTTCATGTGAAAAGTTCATTAGCTGTTAATGTTTTTTTGGGTTTCGTTTTGCAGTTCGGATCTTTAGTATGTACTGAGGTGCAAAACAATCAAGTCTTTCAACAGATTAATACTTTATTCCTCCAATCATAATGATTTTAATATAATTAATGTTCATTAGTTTGCCCACAAAAATAAGATTTGTGTCCGATTTGACTTAGTGATCGATTTGTTAAAATAAAATAATATATATATTGGACGATATGGTTTGTGTCCGATTTGACTACATCCTGTTCTTAATAACGTTCGAGGAAAGTTGATATTTCTCGGGGAAAGTTCAATGAAATAAAAGATAAATGAATCCTGATTTAGTGTGAAAACAGGATTGACTATTTAATCAAATCATCAATATCCTGTTTGATGAGTTAAATGACACAGGTGTTCAAAACTAAAAAGTTATCATGATGGTTAGCAGAGACATACATAGAGATAGAGACCTCAGTGCTGATGATGTCAGCAACCAAGCTAGGCTATTACTTAACAACTTCATTCAGGACCGACTGTCACAAGATCATATCAATGATGCTCCAAGTTTTGGTGACCTCATTGAGCCTGGAACGCCAGTTGGTCCACCAATAGAACATGCCAGAGAAATCGGTAGGGCCCTGCGATGTATAGGAGACGAATTGGATAAAGATGAAAAGATGCATAAATTGATTGATAAAGTTCCGCCAGAAGCTGAACATAAGACCTTTATTAAAGTAGCCAGTGAGATCTTCAAAGATGGTGTGATCAATTGGGGTAGAGTGGTGGCCCTGTTTTATTTTGCCTATAGAATATGTTTAAAAGCTTTAGACAGAATCCCTTTAATGAGAGCAATGATAAATTTAGTGGTAGATTTTATCCGAGATCGTGTAGCCTCATGGATTATAGGGCGTGGTGGATGGGAGGCTATTGTAGAGTATTTTGGTACACCCACAAGGCATGCTGTAGTCGTCTTGGGAGCAGGTGTACTGCTTAGTGGTGTAATATATTTGTGGAAAACTTGGAGATGAGATGTGACGGGGACTAAGTTCAATGGCTGCTGTGTTTTAGAACAGATTGATTGAGAATTATTTGATTTTTTATAGGAGTTGTAATGTGTAAGAAAGCATAATAGGCTACTAATATAATAAACATAAAGGCTGTGTTGATAAATAGTGTTGAAATGGTCAGACGGAGTGTGGACGGACTCATTGCTACAGTCTCTAACAGAACCAAGGTTTTTATACCAGTTGTGGGGTCAGTGTAATGAGTGTATCTCATTGAAGTTGCCACGAATCAGTGTACTGGTTCCACAACTGGTATAAAACTATTGTCTAAATGAATCCGTAATCATGAATATGAGTATGAAGCTGATTGACAGGCAAGAAGAAACAAACAGCCAATTAGAGGAGAGTTAATAAAAAGTAATAGTGTTTTGATAATTGATACCCTATCTTGATTTATTAATCTCAATATAATTATTCAACCAATAAAAATGTTTATTTACTAAAGAAAACAGCTTAAAGACTCGTACAGTGACGAAATTTCTGTCAAAATTGCTCTCTCTTTACTTTTTTATAAAATTGACGGTCAACCGATTATCTCAAATCAGACCCGGTTACCCGTGAAATACTACCCGAAATCGGTTAACTGATTAACCGTTTCAACACTATTGATAAAAGATGACATTCTGCCAAAATTATTTGAGTGAGATGACCGTTTGTGACAAAGATATATTTATGAACAGTAATTTAGAGGAAATGTAAAGATTTTGACGATATTTTAGAACTTCTTCTGGACCTGAGTGGAAAATACAACTGAGTCTACAGCCCTCTTACTAACAAATGTGGATTGCAGAAGGTTTTATGAAATATGAGGATGAGTGTAGGATAGTTTAACAACGAGAAAACATTGTTAAACCAAACGAGATAGAAACATTTTTTTTAGTCAATGTAACAGTGAGATTGGCCAAGTTTCAAAATAGTCTTGGAATTCTTCAGGGAAACAAATATCTTAGCAATTTTTTACTTTATATTCCTTAACTTAAACCATTTATAAAATCCATATTATGTATTCAATATGGACTAACAATTAGGATGTATTGTGTAGTAACTAATTATATTATAGAATCTTAAACTAAAGCATATATTTCCATGTATGTACTAAGTGCATACCACTGAATTCATACCATACCCATTAGTATGATCAGAAGTAGTAATTTAGCCATCTGCACGAACAGAGTCCTATATCTTGACTGCATTAGCCACCTTTCTTGTATTACAGCCAATCAGAACCCTAGACAGAAACAGCTGTGATGGACTGTATTATATAGCGTACAATCCTATCAAATTTCTGCCTATGCAAATTTCTGTGATACAAGATACTATTATTGCAGTCAAGGTATAAGACACATGTAATATAGGATAATAAACTCCATTTCAATGCAATTTATTACAGTAATTGAAGAGCAGTGATTAGTAACAATTTTATGGATAACAAATTAATGAATATATTGGGATGTTTCATTACTTGATACATAATTTATTAAATTGTTTATTATACATAAACCAGTTGTAAAGTATTAGATGTAAATGTATGATCCTACTAGACTTAATCCTGTAATTGTATACTTAAATGAGTTACCTGTATATAGTTTGTTGTCAGAAAACTTTTGATTGGTGTCTGAATAAATTTTATTGCAATTTACGTTCAACTAATCAGATATCTTGTTTTAAAGTCATTCTAAATTCAAGATGTTCCTGACAACAAGTCCTAAATGTAGACCTAAGTTCCTAATGCTCTCAAAATAATGTTGATTGCCAACTTTTTTCTATGCATGTGATTATTTACTTGCCACCCCTTAGGATCAGTAACCTTTCATTTCTCTCATTACTTTTTTTAAAAATTTTATTATAATATAGACCATTTTAAATCATCTTTCAATTTTTTATGCAGGTGTTCTACTTGCCCTTACTTTAGAACACATGATCCCTTTGAGCACAACAACATTATTATGGCACATGGATTTGGTTTGCAGATGCTCTTTGCTGGCGCACATCCATTACTTAGCTTGGCATGTCCATGGCTTCATAATAAACAAGAATTGTGTACGACATCATATTCACAAGACAGGAATCAATATATTCACCATTATAGTTTTTTTTTTTTTTACTGTTTACTGTTTGAATATTACATCAAAGTGTTTTAGAAATCTATCCTTTAATTTTATGCAAAATAAATTTGAGAATATTATTTTAATACTGTGATAAATAGGAGTAGAATTACAATACTGAATTTACTATTCAAGGACAAGTAATTGTAGAAAGCTTCACGATATATATCTTTTATTCAAAATAATGCATAGTCTTATGTGAATATTTATTTGTATACTGCTCCACCTAGTAAAATGTTTATTTTAAGCTCATAGAAAGTTTTAAATTCCTTTAAAAATCAGGGTCTGCTAGAAATATGTCACTTGTTTTATGATTTGAACATCTGATCACAAAGGTGTGGTAATGTCAATAATTGCAATTGATTTTATCTGTGTTAAAAGATCAATTAATCAGAGATATGAGTATTGCATTATTTGTATGTTAATGATTATTGATGAATTATAATGTATCTGACTCAAAGTTTTAAATGTCACAGAACTGGCATAATTGATTTCAACCTGGAGGCAGCTGGAAGCATGCACTACCTTCTGAATAATTATCTTAATGATAAGAATATGTAGTCTAGGCATTGTCTTTAATGGAGTATGATGAATTTTAGAATTACTAATATTGTTAGATATTTTATTTTATTAATAAAATCTATGTTATGAAACTTGACATTAATGATTTTTGAAAATAAATTGAGAATTTTACAAACTTTACTCCAATTGTTTTTTTTCGAAGGATTAGAAATGGGCAGTATAAAATCACAAGTTGAGGCCAAGTGATGCTAAAAACAGCGTTTTATCTTGCCTTATTTTTAAAGTTACTTCTACCTCAAGCATGATTGGTGACCTATAGATACTAATTTGATTGCAAAATGATTCAGAAATTTTATACAAATTGCCAATCTGATGAGATATTATCTAAGATATTAAACTAACTCCCTTTCACCTATTCTGGTTACTGTGATACCTCAAAGTCAATTCTCAGTACAGTTTGGAAATAGACACTAAATATCTAATATTTACACATGGAATGAGAAGAGTAACTCATGGTCTAAATTTCTCCATGTGAATCAAGGAAAAGACAGTACAGATGATATAAAGATTTGATTTGAAATCAATGGGTGATATTAATATAATAGCACCTGCTGTCAATCTGTTATTTAATGTCATTTCTACGCACCTACGAAATATGGAACTTGTCAACCATATTTTTGGTCTGTCAGTCTGTCCACAATTATTCATAAACATTCTAGAAGGATTAATTCTTGAGAAATTTTTATGAATCTTGGAGAAATGGCGTCACTAAAGAATGGAGCCTATTAAAAATTCAAAAAAATTCAACATGCTTCTTATGAGTTATTGCCCTTCTTCCTCAAAACACATTCCAATTAAATTTATTGCTCAGTAACTCATTAAAAGACACAATTTTCAATTTGATTTGAAGGAAACTCTTCCTTGAATTGTGTTGCAAACTCAGAATTTTTTTCAGAAAGTCCAACACCTTACATTTGTATCTGTAAATGCATTGTACATTGAAGGTACTTGAGTGAGTTGAATAAAAAGTTCACAATCTGAAAATGTTATGTTCTGTGATTTGTTACAGGGATTATATGAAGTGGTTCATCGTAATACTCAGTTACAGCTCTCAGTATTAGATATGTTACTAAATCAGGTGAGTTATGGCATTTATTTCCGATGGCATTCCACTTTAACAAGCCTTTTGAATATGCTAGTAAATGCAAGTGCTTATATATATTGATATACATTACATATAATCATTTGCAAATTGGCAAATTGACTAACATTGATAAAGAATAATTAAATGCAGATCAAGTTAATGCTATCAACATCGAATAACTAATTTGTTGCAATTTTGATTTTGTCCTAAACTGATCACCTGAGATTAGTTAGTATGTTTTTGCTCACAACCTTTTATTGACCTGCAGACGTAACTTGTCATCCCATAAAGCTGCATTAAAATATCTTTGAAAATTGTGAGATATGAATTTCAGATCAAGAAATATTATGAAGAAGATAAAGATATAAGTCCACCATTGAAACTAGATAAATGTATTTTAGCTCAGGGTGAACAGGTTTTTCTAGCTGAGCCATTGGTAAGTATTCATCACATGAGTTTGGCTTTGGTAGGAAGTCAAGGCTTCACATGAAAGTCTGATACCACAAAAAAAAATTTATTTTATGGTTTCTCTTTAAATTTTAGATTAAAATTCAGACAGTTACAGACTGATCCATATATATGTGAATTTATACTATTTATTAGTATGGCCTTGGATGAAATTGATAGCACAAGAACAAACTTAACTAAAATTATAATAAAAGAAATACACGTATTAGATCATTTATCTGTGTCAGTAACCAGAAGGATAAATATATCCAACTTTTTGTGGTTCCACATTTTGGATTTATTTAATGATAATCAGATGTACCAAAATCATGAATTTGTAACAAATCGACAATTATAAGTGATCAAGTTAGAAGAAATCTGTATACATGTGTTGTAAATGTATGCTGTATATTGTTTACTAATGTCAGATATAAATCAATAGGTTATTATAGTACTGTACTAATTCACTTGTTATTATGACTAGATAAATACAAACAGCTCAACAAGTACATAGTTTTTTATTAATGAACATGCCATTTACGTAAAAAAATCAGAATTAGATATATAAATACAGTAGACTCAGTGATATCTGACATCAGAGTACGTTTATATTTTTCTGGTCCAGATTTATTTCCTTTTATGTCATTTTTAAAAAACTCTGTATTACAACACTAATCAGTGGTCCCTACACTCTGTATATCGTGACATCTAGTCATCTAAATCACTTATTGCCAATTAAGTTATAGCTTGTTTTATTGATAATCTAACATCAAATTCCTTTCTCAGTTTATAAACTTAACTTTATTATTAAGTACAATTAAAAACCTTCTTAAGAACACTGTCGTGCAATTCTGATACTGTCAGATGCTTGCATTGAAATATGGGAATCTTGTCAAGTAATAATGTGATATTTTCAGGCCCATCTATTATCCTGTATTCAGTATATGATAATAAAAACTGTAGAAACTAAAGAGAAAATGGAAGTAGAAGAAGATGATGATGAAGAAGAAACATCTCTAACAGATTTACAATCTATATTAGCTAGTCTAACTGATAGAATGATCACTAGTGAGATGGAAGATTTTGAAATCGTAAGTAGGCCTACAACCATGTTGATTTTCTTCAGATGGATACCAAGATGATTGGATGTCTGTTAGTCCTTTTATGGATGCAGTATATTATCTAGACACATAACTCACTTCGTCACAGAATTTTCATCCAGACTTGAACGAAATTCAACAGTCAACTTATATTTAAAATGAGTTACTGCCCTTGATCCTCCAAGATAAAAAGCCATTTGATATTGTTACCTAGAAAAAAGTTTATATACCTGTGTCTTTGTTTCAAGTTATATGTTTAACACTCAAATCATATAATGATATTTTTATTGCTTTCCAGGACAAGTCAGCTGATTTTTCTCTCAATAACAGTGTTGGTATTAAGAATAACATATTTGCTATACTAGTAATGGGGGTATATGAAGCTTTGATTGAATATACCTATCTTAGTAATAGATACAAGTGGGTACAAGTAATTTTAACTGTATTTTACTATGTGTAATATCTATAGAGAAATAATCCAACATCTGGGCAGTGAAATTAAGTATCCTTAAATATTAAGATTCCTTGCTCATAGTTTCCAAAAAAAATCTATAGATGGCTAAGGAAAGTCAATTTGATATCACAAAAACGCATTCGAAACAGCAGCAAGACAAAAATGACATGTAAAACATGGGATGCTTCTAAGACTTAAAAAAAATAAACATTTGTTATAATTATTTTATTCTAGGAAAGAAGCAAGTGAGAAGATACTGAAGCTATATGATAACTATAGTAAATTAAGTGATATATTGAAAGAGAAGAGTGGTGGGGGTGGGGCAGGAGGAAGTAAAGATGGGAAGAAGGGGAAACAATCCACATCAAAATCAACCAAAACTCCTACCAGTTTATTGTCTTTATCTTTCTTAGTGGACATACTGGAATCTACACTGAGGTAGGTCATTCATTCTACCTTTCTACCTTCTACTTCAATATTCTGAGACTTAAAATTCAAAATATATGCATTTTCCTTAAAAGGATTGTAAGGTTTTCTTAACTTCATTATGTGTATCCAGAAGACTTATAGCATCGATTTGCACCATTTCAATTTTTAATCAGATGTCTGTTCTTACAATTGCAGAATTGAAAAATTTAATGACATTACTATTGTAAAGGCCCTTAGATATTAATCAGCTTCAACTCATTTCAATTTTTAATCAGTTGTCTGTTGTTCTTACAATTGCACTAAATTGAAAAATTTTATGACATTACTATTATAAAGGCCAATAGATAGATATTCACATTTATTTGTTAAATTTTATTTTATGGAAGTCTTAAGTGTACTACTTTAATCAGTTTCAACAGTGTTCCATTCCCTGGATGTGAAAATCCTGATAAAACTTGGCTTTTGTTTCAGTGACAGTATAGCAGGTCATCAAGAATCACTAGATATATTACGTAATACTAAAGAGTTTATTATTCATCTGATTTCTATATCTATCAATAAATTACAACAATATCATGAGAAGGGAGTATGTGATGGTACAGCTGGGATGGATAAAGTTAAAATTAATAATTTAGCATATAGACTCGGCAAGTAAGTGATTGAACTAGTTGATCCATTTATATAATTATTTGCCAAACAAATTACTTATTTTTTTTTTTTTTTTTGCTTTTATTTTTTTCACCCTTTTTTTTATCAATTTAGGTAATTTTTTTTCACTTATGCTTGATTTGTCAGACAGATTTGAAGTTATTGAAAATGAGAATCTTGTGTTGCTTCAGCACACAAACCTGTTCTAGTCTTTTAATAAATGAATATTATATGATGGAAATACTTCAGACAGCGACTGTAAAGAAAACTTTGATATCAAGATTATGTAATTTTCCAATAACAATTTTAGTCATCCTGTGTTATTAATTAACCTAACACATATTACATAGTGTATATATGATAACAGGTTATTAAATAGTTACTATATAGAGAACCAGCTCAGTAATGATAAGAAGAGAAGTAAGAATATTAGTACTGTATGTTTAGATGGACTGTTACATGTGATACAGATTGCTACTACCAGTAAACAAACACTACATCATTATCTCACTCAAATAGGTAGGTTTTAAACATAGGCTTGAACAAAAGAGGCCATTACTGATTTAGATATGACATTTGCTGTTTGAAGTAAATATGAATTGAAAAAAAATTGATTTAAGGCTTCTTTGGTGTCAATTTTTAAAAGAAAAGCAGTCTTATGAATATAATGTATTTAATTATTATTATGGTTAATATACTGGTATTTAAATATTAGTTATGATATTTTGCCCTTTTGTTCATCCTAAGAATAATAATGTTACAGAGCAGTTGTAAAAATTGAATTATATTTGATATATTGTAGATGAAGATGTAGAAGAGAAAACAGTATGGAGTGTTAAAACAGAAACTAGATATATTGTTAAACAGATTAATAAATATCAGGTTGGTTATACATGGATTTGAAGTAAAGAGATAAAGTTACATCTTATTTGGTTTGATTAAGACTTTGAAAATGAGAAAAAAATTGTTATAATTTCTGTAGACATTTAATTTGTTTGTAGAGATCATGGCATACTTGAAGATAATACCTTCAGGTAAGAGAAGCTGACCACTGAAAAATGTCTTTACAATTGAATTGACCAATGAACTAAGATCATAGCTGGATAATCCAGTGTGCACCAAGCTGTATATAGCAGGCTCCAAGGAAAGAAAAAAGAAAATTCTTATGCTGTTTTGGTTGCTTTAGTTTTCTCAGAAGTAGTTGTCTCTTATGATGAAACAAGAGTTATTATTGTATTACATTCCAGAGATTGGTAGCTAATATTATATCAGCCAATGAAGATCAACAGAATATAAAAGAAATTGGAGCATTATTAACTATAATGGGACAACTATGTAAATATCTACCATCTAATACTACAGAATATGAGGAGGTTCAAACATGGATGATAAAACTCTGTACAGATCAGACTATAGGTAGGTAAAGACAGGCTTCAATTCATTGTCTCAAAGAATATTATATAACTAGTTAGTTATTAGCTTTAGCAGTGTGAATGCTTAAAGAAATACCGTTTAAAAGAATTTAAAAAGTAACTGAAATGATATCTGCTTGTGTAAGCATTGTAATTTTGACCAATTGCTTATCTTCATTTAGTAGAATTTTTGCATTGTGAATAAAACTTTCGTAACATTTTTTGGCAGTTTCACAGATGATACAGTTCTGTATATATTTCTTCTTATATAAGAAACTAAATTATAATTAGTGTTTTATGATGTGTATTTATTCCCTGGAATTAAGTTATGAATGTACAAGTATATTTATAACATATTTTCAGATGATATAGCTACTAGTAAACAACTACTATCAACATTACTTACCATATCTCAACAAACCAAAACATTACCGTCTCTTATTAAAAATATGTGTCAAGATATTCACAGCCAACTTGGAGATATAGATCAGGTACAGTATATATAATTTGTGTGTTAATATCTTTCAAATATTGTTCTGTTTCTTCTTGAAATGATGTAATCCTTTTCAAAAACTTTGAAATACTGAACATTTACATGAACTTCCGTGAAAAAATGAAAAGCCATCTCCTTCTTGAAACAATATTGAACATCTTAGTAAAAAACATAGAAATACTGATCCATAGTGTAGGATGGCATGTTTCAATATGAAGCTTTTTTTTGAAAAGTCGAATGATAAAGTCTTTGAGTTAATTTCATCCAACAAAAAGAAAAGGTTTTTAGCAAACTGTATATTTGCTGTGCTTTTAATTCACCTTGTCGTATTTGAATTCTTCTTATTGTTAATTCATCATGATATGACTATTTTATAGCAAGTAGAAGTAGATGATAAGACAAACTATGGTTTAATAACATTACGTACAGCAGCTCCCACTGTATTACAACTAGTCCTACATCATATAGATAGAGAGTTAGACGATATAGACTGGGTTATAGGACAGATTAAATCAGAACAAACATTATTATTAACAGGTACAGGTAAATTATAAACTGGAATAGTTATGGGGTGGGGGAAAGTAGTGATGGGACATAGAGCAGGTTTTGGTATATTAATAATTTTTATAGTAAAAGAACTAGGTATGGAAGATCCTAGTTAAAAACTAAAGAAAAAAAACATTGATGTATTGTTGCAAATAATTTATTATAATAACATGATCTGTTTATGGAGCATCCTAGAAAACAGATGATCTAAGTAAAGATAATCCTTATTAGTTTACATCATTTACTATAGGCTATTATCTATCAGATTAAGATCCTTATATATTGATGTTTGTTGTAAATCATTTATTATCATAACATGAACTAGGAAAATGAAATGAATGGAGTTTGACGTCCTAAACATGAACTAAGAAGGATCCTAATTAAATGATGTCTGTTGTAAATAATTTATTATAGGAGATGACTTACCTAATGCTACACAACAAGAAGGGCAAGAGAAGAGTGTATGTAGTAAATATGGTGTATTAATAACAGGGATACATGAGTTAGTTCAGTCAGCATTACCTACTGGTGTATGTACTGATACTATGTTAAAATCAGTAACTAAACTATACACATCATTATCTGTCCTAGTTAAATATGTAAGTATGTGTTGTTATTGGTGTTTATACAAGTCCCCAACTCTCATTGTTTTTCTTATTTCTATAGATGTCTTTTCGATATATGGCAGTGTTTCAAGACAAAACGACTCGTCTTTTTAACTTTTAAACATTCAAACACGGATAATTCTGGACATACATGGATTGAAGGGTCAAATTTTGATGGTGAGCTGTGGTAACTATTACTGATTACTAATTCCTGTTTCTAAGACTAAGATATGATGGCTCACCTCTCCCTTTAACTATGAAAATATTCCTCTTTTGATTAAAATATTGTGAATCATAGTGCAGAGATGAATATTCTGCTGGGCTTGGATAATTTGGTTTTAGGTTGTTTACTTTTCACTTCAAAAAAGATTCACCTGGAATGACTTAATGCATGTCCACAATTCTTATTAAAATGATTTTGATTTCTACATTTCAGTACATCAGTATGTATATCAATAAAACAGGTCATTTGACATCTAGATTTGAAAAACTGGTGAAATTAATAGGAAATAAATTATCTCCCTTTGTATATGCTTTCATCACTTATATACAGGTAATGAATTATTCAATAATGATTCAAAATTTCAATCCAGGTTCTGACATGGAATTGTTTGTGGGACATAAATTGTGGCTGCATGTGCCACAGACATGCACCCTTGACATTTGAAAGTTGAACAGGCGTAACTAATTATCAATGAAATACCAGTTCATAATATAGAAAATATAAAATTGTTTTCAGGCTTTAGAGAAAGAACATATTCAGCAGGCAGCAGATCATTTAAAGACAAAGAAAGACAAGAAAAAGACTGGGAATACCAATCTACCAGCAGGAAAGGTTATCAAGCAATCTAAATACATTCCTAATTTAATCTATGCTATTGAGCAGTTTGAAAGATACCTGATTCAATTAACAAAGAAATCTAAGGTAAATATACTTGACTTTGATTTGAGAAAATGTTCAAACTACATCAAAGAGTGGTTGCCCGATTCAAACAGTTCAATGTGTTTTGAAATTTTAACCCGGTAAATATCTGTTGAAATGTATTGTTCTTGCACCTTTCAGTCAAAATGTATCATTAGATGATGATAAGTATATGCTTTTGTGAGTTATGTCCTTTGTCTTTTAAAACCAAAATTATGTCAGATCAACTTTTTAGCATGACTAAAGCTAGAGTGTAAGATATATCTTTGTGCCACATCTATATTTTCTATTGTAGGTGAACCTTATGGATAATATAAAGATGAGTACATCTCGAGATTTCCGTATCAACACAGCAGCTGTACAGGCTATCCTAGATCAGGAGTCCAGTTCTTCTGGATCTGATGATGAGGATCAAACACAGGTTGGTTAAATCACGTTAAAATTTTTATATGAAAAGTTCTTGGTCTTTATCTTTGAACTTGTAAGTAGTAGTCTTTTACTGTTGTGTATGGCCTAATTCTAAATGAACAATTCTTGGTAGGTACAGGTTTAGAACCTTAACGTGGATTTAGCTTTGTATGTCCATGTCATAGCTACCACTATCACTCTTTAGAATGAAAATTGGAGCATGGTTCATCCACAATTACATGAATCAAAAATTGAAATGATGTAAATCACCCTTATAAGTGTCTTTCGATCCCTATAATACTTATTTTGCTCATATATATTTCAGGGAGAAGAGATTAACAATGGAAGTGATGAAGAAAATCATGATAAATCCAACATTGAACCAACTAATCCTTCAGAACCAGCTAAATCAACCCAACCACCACCTGCTAAACGATCCAAGTTAGGTAGTAAGGGTACTAAAGGCACAGTGAAATAACCAGATCGATTGTAGACATTTCAGTGCTTGCTTATATCTTTTAATAAAATATTTATGACCACTCTTTAATCTTTCAGTTTGTTTCAAGTTCATAATTTGATGGCCATGACTACCTGCGCCTGTGAGACCCTATGTAGAATGGATTGCTTTTCAAAAGGAGAGATCGAGGTGGTTTGTGTATCACATGATGCAAAACTTTGACAGTTGTAAGAGTAGTTTGTCCTACTCAAATCATGCATGTGATCTATTTTTAGCGTATTACGGCTAAGCTGATTTCTCCTATTGCTGTTAGTTAGGGTTTGAGCAAGTGCTTGTAATATTTTCATTGTACTTTGGTATAAACTGACTGAGACATATAGAATGGTTGATATTTACGTCATATATCCTTCGAAGGTTAGAAAATAGAACTATGGCCAATTGCTTGTTAATCAACAGACAACAGATACAAGAAAAACTTTTTTAATGACTTGATTTAGAATGAACATTTATCTTTTTCAAAACAGATTTAGGAATATAAAACAAAAGGCAAATATTCAGGTAACAAGTGAAATTTAACGTTATTTTAATGGTTCTGTTTGAAGTGTAGTACATGAACAAAGAAAGCATGAATCAGTAACACAATTTGTGAAATATGTAACATCGTGTAAAAATGGGACTACACCAGGTATGATTTTCAGCGAGGTATTAACAATATAGTAAAAAATAGTACAAGAGAACTGTGCTGCACCATGTCACCCCTCTTACCTTGCATTTTCACTTCTATTTTAAACTGTATTGATAATACACACCTCTCTTGAATTTAACAGACAGGTGCATATCAAAACACTACCTGTGTTTGAATATGTAACACAATAATACAAAAGGTAACACAAAGTTTACCTTTGTAGAACAGTACATTTCAGTAGCACTTTCTTAGTTCATTAGTCAAGATGGTTAGTACTTTTTCATTCAAACAAAAAAGTCTGTTTGTATTTAGCACTAGTTTGTTGATATCAAGAATTTGATATATTACCACCAAGGTATAATATTATCTATGTCCTGTTAAACAGAATCAAGACTATTCCTTTCAGTTCATAATATACAATACATTCACTCACAGTTCCTTAGTAATTAAAGAGGGTAGGAAAACCATCTTAACAGTTCACTTATTAAAACTGGTTTAATAAGTTTCTATCTAACCAGTCTGATAATAGAATCAACTTTCCTTAAATGATTTAAAAGATCTAGCCTCTAACACATGACTTGTTGAGATTTTAACTACAATTGTTGAGCTTGATTCAAATCATAAACTTTCACCATATGAGCTAAGAAATCTACGATGTATAAAATACCATCAGGTGTTAAATGAATATCAGATGGACGGATCACTGGTTGTTTAAACTTTATCACATTCATATAATCACCATCGGGGCTGAACACCTGGAATATTATCATTTATTATTGATACAATAGCAATATATTACACAGACATAGGTGAATGATAACCAAGCATTTGTAGAAATCTGATTCAAACAGACATAAACACCAACAGTACCCTTTATTTAGAACAAATAGTAATAGAAACTACAGAAGACACATATATTGTGTTCATCACTACTTTCACTTTCTAAAAAATAATGTAACTGTTATTATTTGAATAGGACAGGGATGTGCACATATATCTTAGCTTGATTATAATCCCTTGGCTATACGAATTGACATTGTACAATTAGAAACTAATATCCTATAGTAAGTAAAGTGGTAGACACACAATCACATTTTTGAAAGGATATATAAAGAGCCAGAACAAAAGATGATGCAACCTCAGTTGCCCTTTAAGACAAACTTATAAATTATTTCATTATCATCAAATTCTTATGAAATGAATGATAGCCCAGTGTAAAAACCTCACTACATGCAATTGGCAATGAAATAATTAAATGAGGAATTCCAGTTTACCTGTAATCTATTATTTCTACTATCAGCTACAATCCAATTACCATTACTATCTACTGTTATACCTGATGGTTCGTTAAATTCTCCCTTACCATTACCTCTTCTACTGAATACTCTTATTAGTTCTCCTCTTCTAGTTGTTAAATACATCTCACTTCGTCCTATAATAATCATTTAGCATCATATAAACCACAACCATAAAACCCAAAGGAGAGCAAGATTTTCAACTCTCCAGGTACATGTTCCAAGTAAGAAACTGCAGTACATTACAAAATTTAAAACTAAATTTTGACATGATTACATTATTGTGTTTTAAGACACAGAAGTTTGTAACTTACCCTATTCGGATCCCATTTAATAAAAGTTTGAGACTGGAAAAACATATTCATGCAGAGAAGCATAAAAAAATAATTCTGATTTCAACTCTTTCAAAGATAGTTTGCCAGGCAAGGTAACATACGCCCACTGGCAGCTGTCAGAAATGATTAAACAGTCTTTAGTGACTACAGGGTTGCACAATATAGCTAATAGAGTGAAACGTCAAGTCAGACACGATATTTCGGTGAAATATTTTCCGATCATCGCGAAAATCGATAGGGATCATCTTCATAATGACATTGACATACAAAATAAAAATCAAAAGAATCTGTAAAGAATTGTAACCTGTAGAGTGAGCACGAGTTGCACAATATAGCAAATAGAGTAAAACGTCAAGTCAGACACGATATTTCGGTGAAAAATTATCCGATCATCACAAAAATCAATAGAGATCATCTTCATAATGACATTGACACACAAAATAAAAATCAAAAGAATCTGTAAAAAATTGTAGCCTGTAGAGTGAGCACGAGTTGCACAATATAGCTAATAGAGAAAAACGTCAAGTCAGACACGATGTTTCGGTGAAAAATTATCCGATCATCACGAAAATCAATAGGGATCATCTTCATAACAACATTGACATACAAAATAAAAATCAAAAGAATCCATAAAGAACTGTAGCCTGTAGAGTGAGCACGAGCCAAATGTGAACGGACGGACGGCGGGGTGATTACAATATACGCCCATCTTACGTGTGGGCGTATAAAAAGGATATTCCATTCACATAATTATGTGACTTTGTATCCAAGATACAGGTAAAGGTGCCTTTAATTGATGCTATATAACGTTAATATTATGCTTTAAGTCATATTTGGAGTTAAGGAATATGTTAAATGCCTCCATGTTGAAGGGGAACAGTTGGCATTGTCTTTATTGTGCTTAAATAGTCTTAAGAAGTACTAAAACGCACGAAAATCGCATAATCCCTTCAAATACACCTCAAACTAGAAATTTCACTGTCTTTTCCCCTATATGTGTTTTCTATTAATGGCATAGTCTCACTAAAATTCAAGTCGAATTCTTAACTTTCAAACATGAATAATTATGGATACACATAGATTTGAAAGCTCAAATTTCGACGATGAGCTGTGAATACTATTACTGATTATGTAAGCTAAAAAAATTCCTGTTTCTGAAACTAATGTATGATTGGTCAAATGGATGGCAAAGTTGCTCCTTTAAAGCAAACCTTTAAATTTTCCTACCTAAATCACTGACTAGAAGTCGCTTATTATGATAGGCCATAAAACGACATTTAGACATCATCTGTTGTCTATCTAATAATGGTTGATAAACATGACTAGCTATAAACTCTCCTGATTGTTTAAATTCTACTAAACATGGTGATGCTCGTTGTAAATCTAAAACTAATAATGTATCATCTTCTGTCATTACCAATCCTGAAAGTATTTTTGATTACAAAGCAGGTAAAAGTCAAGTCATATCAATACAATCATAAATGAAATTTAATGCGTTATACATCCTTTTTCTGCACAATGCTATTAGACATAATTTCTGTTTTTTCCTTCATCCTCATTAGCCCAAACAGGTGCACAGGAACTACTCTATACATTCACATTTTTAGCCAGCTTTCATCACAGCCAACAATGCATGCCATAAAATTATTCTGATTCAATCTTAATGAGAATATTTTCTGAGTAGGATGCAGGATTATGAAATTGGCAGAAAAATGAGGAACCAAAGTTACAGGGCAAGTGAACACCTGTTGATGGGGGATTTACAGCCAGTGATGCACATACCGTAAGGACTGCGTAACCTTTTTCCACCAAAACTCTGTTGATGTTGGCCTTGACTACTGAATATATGTATAGCTTTATCATCTTTAATAAACAGTTCATCTTTATTGTTAATGACTATAGCTGATGGACGCTGTAACTGTACATCCTGAAAATAGTGGAAAAGATAAATGTAGGAACATTTAGTAGTAGAAATTCCTGACTGAACTGAACTCCTGGTTCCTGAGAATAGATATACAGATGTGATATTGTCACTGTCAAGGTTGTTAAGAACTGGAGCTGTAAACATATACTTCTAATTTTTTTTTAAATAAGAATTAGTATTCATTTAAAAGAAACAGCCTTACTAAGTCACTTTCTAACACAAGAAAATAGGTTATCCTATATATATATAATAATACTATTTACACTTACCCCAGCTCCCATAACAGAAGTCAGAAGTGTTCTATTGAATTTTTTAACTAAATGACTAGAAGTATCATTAACTATTATAGCTCCTTCACTGTTTATATTTATACCAATAGGGAAGTTTAATACATCTGTATGTAAAGGATCAGCTGTACCAGGTCTACCCACTGTATAGGTGATTGCTACCTCTATATCTGGAAGACATAATAAAGAAATTAAATAGAGTTTCCTATTTTTATGCACCTGTATTGGCTAATGATGAAGAGTGACAACGTCATGCAGCCTGCATAGAGGGAATTTTGTCATGCCACATGACTCAGATCTGCATCAAGTTTTACACAAAGAATCATTCTACTAGTACTCATAGAGAAAATACAAAACTGAAAATTTCGGCTCAATTAACCATTTCCATTAAAAGTTTGTATGGTGAAATTTGTAAGTCACTAGTCGAAAAAGAAGGATTACAGCATCTTTAAAAGATCATAATTTTTGATGTCATATATATCATTTATCAGTTATTTTAGACACTATTTAAATTTACCTTTGGTTACAGTAAAATAAGAAATTCTGATAGGTTCAGGTAATGGTGGTTCTTTATCTATTTCTTTAGGTTTAGAACAGGAAGACTGAAAAGCATAAACTGAACTATTAACTAAGCATGTTCAAGAACCACTTTCCTCGTGTTCTCTGATCTAAGCACAGGCTGACAGGTTGACAGGCCGCATAGGGATATTTTAAGAATACCAGTAACTGCTATTTTGTAGTATTCAGTATAAGAAATAAAAACCATTCTTTACCTCGCTTGTTCTCCTTTGACTGCTTCTGGTTTGTCCAGTTTGTGGTATATGATCATTGGATTCTATGTGTTTTTCAAACATGGATTTGAATTGGGACAAATTAATAGATTTTACCACACCAGCTTCTAAATTAACAGAAGTTGGTTTACTTCTGTCTGTTTTTTCTAAAGGGTTTGCCCCATCTATATTTTCATCAGATTCATTCCAATCATTACTATTTGGATTATTAATTTCAGAATCCCAAGTTCCAGACCTTTGACAAATATCAGCAGCAATTCCACTGTCAGACATTTTAGCTTTCTTTCTTTCTCCTGGGTCATCCTGTATCTTCCAGCTTGGATATAGAGTGGAATTGTTCCTTGCTTCTGGATTAGTCAGATCAATCACTTGGGCATCATGTCCTTCTGTATTTCGTGATGAATGTGGGTCATCAATCATCAAACATTCCTCATCCCAAGATTCATTGGCTGACTTTTTGTTCTGTTGACCATTGAGATCCATGTATTCAACCTTTTGAATAATTACATCTGGAAGGTCAACTTTTTTGATAATTACATCTGGTATATCATCTTTCTTGGATTTTTGTTGTGTTACATTTTCCGGATTTCTCCACGGTTGCTCCATTCTCAATTCAATCTCTGATTTCTCATGGCCATTATGGTATTTATCATTGTTCTTGTCATTTTTCTTCATCTCTGAATTTCTGTTCTCTTGTGGAAATGACATCCTTTGCAGGTCTTTCAACTCTTGAATAGATTTCGGCATATAAGATGTATTTAATGAGTCCAATGCCTTGCTGTTGTTCATGGACTCTAATGTCGAAGTTGGTGAAAATCTCACACTGAATGATTTACTTCTCCCTCGATCTTCACATATTGGAGTTGAAGCTAGTGGGGTTTTAATTTTGGCACTAATACTGCTGGCATTGAGAAGCCTGTCCACTGTCTTAGCTCCTGGAAGTCTAGGTGGTTTTTTAGTTGATATTTCTTGCTCACTATGATGGGATGAATTAAGGTCTGGACTGGAACTTCTGGTGATGTTGGCACCAGATAACTCTGTCCTCCTCAGCTGCTGAACTCCATTTTCAGTGCTAAATGATGTTCCTGTATTGGATAGATCAGTAGAAAATAATGGACGATATCTTTCACCACCACCAGATGCTAATTTCTTCAAAATGGCTTCTGAGTAATCTTTTGGTTTTTCTACAACTGGTGAAACTGGTGGGTCATCACATGACCTTATATCAATTCTTTTAGAAGGTGTAGGGGATATCTGGTGTGGGGGAGATGTTTGCATTTGATCATAAGAAGTTGCTTGCAGTGGTATTTGGTTCATGGCTGCTGCTGGAGGATAAAAATATCTAGGCATAGTAGCAGAATTTGGATGTGGTATTCCACCAGTCATGTCAAAGTTGTTGTTCATATTCAAAGGGTTTCCAACACCCGCTGCAACTGGATGGCCGAAATAATTTGGTCCTGGAGTAAAATACGGAGGATAATAGTTTTGTCTAGCTAGTAACATATTGTTGTAATTCATAGCTTGTTGAGGCATGTAATTAGGTGGTATTTGTCTTCTAGTCAAACAAGGATTTGGTGATGTTTGTGTTCCAATATCTTTATGATTGACAGGTTCTGTCTGTGTGAATGAATATGCCATATAAGGAGATAAAGGTTGTGCTGTGTTGGACTCACTAGTAATGACATAACCTAACCCTTTTCTCAACATTAAATTTTCTAAATCATATGGTTTAAAATCCATCACTATCATTTTATCATAGTCTACAATACTTTCATCTGTTTCAAATAACATGTTGAATGATGTGACTAAAGCATCACTGTGTTTGTCCAATAGATTCTCATTTCCTAATTTCAAAGTATTTTCAGATTCTACACAGATCTCCATCAACATACAAACATCATCTTGAATTTCATCAAACTCAGACTCCAACTCAGCGCTCTTTTCACCCACCAGTATCTTCAAATCATCTTCAAATCTGTGTTTCAACTCATCTAAAGAATTGACCAATCTTTTAACATGTTCCTCAACATGCCTCATAATCTTGTCCCTTTTCATCATCACAAATCCTTGTGCAGCTTTTACTTTTCTAGTCTTGGCATTTAAACTGTTTATTTTTTGATAACCCAGTGTCAACTGCTTACCAAGCAATGTCCTTTTATCATCTAAAGTTAGGGAACTCATAATGAAGGTTTCCAAATTCCTTACTCTTCAATTTAGGTATTCTGTTTATTGTTAACCTGAAAGTAAATATATCTATTGAATTCCGACTAACTGAACTCAACAGAAAAAGTATCGGGGCTGCAGCCAGAAGAAATCAAGTGTTGGCTTCAAGTGACATATCATGGACTAGCTTCTCGGCCCCTGTTTGCCTGGGGGTAGACAGAAAAGAATGATTCTAGTGAAAATGATAAGTGAAAAAGAAAAACCAAGAACAAAAAAGGTAAGTCATATCATTGTCATATTTCATTATTGTCTTGTCAGCAATGTCAACACTGGGGACATATCCTTGATTAACTTTGAGTATCTTGGCTGAGTCCTGGAGTGAATTTGAAAGAAACTGCTGACTAGTGACTTTACAGAAAAAACTGAAAGTTTCTGTAGTTTTGTTCGAGTTTGTCGGGCCTGCTTGTCATTCAAGACATCTGTCTAAAAAGATTGACAAGTGGTTAATATAAATGTTTTCAATATAATGAATAATATAAAGAAATTAAAGAACTTGGAAATTAAAGGCAATGTTGATAAATTTTCTAAAAACTTGTTGGATCTTCCGCCATTTCCTGTGAAAAAGTCTCTACCAGATTCCAATGACGTAATGTGAAGTCAAAAATGTCATTTATTGTTTTGGCATATTACTTAACAATCCTTTATTTCAGATACAGAAATTTTCATAATGATTTGAAAGAGAACAGATTGTACATGTTGCTTTTGATTTGTTTAAGTTTTGATCAAGAGAAAATAATAACGACATTTAATTGATCACGTGACTGTCTCGTGACAGACGTCATGCCTAAAGAATACAGTGACCTGTCAAGCTATTTGCCTAGTAGTAGTTAGCCTTCAAGTTCTGTGGAAAAGACTGAACAATCTCAAGGCAATGTCTCGGTATTATGCTATGTTTTTTTTTGTTCAAAGCTTAGTGTCGTCTTTGCCTCCACACCTTCTCAGTTATTAAACCCAACACAAAATCTATTTCCTAGGAACGCCACTGTTAGTGTACACAACTCACAAGTGAAGTAGAAAATCAAAATTAGGTTTATGTTTATAGAATGCGGCACTGGAGGCACATATTTCTCCGACTATTGTGAATTGGAATCTGGTAGTGTAGAGGATTGCTGTAGAATGTTGGTGAATTTTGTCTTGGGTCAATCTATTTCTTATCTTGTTTTAAGAAAATAGAAATAAATGTGGTGTGTAATTGCATCAAATTTATCATTTCTCCCTGTTCTTATTTTTCAGTGAAGATAACCATGAAAATGTAGCCATACCATATGACCACAATGTAGCTACAGCCACTATAGATGAAATCAATAAAGAATTGAACGAGCTAAAGGACTCTCTTTCCCAAACTATCAGTAAGTTATCAGGATGAAGCTGGAAATTACAGATAGACATTTCAAAAAGACATTAACCCTAGGAAATCGTAAGCACAGTCATTGTAGTTATGTACACATGTAGGCCTATATCTTTTTCCTTTATATTCCATATCTTTTATAGAGTTTTAGAAATGTTGCTGGGTCAGCTCTCAGCTAGCATTTCTTGACTTGTGAAAAAATTGTAAGGATGTAGTCATGGACATTAATTGCTGGTGAAGTTTAAGCACAAGCCCAAAACCTGAGATCCTAAAAATGGTCCTCCAAATGTACTCATACTCCATACTCATGTACACTAGTTTTTATTTCGATTCTATTTCACTGGAGTTCCTGAAAATGTTCCTTCTCACTCTTATACATTGCATGTTGTTTTCTTTTTTCTTTTTCAGCTAAGAGTCATTTACTTGAAGTTGACTTAGCCACTCAATTTAATCCACATATGGTCCACACTCTGAAGAAAGCTGAGAATTCTTGCAATGAATGTACAGAGAAGCTTGAAATGGTTTTCAACAAACCAGAATTACTTCGTTGATGTGGTCCTCTGAGCTGGACATTTAATTTTTAGCCAAACCCCAGTTGACAGAAACATCATAACTTCTGATTTTCTTTACTGTTAGAAAGGATTTTAGGATCTCCAAATTTTCAATATGGACTGCCAGTATTAAATCAGTAGTATCTACAAGTAGCTACTATTAATTTTATACAGGTCTTAAAAATTTAGTGATTAAGAGAATCTTAAATTATTATGTTTCTGTCAATAGTCTGTAGGCTTATCATTTTTCTGAGTTAACACTTCAATGTAGTATTCAACAGTTGTAATGTAAACTTTATTCTCAATTTATACCGGAAAATAAAACAATTTATTTATATGTACTTTATGAATTTCATTAATACATATATAACAAGTGATGACTGCTTAATCATTAACAATAATAAACCCTTATAAACTGGAAGAAAAACAAGGAACTCTACGCAAAAACTGGACAATATTTACAAAGATTTCTGCCTCTGTCCATTAATGCCACTGAATTCACAAGAGTCCTTGCATTACATTCATACTAAAATCTTGCATACAAATGAGTGAAATAATTATAGGCCTTGTAAAATAAGGAGAGATTACAACTAAGTCAACAAGCAACTGAATTTGAGAAGAGTAAAGATTGCTAGCAAAATAACTAGTGTGTGTTAAGTGCTAGCACTACTCCATTCCCCACCTAATTTTTAGCAAAAAGACCGATAACTTTTAAATGCTCATTTTCCCTGACCAAAATGAAGGAATGGCTTAAAGAATGGTGGGATTTCAAAATGAGGGATGATACAATATATGTATGTACAGAAATTTCGTATTTCAAAACTTAACTAAATAAAATATGAACACGAAAATAAATTATAAAATAAAAAAGTCCAAAACTCAACTAGAAATACAAGGATTTCCCCCAAGTACCATTATAATATTTTTATGCCAAGTTGATGGCAGTGGATATCATTTTTAAGTTGTAAAAGATCACTCTTTCATCTTCAAATTTCTGGTAATGACTTAAAACATGAATAACAACATGCAATACAAATAACATTCCAAATTCACTTCCCATTTTCAGATATATCTTAACATTTTTTGGCAAAACAAAATGTCACATTATGATGACAACTTAGGCACTTTTGAAACAGATAAGCTCCTCCCTCTCAAACATGATTGACAAGCTATGTACAGCAATATGAATAAATTACAGTTCCTATTTACATTCCATTTACCGGTTATCAACCAAGATCAATCGATCATAACTACAAATAACATATAATATACTGGGACTCTTTGGACATCTTTCAAATTTTCATTTAAAGGGATTGTAGTGAGGTTATTTTAAACTTTTTATATGTATCAGGGACACTAATAGCATCGATTTGCACCATTCCAATTTTCAGACATTGATGTCATGTCAGCATCATGAAAGCTGCTACGAATTAATAAGCAGCTTTTCAATAGTGATGTCATTTAAGGTTAAGCATTTCTAAATTTCAGGAACCACAAACAACTGATGGAAAATTAGAATGATGCTAATAAAAGTCAAGAGTGACCCCAAAACACATTTAAAAACTGGAAAACTTCAGTACAATTGCTTTAATTAAATTTCTTTAACCTTTATCAATCTCTTCTAAAATATGACACTATTTAAAATGGTTTTTCAAGAAGAGTTCATGGGTCAGCTGCACTAAATTCAGTTCTGTTGTGGAATGAATCAAAGGAATACTCAAGGGGAGGCGACTGATGATGAGCTACCACCAGATATTGTCCTATTACGGAATCTAGAAGCTGTTCTTCTGACTGCAAATTCCTCCAATAGTTCACTGTCTAATATTTGGGTAGTTGAAGGTCTCTCTAAGGGTTTCAAGGCCAATAACCACTGAACGAACTTCATCTACAACAAACAATGGTGTAAATCATGATAAGTCAATGATATCTACTGTTACAGAAAATAATCTTGTTTGCTTAAAGTTGAAAATTCAGCAAAATTATACGTATTAACAAAAATATAAATTTGAAATGTATTTAAAAAGTCTATAAACAAAAAAACAAATGAACGTGTGACTCTGTTGACCATAGACATAGGATTTTGAGAAAGGGAGTTCATTTCAAAATATCAACCCATGACATAAAGAGAATGCTGTAGCTCCTGTAGGTGCATGTATATGATCAAGTATGAAAGTTTTTCATTCCACCAAGTAAATTGGTGTATTTAGACAGAATCCTCTTTCTTTATTTTTGCAATTAAATACCTTACCTCTATTGGCATTTCCTTCTGGAATCTTTCAGGGAATACCAGATTTTTGACATTTACAAGTGTTCGGATTCTCTCCATTTGTGTAGAGAAAGGATAAAATAACTCAAAGAGAATCATTCCCATGGAAAAAATATCAACCTTATGATCATATGTTGCTCTAGCAACCTGAAAGGGAAAAGATTAGAAAAACATTCATAAACATATGTTACATAAAACTTTATGCTTATCATCAAAATAGATTTCACTTGTTATGTACATAATGAGACTGATTTTGAAGACAGTTGAAATATTAGAAAAAAAAGTATATCCGACAATAGAGACCCAGACTGGAATAGTTTAGTTGTCTGAAGATCACACAGCATGAAAGTGTAATAAAAAATTCAGTTTAAACATCCATTAAAGTGCAAGATATTAAAGAAACAACTACATTTAGATAACATCTTAGGTTCACAAACTACTGATCTGTACACATTAACAAAGATGACTTATTCAAAGTCATGATACTTTCACAAGCCAAATGAGATTAGAACCCATGACCACAATTTGTTTCAACCAAGAAAATAATGTTATGTTAAGAGCCAACATTCTAATCGCCCCATATTAATGTAGAAAATGAAACCAACCTGTTCAGGAGACATATATAACTGAGTTCCAACCTCGGCTGTATGTTTATCAGTCATACCAATCTGTTCTATATACTCATCATTCTGTTTCTCTACACCAGTTACTAAACCAAAATCTCCTATCTTTATAGCTCCATCAATTGAGAAAAATATATTAGATGGCTGAAATAAAAAAATTAGAAATTCTAAAGAAATTGTAGACATATTAAATATACAGCCCGCCAACCCCGGTAATCTCCCGCTTGAGTCCTTGAACTGTATATATAGAAGCCCAGAATGTGAGTAAATCAAATCAGTTTGAAGAGTTCAACCTTGAACGAAACTACTAGTCACTGATAACAAAAGGGATAACTGGTCGCACAAGCAAATCTTTATCTCACATATTAAATATAATTTGAAAGCATCTAAGAGATATACTATGGTTTATCAAAAGTCAATATATATTGATATTTCAGTTACAAATTTATCCTTTATTTGCTTAAAGGGGCCAATATTTTGTGATTTGGAATGGTAATAATCTAAAGATATGAAAGATGGGCATCATTTGATACCTCACCACTAACAATTAACAAATGTGTCAAATTATATATTCTTACAACAGTACTTTTAGACAATGAATAGTGCTGACATTAAGATTTTTAGATTCATTCACAATCAGTGGTGGCACCAACTGTCCACAATATTGACTTACAACACATAACTATATACTACTTAGGATACCGATTTAAACAGTTATTGACTGTGAAATGTGAAATATTATTGTGAAATGTTGCAGAGATTTTCTAAGCTTTTTATGTTTTATGTTTTATGTGAAAATTGATAGCATAGTATTTGAACCATTCAAATATTCAGATAGATATCTAATGGTTTTGGTCTAAAACTAAGAGTTTTATGATATCACTATCAGAACGGCCCTAAAACATTAGCAGGTTTTGCAAAATCATCAAATGCTAAGTTTTATAGAAATAACAACTACAGAATAACACATATCTAACCTTTAAATCTCTGTGCATCAGACCACAGCTATGAACATAATCCACAGCTTCCACAATTTGATCAAATACATCGAGAATAGTTCTTCGGTCACGATTTAACGTGTTAGCACATAACCAATCCTTTAATGTTTCTCTTCGACACAGCTGCATTTGAATATATAGATAGAGATTTCCGATTGGCTTAGTTTCTTTTTGCACTATTTCAAGTTTGTTTGATTTCGTAGACACTGATTCAGTTTCTGTACTTCCAATTTTAAATACTACATTCGATTGGTTTGAATCGTTACTGCTTTTATCCTTACAACCTGAATCTTCAAACACTATAGAGAACGATTCTTCTACTGCGGGACTGTTTTGGATGAGTCCATTGCTCGACACTGATGTATCACTTGATGTGGATATGTCATTGTTACTTTCGATTGCTCCAGATCTTGAATCTGCAAATTCAATTTGAAAGGAGTCCTCATTATTATCACAGTGTTTGTTGGTTTCACACGTTTCGATACTATACGAACCACTCTCGTCCGTAACTGACAAATCTAAGCCTTGATGTACTTCAAAAGTTTGTGAATTTCCACACTTTAAATTCCATTCATCACTTTTACTCAAACAATCTCCTTTACCAAATTTAGCAAGAAATTGACTTTGTTTTTTATGTTGAAAGGAAGAGAGATCTGTACCAGAATTACAAGGGGTTGGTGTCAAACATTCACTGAAAATACAGAAGTAAAGAAAATATGTAATTGATACTTTAGTTAAGATTGATGCATTGAAGATTATGTAATAAGAAGAAAGGGCTAAATCATTTTTCCTAAACTGGTCAAAAAAGACCATTTACACAAGTAAAAGCAGAGCTATAATTTCTTGTCTTGTTTGCTTGTAAATCTTCTCCACCTGTGACTTACAAATGAAGATCAAATGGTACAACATAATCCACGAACAAACAAGCCTCTTATCTATAAAATTATTACACATACCAACGTTTTTTTTTAAAGAGAATGCCTGTATTAAAGAACAAAAGGTTATACATACCTATCTTCTATCTGTAATCCAAGACTATCTTTCCATTCAAATGGTGGAGTTTCCATCCAAGCGTTGAAATATCTGACAATACCAGGGTGATCTAGTTTAGCGAGAGCCCTGACTTCTCTCATCACTCTATCTTTAGCTTGTAGACTGAAATTAAGATACATACAAAAGATTTAACTTAACAAATGCTATAGCTTTCATTTAACATAGCCACAAATAATTTCCCTATATAATCAAGTCCTTGTAGATTTTGGGTTTAGCACACTGCCACTCTTAGTACACTTGTTACATTGACACCTTATATCTATTTTGATAATATCGAAGAAGATTAGTTTTTAAAATCTTTTTGAATATTTTTAAAAATATAGGAGATATTAATATACATAAAATATCTGATCTGTTTTAATGAAAGGGACAAAGTATTGTCTTAAACCTCTCTTTAAAAAAATCTTCAAGCTGCCATTTTCATCTTCATTCTTTTCAAATGAGTAATAAAACAGACATACCTATTTGAAAGACAAATTCTTTTAATTGCATAGTTACATTCATCCATTTTATTAGTAGCTTCAAACACAACTCCAAATCCTCCTTTACCCAAACAATGTACAAAATCAAACTCTGTATTAAATCTGGATACAAATTCACTAGAATCAGAATTCTCAGAATCTGATCTCTGAACAGTTATATTACTATTATCATTTTTATCACCACTTTCAGACTGGAAAATAGAATAACAATGAGTTGGTATTGAATTCAAAACACATTGGCATTTTTTATAATTAAATAATGGTACACGATTTTATTGATTTCTACTGCAGGTCTTTTGTAACACACAATGTTCAACAATTTAATTGTTGATGATTTCACCTGATGATGACAATATAAATACAAATTTAAAACATACCACATGTTTCAGTTCCTTTTTAACTATTTTGGTAAGTATCATGTGTAATATAACTGATGTTATTAGACTTATAGCTATCACTTCTTTCCTGAAACATACAAAATATAATGTCTGTTGTAAATCATTTAGTAATGAGTATTCATAATGGTAAGTCATGAAGTGATGTTTGTAGTAAGTCATGGAGTGATGTTGGTAGTAAAAAATATAGTGATTCCCATAGTAATTTATGCTCTAAAGTAGATTTCAAGTCATGAAGTGATGTTTGAAGTAAGTCATACATTGATATCCATAGTAAATCGTGCTGGGATGTTTAATGTTTTTTATACACTGATGTGTGTAGTATACCATACAGTGATGTTTGTAATATATCATACACTGATGTTTGTAGTAAGTCATACACTGATGTTTGCAGTATACCATACACTATGTTTGTAGTACGCAATACAGTGATGTTTGTAGTAAATCATACAATGATGTTTGTAGTACATCATTCAGCGATGTTTACAGTAAGTCATTCAGTGATGTTTGCAGTAAATCATACAGAAATGTCAAAGTAAATAATACATTGATGTTTAAGTTGATCTAATAGTGATGTTTGTAGTAAATAATTCATAATTAAATATACATACCACCAGTAATGTAAAGAAGCTGGTAGATACATGATAGTGTCAGCCTCAGGCGTTAAATTATGGACTGGTAATAAATTCTGTCTTATAGCAGGGTACAGATAGTAACCATTATCTACAAATAGAACATGAACAATCAACTAATATATTTACACAAGTCACAAAGTTTTATTGAAATAGTACCTAGGCATATCCACATGTAGCTTGAAGAACTCCTACTTAAAGGAAATTCCAGAAAGGTTATAAAATAATGAAGTCACACTTAGTAGCCATGAAATATTTACTAATATAAGGAGAATGTGGGTTTCTGTCTGTTTGCCTCATGTACTCACTAATTATGTTCTGCACGCAGACATCTAACAATAACACAAAACAAATATTCAAAAAAAAGGTGTATAATACGTGTACATGTACTTACCAAAGGGATAATTTTCATGCCAGACTATCAATGATTTTTCCTTTTCTTCATCAGAGTTATCTCCCAGTAATGGTACGTTATTACCAGGCTTGTTACCACTGAATATTGGTGTTCTTGATGGTGCTAGAATACACATCAATCATATACGTATATAACAGTAATCAAACCAGTCAGTGATTGACTAATATTGTTGGTTAATGTTTTTTGGCTGAATCAATTGTACTCTAGTACTTTGTTGCAATATCTTTGTCTATCATAAGGAGTAAACTGACAAACCAATCATGGCTGCAATTCGATCTTTAAAGCACATAATTGCAACACAACGTTGCCAGTTGTATAGAAGTTGTCTTCACATTCTGTTTAGCATCTGACTTATAAGTATCATCCCTACAAATTGATGAGCAAGAAGTGTTTACCTGTACTAAGATATGGTCTCCAGGCTATCTGAGGAGAGAAATTACTGCCTGGTGCATTCATCATGTCTTCTCTTAATATAGCTGATGGTTGAACATACAACTGGTTCTGATGCATACCTGCTCAAAATATCAAAACAAATATTAGATCACCAGAATGAAAGTTGATGTCCCACTTTTGCGCTTAAGACTGGACAAATAATAATCCATTTACTTTTATAATGATTAGATAACTAACAAGACATCAAGTCAGCAATTTGTATGACTATCAATCTGTAATTTGTATAAAAGTATGCATTGATCTTTTCATTATGAAATTAATATTATTAATGTCCAACATATCTTAAAGACCTGCTATCCAACAGGTATTTCTAATAAATTTAAAGTTCAGTTAATGAAAGAGTAAAACTTGCCAACATATAGTAACGGTTCTTTAGGTAGACCTTCTATTGAGTTATCTGGTTGAAATGATGAGAGAGCTGGTACATACTTATTATCAAATAAACTCAATCTCTTCATTACACCCTTCTTTAATAACCAGGCATTTGTTACTGGACTGGAAAACTAAATATAGAGAGAAAGTTTTGAAAGTTGACTGTCAAGTAGTTGATGATAGATAATAAATATCTAAAAAAAATTGATATTCCTCTAAGGCAATGAATGGAATGGAGTTTTATGCCCTACTTTTTTGCACCTTATTGGGCTATTAAATAGAGGCAATGCCATGCAGTGTGAATGAAGAGAAGTTCGCAAGCATTAGCTTACATAAACAATGCAAATGTGTTTTCACAATGGAAGTCATAACAATCTTTCCCAATCCTTGTTCATATATATCAGTTTAGAAAGAAATGACTTTATTGATGGCATTCAAAATCACTTGAAGCTTGCTAATATGATAAAAAGTGTACCCTGCCTGACATTTTCAATATGGTATGGATAGCAAAAACAAATATTTAACGCAAGCATGTGGATCTAGTGAAAACTTTGATAGATCTTAGTGATATTGACTAACCCTATGTTGCCATAAGACTTGATTATCGTGGTCTGGAGACAGTGATACTATCATTCCTTCTGGTACAATAATCTTTAATGTATGATCTAAATAATCTGTTAGTCTCTCCTCTTCTTCAGTTTCATCTATAACAAAAACCATCAGTAGGAATTAAAAATCTTTATACTGAGAATATCTACTTAATGTCCTGTAATGTATACTAAAGATTCCACTACATCAATCAGCTGAACGAACATGTTAACTGATTTCTTAAGTCTTGTTCATTATGTTTATGCCTTCGTAAATGTTTTCAGCGTTCAGTGACATCAAATTATCTAAGGGGCTATATGTCTGATAAATGTAGTAAAAACATTTGTTTTTTACAACCAGTGATTGAGTGACTGGAAGAAAGACAGACAGATAAGCCGAAAGTTACCTGGAGTAGGACAAGGTGTTATTGTTACTCCATCTTCATCTCCTATTTCATCATCAGCTAGTGGTAGTGAAGCATCAACAAACTCTAATTCATGATGTCCAACACTGAAGTTCCACCTAAAGAAAACAAATATTTGAGTTAATTCGTACTACTGATATTGACTGCAGTTTTACTTAATGCTTTTCTGAACCTCATTGAAATAGTGAAAGCTATGTTTGAATAACAAAGCATCCTTTTAGCTCCTAATAAATTGTTCACTTTAAACACTAAACAAATATGACTTTAACTGCTTTAAAAATTAAATAATAATTGCTTCAGAAGTCTCTTTGTCACTTTCTCCAGACATATAAATTCTCAGACATGAAATTTGTCAAAGCTACCTTTCTGTTCCAGACTTGGATTCTACAGCTCGGACTGTCTGGGTACTTCTCTTAATGACAATAATATCTTCATCATCAGTAACCTCCCCTTCTCCAAGAAACTTACATCCATCAACACCACATACATATCGTACCTATGATAGAAGTTATTATTATTGAATGTTATGTTCAGGACTGCAAATTCTGTATTTTTATGAATTGTTGTTAAAAAAAAAAAAATAATATGAAACCTATTTGGTTCAATAAATGATAACAAAAAATTCTCACTGTCAAATGAATATATAAGTTTTTATTCAGTTATCTTACTTCTTACTATATTGTGAATCATGTGTCTAACATAATCCTGAATTAGTAAGGAAATATGAGCCTATGATTAAAATCATTGACCAATGAGATAAAAGTGGGGAGAATATCAGTTTACATAATTTATAGTTAGTTAAATGGTTAAACACAATAATAGTAGTCCTTATTTGACAGGAAATCTAGTTTGCAAGAGGCAAAGCTTTTATGGTACCTCCCAAAAGTACACATATAATATATACATTACATACAAGGCAGGCTAATGATGAAAAGGCAAAAAAATACATGTATAGAAATAAAAAAGTTGATGCGCTATAAGTTAGTCTTCCTTTAACCTCATTACAAAAAAGGCAAGAGCAATTGAGTAAGGTAATGAATTTCATAGAAGATTTGCAGTGAATTAGATACAAAGATCTGAATAATAGAGTTTTCTCAAGTAATAGTTTTACCTGTCCAGATAAAGCATCTACACCATAAGATTTGGTATCTTTACCTCCAATCATCATAGTCCTATCATCCAGACGGAATGAGGAGCCGAGTAGCTTCTCCGCTGTAATAGGTACAGCCTCTATACTGTCACCATCATATTGATATAGACCTCCATCTAATGATGGTATCAGTCTGGTTCTTACCCCATCTTTATTCAGCTAAAATATACAGTATTTTCCTGATAATTACCATAATCAGGGCATTAAGCTTAGTTGATTGGCTCTTCGCTTATCTAAAGTGCTTGAATAATGACCTTATTTGCTTGACCACAATAATGGTGATTGTGAGTTAAATTCTCTGTCAGCATTTGAAAGTCTGGTAACCTTGAATAAGTCATCTTTATTCAGTGTTCCAGTGAACCCAGCTCTTAATAAGAATATATAATACAAGTAAAATCAATGTAAAGATAGTAGATAGGATCCATGAGAACATTAGTCATTGTATTTCCTTTTTTAGTAATAAAACTACATAAATCTCCTGTAGGCAAATGACTTTTTGAACTGAAGATTTCATAAATAATCTAACCTCTAATTTGCCAATACTAGAAGATAATAATGGTCTAGCATCAGCCTGTACAGACCACAATAATTGTCCTTCATTTTTAACATCTAATACTGAAACTCTACCATCTAGAGTACTCACAAACATCAATAAACTGAAATGGAAACATAGAAAGTTATTTTCAAAATTTGATAAGTTTCATTTCAATCATTTTATATTTAGACATAAGAGGAAACATTTAATGTATAAAACCAAGGCTGCATATTAAACTTGAATCTGTAACAAGTTTAGCATGCAAAGTTTTGATGCAAAAACACAGTCTGATAATAGGATATAAATTAATTCAATTATCATCATAATGAAAGTAAAGCCTCAGGGTGTGCTATATAATAATATTTTAACCTTCATAATTGAAAGTTTCAATGTTTATAATTCAATTTGTTTACTACATATTATATATCCTAAAACATAAGGGACACCATTCCACGCCATGGAGACAGGGATCTGATTGCTGCAATGGACAAAGTTCTGTTATAGATAGATGTAGGCTGTAGATAGCTGCGATGTAAGTCAGATTTGGCCTTAGGGGATTCCCCTTACTAAAACTTAATGCTGCATCAGCATTATTATATGCTATATCCATATAGCAAGTTACCACTCACTTGTCTTTGACAGATTCACAGTGGCCTCCACTGACTCTTGGGTGTGAGTCCTGAATGGAATTCCCCAAATGATCTTCCTCTGGAACCTTGACATAACCAGGTTTTCCTGAACATATAGCACTCAAAGATGCTATGACGCCTACAACACGAGCCAACCACTTGCTACATCTATTCCTACCCATCTATCAGACATAAAAATAGCATCTATTATGCTACATTGCAGAATTGTCAGGAATTATGATTCAATACTTCAATGTTTACAACTTGGTCGGAAGTTCTACTACAACTAATTTGATTGGTCCAATAGATGAACATACTGGAAATGACGTCAGGTTTAAAACGTGGCTTAGAAATACTGTATTACTTCCGGTGTCAATCTGGAATTTTCTGTGCTAAAAATAGATTATGACATGACTTTGATCTACTGACCTACTTTGAATTTCTTAACTGAAACGAAGCAATCAATTATTATTTCCTCATTACAAATTTAATTATATAGATTACTATTCAATGACCCAGCAATAACACAACAATTGATTTATACAATAATTTCAATTGATTATTTATGATATTTAATAATTTTTTAAACAATCGATTCGTTTCAGCAAAGAATATAAAAATTTGAAAATACCAAGATGGCAGCCTCCATGAATTCTTTTTTTTTGAAGAATGAATAACAAAATATTGCAATGAATGGAAGTAAAATGAAGAATGATTCTGGGCCAGAACCAGATAAAGCTGCAGTCCATGATATCATCAATAATATCAAGTCTCAGGGTGTTTTTGATCAGTTCAGAAAAGAATGTTTAGCTGATGTTGATACAAAGGTTTCATTCTTTTGTTTTTGTTTATTTTGTAAATGAATTGAGATACCAGTCTTAATCTGAATAAAATATCCATATTATGCACCAGAGTCAAAATTTAATGTCATTGAATGTGTTTTTGCATATGATATCAGCATTGACATTGTCAATTTATGTCAACATCCCTCCTCCTACCATGTACAGTGGTGTAACCTATTTTCGTGGATATAAGGATTCAACACCGAATTTCGTCAAAGTTAAAAAAATGAAAAAAACATTTTATGTCTTAGATGTTTTTTCAGATATTCTACAAATAATTATTTAATAAGTTTATTTTGATTTTCTTTATGAATCCTTCACTTTGACCCATATTTCATGAGCAACCAACTCGGCGTCACCTATTTTCGTGTACAATGTTTGATCTATAAATAAGTCTAGAAAAACACGTTGTATGGATAACGGGTGGTATAATTAACTTCTCTTAGTATTTATCTTTAATATCAATTCATTATAACTAGTGACAATTCCTTCAAAGAACCACGATTTTAAAAAAAAATAGTGGCTGACAAAATAAGATACGTAGCGTGATTTATTGCTAAAAGTCACTGAAACAACATAAGAAAATGGTCCACTTTGTGTTCCATAGAAATTTTCTGCTGACAGAGAATCCGCTAGTTGATCACGTGACTTCATTTGTTGGAATATATTCTAGCAGACGACACTTGGGATTATAAGGAAATTCGGCCGATAAAAAATTGTGACGTTTGGTAATAAGTGAAATCCGCCATTTTGTATTTGTCAAAGTAAACATTAATACATTTTACCTTGCTTGAAACTACTGGATTCATTCTACTAGCTGATATTGTAGAGAAAACCCATGTTTATCAAAACAAACTAATGCGGAGGTCGCGCAAGGTAGCTCATGTAAATTATTAAACATTTCCGGAAATCCACGAATAATATTTTTCCACGAAATTAGGTTACTTGACTGTATATGTTTCAGAGGTCTTTTTTATTTGATCAAGTAAATCAATGGCTCTAATTCTATTTACAGCTTTAATTCAGTACTAAAACAAGTAACAAATTTTAAAATGATATAAGTGGCTTTTATTATTTTCAGCCTGCTTACCAAAATCTACAGTCAAGAGTTGAGAATTATGTGAATAGATTTTTATCGAAACAGACATGGACACCAAATTTAAACAAGAATCAGCTCAGAGAAAGTCTTAGGAAACAGATTAATCAGTGAGTCCTGAAGAATTTTTTATTTATGATAAATTTAGACATAAAAGATAGTGGACCACAGCCATATACGCCCACCACGGCATGCGGATGGTAAAAATGAAACATCCATTTTAAGTTTCATCAAAATCGGTTGAAGACTAAGAGAGTAATAGCATATTCAAGATTTTGGGGCAACTCTGCTTCTAACGGTCGAAAATAGCTCAAATTCGAACTTGATCTTCGTTTTATGAATATGTATACACATACCGAATTTCATTTGTTTCCGACGGACGGACAGGGGTGCTGACAATATACATCCACATGGAGAGATGTGGGTGTATAAAAAGAGAAAATTTAGAATACAGACAATTTTGTCGATAAATTTTCCATTAAATTTCATCTTTAAATTACAATGTGATTATCGTAAGATTTTTTGAGTATAAGGGGCATCAATTTATGACTTTGCTCTTTGTAACATAGCAATAGGTTATGGAGATTACTGATATGATTTAGTGAACTGTTCACTTCTAAACACTACAAACAGCTAATCCATTATAATGCTTATAATTTATCATTTATAGATCTGGAATGTTAACAAATGGTGTAGAGAGAATAATAGAACAAGTTGTCAATCCTAAGATATTTCAGTTTATTAAACCAAGAATTGATGAAGTGGTTTGTCAACATCTTGGTATTGATCCTAAACAACGACAAGAAGAATTACATCAACGCAAGTTACAACAGCAATCTTCACAATTAGGTGAGATGTCAGTGTTCATATACCTCAATCTTATGACAGGAGCAGCCAGTTCTCTTCTTATCTTTCAACCACCCTAGCTCCTACTTTCATGAAGAGGTTTTTTTCTATTACTTTGTTTTTCTTTATTATAGGTGCAACATCAAGAGAAAATGCCAGTTATAATCAAAACAATCCTCAATATACACAAACAAACTGGCAACCACCTAATCCTTTTGGTGCCCAAAATCCTAATATGCCTGTTAACATGTCATTTCCACCACAGTTTGGATTTAACCCTCTACATCCAACATTTCAACAGATTCCTGGATGGGGTGGGTTGTATCCTCCTGGGATGGAACCATTCAGTGCACCCCCATTACCAGCAGAACAACCAGCTGCTCCTGGGACTGAAGAAGCACCCCTTCCACCCCCAGCTGCACCCCCACCTGAGGATACCAACACCCCTCCTCCTCCAGAACATGAACCAGAGGAAGAGACTGTGGCTGCTGAAGAACAAACTGACGTAAAACATGATGAAGTATCCAAAGCTTCTGGTTCACCAATGGATATTGATGAGAACAGTCGAGGCTCTTCAATCACTGAGGTAGAAATGACTGATGTGGAACATCCCAAAACAGAAGTAGTTGAACCAAATCCACCAGAAACAACCAACACTGATTCTCAAGAAGCTAGTAAAAAGCAGTATAAGTTTGCATGGAGTAAGGCTGTAGAGGAAGAGGATGATGATAATATTGATGGGGATCTAAGTTCCATTCATACCAGTGATCTTTCTTCATTTGAATATTCCTCTCCTAGTGATAATGAAGAAGATAAACCAGCCAGTGCTCAGCCATCACCTGTCAAATCACCTGTTAAACTACCACAACAAACAGTACAGAGTGAGTATGAATGAATTTGTGTGACTTCAATATAAGTGATTTAAATCTTATTTGATCATTATATATATTGTAGTTTCAAATTTCAACTACAAAGAAAATTTTTTTTCAAAAAATACTTCTTGGTGACTTTAATTACAGAGCAATATAGAAAATATTGAGACATAATATGAAATATATGGTCAGTAGTTTATGCTGTGCATTCTTCACATTTGTTAGGAAATTGATATGTAGATATTCTAATAGATTTTTATAGTCACAGTGTAATGACAAAAGTGCACCCTGCTCCACATATTAGAATAGTTATGACTTTTTTTGGATATACTACTTTCATTTTCTATAATTAATATGTTGTGTTAATTTCAGCATCAGAACAAGAAAATACCGAAACTCTTGCTGAATCAGCAACAACTGGTAATGAAACCACTGATGTTTCACCTCATAAACCTCGTAAACTTTTATCATTGACCTATAATCTAAGTGATAGTGATGATGATGAAACTCGAGAGGAGAGGAAGGCTAGAATTGTAAGTTAGCCTATATCATAAACCTTCTTAATCCTTCTTTATATGGATATCACTGTTTCCTTAGTACTGATGTTGTATTTTATAAGGTTATATATCAAACTGTTTACTAAAGTAATGGTTATCAATATAATTTGTCCAGGTATTCATGTATATGAATTGTTAAATGAATACCAATATATGATATATCAATGTCTATACTTAGGCTAAAGAGAAGGAAGAGAGGTATCAGAAGAGATTACAGAGAAGAGCTGAACTTGAAGCTAAGAGGAAAGAAAGAGATGAAGAAAGAGCCAGATTGAAGGAAGAAAAGAAGAAGAAGGATGCTGAGAAACCTGCTGTAGTTGATGATAAAACTGAAAGTTCTCAGACTGGTAAGTTGTCGTAATCAAGTATATCTTGATGATGAAGTGATGGCTATCAAAATCATTGTCTTCCAGTGTTGATGTGCTAGCATTGAACTGAATTAAAAATTATATCACTGTGACGTTTCTATGAATCCTTAGGTGAGGGCACTCACATGCTACTCTTTCCCTATATTACAATATTAAGAAATATGAGAGAGGAATGGCAAAAGCAAGACCTGTCTCAGTCTTTGGAGGGAGATATTGTTAAATTTATTACAAATTCTACATTATATTGTTTAGTAAATATTACAAGATAACATGAAAAATATTTTGATATTTTATAATTCAGAATCAAAGACAGAAGATGTGACATCATCAATGGAAACAGAGGATGAGAAGAAACCAGTTAGAAAGAAGAAAACAAAAGAGGAAAGAAAAGAACAATTATTTCAACAGAAGGCAATGGAGAAAAGAATGGCATTACGTAGACAGAGAACTCGAAATAAACGATACACGTCAGAAGAGTTTACTTCAATATTCACTTCGCAAAAAACACCTTTCTCTAGTCAGAATTATTCTCAAGTTGTAGAGGAAGTAGAAACTGAAATAATAGAGACAGAGACTATTGAGACTGAAACCATTGAAATAGACAATACAATGAATTATACCATGGAGAATTTCCAAGTCAGTGAAGTTTCCGTTCAGACCCCACCCACTCCAACCCAAGATGAATATCCTGAAAATGTTGCCGATATTCCGCTACCTGACACTCCTGGTCCAATTGAACTCCCACAATCGGCCTTGACCTCTGTTACCATAGTACCATCTGAAGGTCAGCAGAAGATAGAAGAAAGTCAGCTACAAGCTGTGTCTCCTGAAAGTAACGCATCTGAAAATTCTACTCCAGCCACTGGAAACAGACGGCGCAGTATATCAGGCGAAGGAGAGGCTCCAACTAGACGTTCACAGCGTCATCTAGCTGCGGTAGAAATCAGAACGAGGAGAGAATCACAAAGGTGAGTTAAGTAGCATTTTGTTGTTAACAATAAGTTACTACTGAAGACAAGACAAAAACTTTTGTGAAAACTCTTGACAACTGAAGTCAGGTAGAGACTCATTAAATATTGTCTTGTAACAGTCAGTATGACTCATGGGCAAAACTGTATATGTGTTCAAAAGAAATTTGCATTGACATTGTTTTTGGAAGGAAGATGTTGTATTTCATTGTTGGATGAACATATGGTTAGACGCTTTATTATAAGAATGTTCTGAATTGTTTTAATGATGTTGACATTAGGTACTTTCACTTTCATGTTAACAGCGACTGAAACATTCCATGTCATATTTGCTCACATATTCACGTGTACTTTCTGTATCATGTATTTCAGAGGGAAATCACCTGAAGGAAGTCGTTCTAAAACTAGTCAGAGATATGATACATCAGATTTATATAAACCTAGGATTAGTCGTAGAAGACATACTCCACCTTCGGCAAAAAGGTATGGATTGGTTCTTCTTGAATTGATATGAATGTTTTATTTTAAACTTGCAATGTTTTAATAATTGTAAGCAGATCTAGCCTTTTATTGAATAAGCACACCTCTTTGATACTTTGATAAAATATTTTGTGCTTTTTCTATGATATGTGTTTGTTATATGTACTCCTCACTTCTTAATGTCGTTCAAATTCTACAGCCTTTTATTACTAATATTTTAACTTCCCAATTAAGAATATATTGATAAAGAGTAAGGTTTGATGTTAATAATGATATACTTTTCAGTTCTGAAACACCTACAGCATCGCCTAGCCTTGATACTCGGTCATCTAGAAGATCTAAGAGGGGTCAGAAAACTGACAGCTCAGAATCTGGTATGTCTTTAACTTCTTTGAGAAGGGTTAAATAACCAAACTTTATGTTGAGGCATCATTTCTGATGCTGTAGATTGTATTTTGTTATAAGACACGGTCTAATCCTTTGAATATGATGATTTGTGTGGAAAAAAACGAAATATTCATTGACAAAGAGTTATCATTTTGTTAAATTCTTCCCTTTCAGTACAAGAATTAGAAGATGGTAGTGTATCAGTTTCTTGTACATTGGAAATCCTTCAAGGTCAACTAGAGGTCGTAGATGCTGAAAGTGGGCAGTTGAAGACTGTTTCTGCAGATTTAATGGATCCATCAGTAGTTACAATCGGGGAAACTGAAGTCATTGAGACTGCTGTAGTATCGTCTGAATTGCTTCAAGGTGATGATTTTGAACAAGTTGTAGAAGCTGGAGAAATTGAAACAGGTGAAGTTGTAATCGAGGAAGATGATGATGTAAAAGTAGAATCAAAACCAAAGAAGATCTCTCGCAGACGCCATTCTTCAAAATCTACCAGGACATCCTCAAGGTCAACTTCAAGGTCAAGGTCACACAGAACTTCACGAACTTCTTCCAGATCGTCTTCACGATCCCGTTCACGTTCTAGATCAAGACACTCTGCTGATACTAGATCCAGGCGATCCAGATCTGATGACTCAAGGTCACGCAGGTCAAGGTCAGCAGGTTCCAGATCCAGAAGATCCCTCTCTGAATCTAGATCTTACTCTACATCAAGATCCTATTCCAGATCTAGATCCTATTCCAGGTCAGGCTCTTATTCTAGATCCAGGTCTCACTCAAGGTCTAGATCATACTCTAGATCTTACTCCAAACACTATTCAAAGTCAAGGTCACGTTCTCGATCAAGGTCAAAGTCCTTAAAGAGCACTGAGACAATTTCTGAAGAAGAAGAAGGAGAAGATGGAGAATTAGGAAGAAGTAAGAAACCAATTGAAGAAGTCTATTTTGGAGAAGCTGAAAGAAGAATGAGAGAAATTATTCGTAAGCCTGTTGAACAAATTAGCTTTGGATTAGCTGAACAACATGCCAGACATAGAGCACCTTGGCCTGCTGGAAATTGGCAGGGACAAAAAACGTAAGTTCTTGTGCATCTTTATTTGCAAAGATAAAAATACTTTTATATAGAGTTAGTGGTTCATGCAAAAAATACTTGCAGTCACAAAATAATATTTGAAAATTATTCACAGATATTTAAAACTCACGAAGTTCAAAAAGTCTCTTCAGAAAACTGATTAGATCTTTTGAAATTTCTTTTTATTAGTATGAAACCAATTTGAAAAATGCAGGCAATTCGAAACCCTTGATAATTATTGAAGTCAGTCATGAGTAATATCATTTGATTGTTATCCATTTCAGGAGAGGAAGAGCTAATTTTAGAGTATCATCAAGAGGTCCATACACCAATTATCAACGAGGAGGCTACTCAGACAGAGGATTTAGACGAGCTGGTGTTTCTCCCAGAGAAGATTTCAACAGGTCACCCACTAGAGAGGCTGCTGCTTCTCCCTCGAAAAGATATTACCCCATGGGTGAATCACCTCCATATAATAAATCACCATCACCAACATATCGTCCGATATCACCAGGTCCTTTTGACTCACCGGAAGATGAAAGATTCAGAGAGTCGCCAGCCAGATATAGGCCACCTTCACCAGGAACACCACCAAGAACAGGCTACAGACCTCCCTCTCCCAGTGCTAGACCTGCATACCGACCACCATCTCCTAGTGGTTACCATTCAGCTTCTCCAACAAAAACTGGCTACAGAAGACTTGAACGCCCCCCTTCACCCAGTTCTGCTCATTACAAATCACCCCCAGGATCTGGTTACAAATCAGAACCCATTCACCCCACAATTCGACCTTCGACCCCACCTCCTATTTCTGGTGACCTTCAAACATCACCTATATCATCTTCACCATCTGAGGGCCAGTGTACCCCTAGTCCAGTTTATGACGAACCTGTCTCCAGACAAACTCCTCCCTCAGCTCGACCTCCAAGTCCCCAAGCCTTGAGACCCCAAACTCCACCCCATATTGACAGCCCTGGAGTGGTGTCACCACCTTCACCCCCTTCAATCAGAGAGACTCGAAGAACTAGAGCCCCTTCTCCTCCCCCTGTACATTTTACTAGAAGCCACAGAGAGAAGAGTCCCCCTGCTAAGAGACCCAGGAGATAATAAAACAATACTGTATCTGGTTAGGTAAAAGTAATCTTAAGGTATTAAAGTCTCTTGGTTAATTGTCTGAAAGGGATATAGTGTATAACTCTCCTGATAAATGTCAGTTACAGATAGCTGGAATAAGGCAATTATTTAGATAATCTTTTCATCTTTCACTTTCTTTTGCTGTTATTAAAAGGAAATTACACCCAGAAGTACAAAAAAACTTGTGAAATTTAGCTATTCCTTTTGCATCTAATGTAAAACAGAAAATTACTATCAATTAGTAATGCATTGCAAATAATAATAAATAATTTTGTAAAAATTTAGCTGATCAGTTTATATCAGTTGATAAATCCAATCATGTTATACAGTTAAATATGTTGTTCTATTATGAATCATGAAGAGATGACCAAAGTTCCAATATTATGGATAATTATTATTGTTAGTGCTACTTTTGTTTTTTAAACTTGATGTGTACAATATTATACAGATACAAGGAATTCCCCTTTACAAAATATGAAAACCTTTTTGTGTCCTCTATGTTAATAAATTGACTGTGCCAAGTATAGTCTTGGTTGTATCAACTGAAGTTGGCCATTAGAACATTCTTGTGTTCCCAGAACAAATATGTTGTAATAAAGAAATATTTCAAGTATGTTCATTAATTCTATTCAACTGTAACAGGTTGGGATAAACCAGGAAAGATCCATGCCAAGAGGTTTGGCCAAGGACAAGCTGATAGACATGATTCTCATGAATCAGTTTTTATTCTTTCTTCTCTTTCTTGAAGGGAAAAAATTATTAGGCTATTACTGTGAGTATGTGAATTGTTTAGTTAATTAATTTTTCATTAATATCAATATCATTAAAATTTTAAATCATCATTATCTTGATTGCGTTTCTTACATGTTACTACAAAAGCAGAGTATACTTCCTTAGTTTCAGAAACAGGAATTTTTTTAAGCTTTCATAATAAGTAGTAGTGTTCACAGCTTATCGTCGAAATATGAGCCTTCAAATCCATCCGCGAAAATACTGACTTTTCCCCTTTGAATTAAAGGAATTGTAAATAGGTTTTCTAAAAATTTTTATGTGTATCTCATTGATAGCATCAATTTGCACCATTCCATTTTTCAATCAGTCGTAAGTGGTTGCTGTTATTCTACTTTAACTAATAGGTTGATGACACGCAGGGCCTTATGTGATAAAGCATATTTTGCGATTAGTGATGTCATCCAACACTTAGTTTTAGTGGAATTGCGTAACCACAAACGTCTAATTGAAAACTCAAATGGTGGAAATTGATGCTATCAGTGTCCCCCTACACATAAAAGATTAATAAACCCATTTTACTATTGATAAAACTACTAACTGTGAGGTTTATGATATAATTTAATGGTAATGGTTGAACAGTCAATATAATATATAATGAATTAAAATCAGTAGGTAACTGACACTAGACTACCCTTGTCATACATCATGCATACACTATAAATACACAGCATATTAAAAATACTCAAATCTCCTCGAATTGACACCAATGATGTCAAATTTTAATTAGCTGACAAAACCTTTTTTTACCTATTCAAGACTCAAATGAAATTTTGCAAGATTGTTCTATATTCTTAAGACTTTGGTAAATAAAATATGCCTTAAATAACAAAAGAAATATATATCATACATCTTAAAAGGGGTAAAAATCGTTCACAAACTTGAAATACATATACAATTTTTAATGTAATTGGCAGGCCCCAACTGGCATATCCAAAATATGTATTCTTGACAGTTGAACATATCTAAAGCTTTGTGTCTCTTTTTGATTTGAATATCGATAACATAAAGATTTATAATATAAAATACATTACTTTGCTGCTTTCTTTTTGGTTCATTGGAAATCTCAAACACTAGTTGTTTCTTACATAATCAAACATGTTCCCAGATCAGCACCAAACCTAATATCTCTTATAATACTATCACTAACAAATCATACTGTAGTCACTAACAAACTATTATTTTGATTTAAAACAAGGTATTTCAATGTAAAATTAATTATATACAAACTCTTTATCAAATATAAATAATCACCTCTCATTAACAACATTTCATTATAAATGCATGGAAATAATTGAAAATTTGCACTTCCAACTCATCATGCCCACAGTAATTGATTCTAAGGTTGAACTTCAAACTACATTCTTGACATTTCTTGAGAACTCTTCAGTTGGGGAGGGGCACAAACAGTCAACTTGCCTTTCTGATTCTATGTCATCTCAAGTTGTCAAGAATGAAGTTTGAAATAACCTCAAAAGATAATTTTACTAAATAATTACTTGAGTAATTACTGCTTTTAAAATGGCATGCTTAATGCTTAGACATATTAATCTTACAAATAGATGTACATAAACTCCTATGTCAGTTATTATTATCAAAGCACACTTAACAAGGTAGGACATAAAATTCATCTTAATATGCCTTATTAAAATAATCATATGTAGTCTAGCACTTTCAATACTTAAATAGCACTCTCAACAAGATGATACTTTAGAAATAACTCTTAAAAACACATGCATTCCATAATAAGCACTCAGTTTAAGTAAATATTGCCCTCAGTTATTATATTAATGGTCAAAATACTTTTACAACAAATCTGTACAAATAAAAAAAAGAATACCAAGTAAATTCAATATCATTTTGTTAACGGAAACAGAGTTCAATAATGCTGGCTGTTGATTTATTGTAAAAAATCTTTGAATACTCCTTTTGTCTTTCAAATTCATCAATAAATTGTTGTGATAAATTGTTGTGGGTGTATAAAAAGTGTAAGATAATTCCTCTTCTTTCAGAGTGTCTCCAACAACCTGCTATAGCTCACAAAAGCAGTACAAAAATATTCTTTTCATTTCAGATGATTGAATGGTTATCTTTATCTGCTTTCTAAAACTTGGATTTCAATCAATATTATCCTAAATGCTTTTGCTGGGGTTACAAACTTGTGATGAAAATGTTGATACAACCTGTCAATATGTATTGATATGAGACATGCAATTTCCTTATATGGATCACAATACAATAGTTTACATTTCATCAGGCAATACAGTAATACACAATCCTCTCTCTGGCCAGCTGTATGTTTTAGGACATAATATCTGTAATAAAAAAAATGTTAAGATAATAATATATTCAAAATTTCACATATCAGACATTAAAGGCTACAACTTGCAGAATAAGACAGCAACTAAGAGAATCTCATCCATTACTGGATTTAGTCAACAATGAAGCTGACAAATTGCAATTGTGCTAATTTCCATCAGTTTTTCATGTTTGCCCATTCTCCCTCAAACTAACTTAAGATACAATAGGTTTAAGGTATACAAAAACATATGTTGACCATTTATTTGTTCTAATGTAATGTGGATAGGAGAAATATTGAAATATCAATAGTATTGACTTACAATTTATGAAAACATTTACTAAAGACATCATTATTATTTCAATAAAAGGTAACATTCTCTTTATACTTACATCATCATTAGTTAATTCATCTAAATCATGGATCATTTCTTCTATAAAATCATCTGTTAATAATACCTAACAAAAATTACAAAATAAAAACAATTTAATAATTGGATTTGAAGTGGTTACTGCATAATCTTGTTAAGTTTGTCTCAAGTTTCAGCAAACACAGATGCCAGATGATAATTATAAGAAGCTATATGTTTCCTGATATACAGGCATAGACCAGAACACTGGAGCAGAAGAAATGAAATGAATGAGTTTTATGTCCTACTTTCTGGACCATGTGGGCTAATGAAGACGGACTGGAGTAGAAGAACTGATTCATAATAAATGAGGAGAGAAATATAACATTTTCATCAGAAATATGACAACTTTTCTTAAAGACTTGAATTCATCTGCACAATTTTACAAAGTTTGGTGTACCAATGATAACCAATCTATTACCAACCTGTAACCACATGCCATGGGCAGCAAATGGATGTTCCTCATCAGCAAATGATCCCACTACACTGGATGATACTAGTGTTATAGCCACATCATTTAATACACTTTTAAATGTAAAATGTCTACCATGACGTAATCTACCCCTGAAAATTCATAATTAGAGATTTAAGAAATGAAACTATTCCACCTTCTTAGGCCAATGAAAACTTGAAATGGAGCATGTGAGTGGGAAAAACGGACTATTTGTCACTACCATATTTAGCTATCAGTCAAGAGGTACGGAACAAGCATTACCTTCAGCAAATAATGTCATGACATCCATTTGTCACATTTTCACTAGATGCTATTTCCCTATCAGCAATGTAAAACTCTCACCCTATGTCAGCCTAGGTTAATTTCCTGAGCTATCCCAAATCCAAGGTAAGATTAAACAAAGAAGCGCTTAGTTTAAATAGACCTTATAACTTTTCTTTGAATATGATGTCAATAATTTCAAATTGAATCTCTGTAAAATAGGTTGGTCTAGATTATCTCCTGCCTATTGGAAGAATATTTTCTTATATAAAATATTTCTGAACAATAATTATTCTTACCTAAGTGCTAAAGGTAATAATAAACCAGCTTCTAGATTGAATTTGAGATGAATAGCATCAAGAGTTCTAGTACGAGTTAATTCAGCAGGACCTTCACTAACTGTACTATCAAATGATTCCTTACGGGATTGATTGGTATTTCTGGAAACAAAAGATTAAAGGTAAGGTCTTTCTGACTATGACTGAATCTTGCTCATATATTTGCGCTTTTTATAGACATCTATAGTCTGATGCCAGAAACATCTGAAGATTTTAACTGTATGACTATAATCTGTAACTGGTTAATATCAGTTGATTACTATTTGAGGTATGATCTAGTTGACATGGACTTGCCAATATTTACATTTAATATGCCAATGCATAGATAACATTAACTATCAGATCCTTAGATATGTGAATTATAAACTTATTAATGCCTTATTTTCTCAAAAGTAACTTATATGAATATAGTAAAGTAACTTACGGATGAGATTCATTATCCCTGGTGTTCTCTGATCGTAATGGATTATGTAGATTATTATGACTGGTACTTAAACCTTTTGTTAATGTTGCTTTGATTTGTTCTGAATCTACAAAAAATACAACACAATTTTTTATATACACATAATAAAGTGTCAGTACAAATAATAGCTTTTGAATTGGTCAGTTGCAAAAATTCCTTTGTGAAGTTTTGGGAAAGTTTGTCACTTTGAAGTCAATTCCATTGCACTAAAACTAAGCATTTTATTATGTCACTATCTCAAAGGTCCTTAGATATTATTAGCAACTCCTGCAATAGTTATGTCATAAAACGCTTTGTTTAAATAATAGTGTCCCTGATACACATAAAAAGTTTGAAAAACCTATGAAAAATCCCTTAAAAGAATTAAGTAAGTCCATAAAGCTCTTACCATGTTGTGAAATATGAGGTCTACCACTAGAAGAATCAATACTATTACGTCTTCTGTCATCATGTGACCTATTTTCTTTATTCTCATCTTCCTCATCTCCATCATGGTTACCAGGTTCCTCCCACGAACAGCGATTACTGACACCAGATAGATTAGAACCTTCTTGTTCTATACCTTGATCTACTGTCTCCTGTAACTCTGGGTCTATTTCAAATATAGTTTCACCTCTTCTCATATCTGTTATTAACCATGGTCCTCCAGCACTGTAAGCAAATTTACAATGTATCATAAGAAGATATATGAAATTAAATAGAGTTTTTGAGTTTTTTTTGCAGTGGATAAGGGCAAATGGAGACAGGCAATGTTATGGAGTGTGCAGCAAAGTTAGCCTACTCTTTCAATTTATAACTATCAATGGATGTTAAATATGCACAGCCTGTAGCCATGGGGCCTCAGTTAACAACTCAACTCAAGACGCTTTTTCCAAGTCAGCACCTTCGCCCTCCATATACAGCTAGGATAGACGAATGAGAACAGAACAATGAAGGCCATAACACTTACACTTCCTTAGATCTTAACAACTCTATAACACCAGGTCCATTCCAGTGTTGTGCTGCTCTTAACTCTTCACTACATATACCTACTATCTGTACAAAGTTGACACTACCAAATGGTGTATTGATGGGCTGTAACTGGGAATCATCTGACATTAACATATGTTGTATCCGAGACTCACTACCATCTAGTGGGTTGTGCCAGGAAACATGGTCACCAGTACATAGAACATTACCTACATAAAGTATAAATTTTGGTGAACATTTAAAATAGATGTCAGTTTCACTGATTGATAAAAACACAAAAACAATGTAGTTGGTGGGTTTTGAACCGATTTTGGAAGAAGTTTTCTTTATACCACTATTTCTCATCCTGCCTGCAAATTTTAACCCTGGGATTAGACAGTTCTTTAGATCATTAAAAGACTTGGGCTAAACCATGCTTGGCCTTTAATCACCTTTCATTATCAAAACTACTGACCTGATTGGAAAACATATCTAGCTAAAGATTGCATCAATGCTGCTGGCCAAGTTGGAGGGTTATTTTCTCCTGGTTCCCTTCTTAATCTAAATGTTAATTCAAATCCATAACCACTGGGACCTTCTGTTGCTGAACTTCTGTAAGAACAATTAATCCAATTAGATAAGGTATCTTGTAGTTTTTCATCATGACTTAATTAATATATCTAACACCAATTAATCAAACAGGTGTTAAAGACATTTAGGAGGTGTTATTTGAATCTCACCAATTTATCTTAGAATCAATGTATGATCTGATTTAATCAATAACACATTGTCTCAAGTGCCTTCAACACCTTTTTAATACCGAGATGTAAAATTGTTGAAGTATTTGATCTGGTTTAGAATATACTAAGTGATTTCTCTTCTTAAAGGGTTTGTAAAGAGGTTTTCTAATTTTTTTTAAGTGTATCAGGGACACTGATAATATCGATTTGCAGAATTTCAATTTTCCATCAGATGTCTGTGGTTCCTGTAATTTCACTAAAACAATGGACCTTATGTGATAAGGAATATTTTGCATAAATTCATGTTAACTAAAAACAGTAAAGAATGATAAATATTAAGGGACTTTAATCAAAGTATCAGAATAGAAATATGCCTTAAAGAATCCAGAAACTTTAGATAGGGTCTGAAACTTACTCATGAACTCTGCCATCACCATGTAAATCTGAGAGACCAAAACTAATGTAATGCCAGTGGGGAGGAATGTTTCTTTCTGGATCTCCACTATTTGAATACATACTGATATAATCTAAAGGATCTGGACCATTTAACCTGAAAAATACAAAATCCAGTGATTTTCAAACAATTGAATAACCTTGTCTACTGACTGACTAAAATAATTTGTGGTTCAAATAAGGCACGGGTCCCTTAGGCACTATAAATACATACAATGCAAAGTCACTTAGTGAGGACCTATCCCAATTTTCTTTCTTCTCTATTTACAAAACGTTTCAGAGTTGACAGACGAAAACACTACACTTGTCTTAGAAATTACCAATATTTGACTAGAGCTGTGACTTGTAGGGGGTTGGGTTGATTTGGATAAAGTCTCCGACATGATGTGTAGATAGCTTCCAAACCAGGAGGTGTGGCAGGCATAGGTGGCTGACTAAAATTCGTAGAAGAAGAATAGTAATTTTCTCTATCCTCCATCTTGGCATTCGTGTGTGGGCTGTTCCATTTACTCCCTCCGAAGAGAAAAAATTGAATAAATTGAACAGTTGCTTTTTCAGCTTTGAAATATAGCAAATTAGACTCAGACAAAGACACTTAAACAACTGCTTTGTGTTTGAATACATGTAATTGTTGCATTTGATATTTATATGAAACTATGCGAAACATGAACGAGGGGAGATAGCACATGTTGGAATATCCACAACAAATAGGGACCCCCCAAGATGAATTCCAGACATTTCGTTCCATCAATACGTTTTGCGACGTTTCGTAACGATAGAACATTACAGATATCTAGATCTAATATTCCAAAAGTAACATTTAAATATGAAGTGATTTGCTTGTATTTAGTATAGTTCCTTTGGATATTCAGAAAATAAAACACGAGCAAAGAATTATTGGCACGAAACATCTCCTTCCCATAATGCCCGTGGAAGTGTACACTTACATCAGAATAGCGTATAACAGTCAGTGCAGGAACTATATTTTTTTTTATCAGAGAGAAATTTACTGTCTATTTTCAAATCATCTCATGATATTACTATCAATGTGATATTGAAAGCAAACCACTACAAAAAGTTTTCTTTGATATCTTTTACCAGGTGTGATCACCTAAGTTGGGTATTAATCACAACACGAATTGTACCCTGGCTTGAATGAGAGAAGTCTGTTAGGCTGAATTAAAGATAAATTGGCATAATTTGCCTTTCTAATGGAATCATATGATGTTATTGCTAACCAGCCTGTTGTGATAGACAATGTAAGTCATCGTGAATCAATTTTCGATCATGTAAGGTGAAGTTGGGTCGGTGGATATTCAATTTTGTTTTTCAACACTATCGACTATCCATCCATTCGTACCACCGAGTATTTACTGTGCAGATCGATCCATTCATAAAGAATGAGTCATTAATGCAAGCTTACCATTTTTATCTATATATATTATATCTACTGATATATAAAGACAATAAATCAAATTGATACACTTGTTTCCCCTCTTTAGACAATATAAATGAAATCAAATGCCATGACATGGTTCCAGTATGGTTCCATGCGAAGGGCAAAAAGAGGCAAAACTCTAACAGCAATTCTCATGCTCATTGATGCAAACCTATATCAATTTGAGCCTATGTCTATTGATGGACATTTTTTTATGAGTACCAAGTTCTTTTGGACACACACTTGCATTTCAGTGAGCTAAAGTTGCTTATTTTGATATGAACATTTATGCAGGACTTCCTTTGCCTCTGTTTTGTATGAGGTTATGTTAAAGAGTAACTCTAGATTGTCAGAGGAAAATGTTATTTGAAATCTTACTTGAAGATTTAGATCTATTTTAGTGTGTCTAGCTTTACCTGTATAATCTATGTTGATAATGATAGATCTATTGTCTATTGTCAAAATTTATAGTATTTTTAGTCTTAGAATGTCTTTGAGTTGATAAAAATATAAACATGATCACACATTATGTCTTCAAAATTTGTTTTTAAGGAGGACAATTTTCAGCCAAAAGTAGTGACTTTTTTGTGTTGAAATTTCTAGGAGAGAAATGTGTTTATTTTCAATGTAAACTCACTAAAGATTATATTTTATCAACGCAAGGACATTCTAAGACTATCAGCACTATTTTGAAGTTGATATTCCAATTCTCTTAAAAATATCGAAAAAATTCAAGAATTGAATTATGCCTTTCCTGTTGTCATTAGCAATTGTCTATTATCATTATCAAACTTGCTGTTGTTAGTACCGGTAAGCATTTGGAAGTTATATAGGACTGTCATTGAGTGAAATTAGTCACAAGCATACTGTATTTAATAGTTTACGGCTATCATTAAAATTTGGACCTCAGTAATAGAATTTTATTTATTATTACAGGGGTCAGGTGTTATCAAAGCTGGTTTTGCTGGTGATCAAGTTCCAAAATATATCTTCCCAAATTAGTAAGTATTTGAATTCTCGATAGGCAGCAAATTCAATCAAATAGATCATATTCTTCAACTCTTTTTAGTTTAAATAGCTCAGTAATGTACTTTCTTGATCGTAGAGTGATTAATATGTAATGTTATTTTTATTGGTTATTCAGTTTCATCATATTGTGATCCATATAACATGAGGTATATAAAGTTATTATATCCTATATTGTCAACATATTGGAACTCTCCCCTTTTCAGTATTGGAAGACCCAAACATGTGAGAGTTATGGCAGGTGCCCTGGAAGGGGATACATTCCTGGGGCCTGAAGCAGAAGAACATAGAGGATTACTGTCTATCAGATATCCTATGGAACATGGTATTGTTAAAGACTGGAATGATATGGAAAGAATATGGCAATATATTTATTCTAAAGATCAACTACAAACATTCTCAGAAGAGGTATGAGGTTTATATGACTTCAAATGAAACATTAAAACAGTCTGCATAGCTTCTTTATGATGAAAATGTATCTTATTTAGGTAGTTTATTATTATACATGTTTTAGTAATACTCAATCTAATTTGACTTATACTTCTTGAATAATCTTAAGATTGATAATGATCACGAAAATAAGAATGAAAATGTTAATATAATTTGATAAAAGTTATTTATTTAAGACATAAATTATTATCTTATCTTAACCAAATAGTATATTGGTAAAACTGGTAAAAATATCGAAGGTTATAAAGAGTTTTGCCAAACTCCAAAGATATTTTGTTTATTAATATTATTCTTTTTTTTCACAGCATCCTGTGTTATTAACAGAAGCTCCATTAAACCCAAAACGAAACAGAGAAAAAGCTGCGGAAATATTTTTTGAAACATTTAATGTCCCTGCTTTATTCATATCATTACAAGCTGTGTTAAGTTTGTAAGTTTAAGTTTCATCCCTTGATGTATTTTTTTCAAATGTTGAGAATTATAAGGTCAAGGTCATTCTTTAATCTATTGGCCAAGTCCAAAAGCTTATTGAAAATGAGCTCCACTGTAATAAGTACTGTGGCTTGTGTTTGTAATGAGACAATACCATTACATTTGTAATTAAAGACCATTTAGCCGATTTAAAGTTCCATGTCAAAGTTTGAAACTCTTTCCAGTTGATCCAGCTATAAGTGGGTACATATAAGATCAATGTCAGGAGGTTTTTGCCAAGGAACAGCTGGAAGAAGGATCTTAAGAACTTTTACAAATGGTCGTTGTATTTATTTTCATTCTGAAAAATATACTTTCAATGTTCAGACTATACCTATTATAATAACTCACGTTCTGTATTTGTAGGTATGCTACAGGTAGAACAACAGGTGTGGTACTAGATGCTGGAGATGGGGTAACTCATGCTGTACCTATCTATGAAGGTTTTGCTATGCCTCACAGTATAATGAGAGTAGATATTGCTGGTCGTGATGTCTCCAGATATCTTCGTCTTCTTCTCCGTAAAGAAGGTTTCGACTTCCATACTACAGCTGAATTTGAAGTTGTTAAAACTATTAAAGAAGTAAGTGTTACAGCTCTATCTTAATTATCATCATATATAAAGTCATGGAAAGTTTAGTCTTGTGCTTTGATTTATCTTTATGCTTTCATGTATCAACCTTATAACTGAACTAGTCCCTGAAGAGGATTGTCTGTGAGCAGCACAAGTTCTAGTCAATACAGCTCTCACTGCTGTCATATTTGTTTCATTTAAATAATTATCATCATCGATATCTTTGAAGCAAAGGTACATTTTGATAGATTCCTTAGTATATATTTGTTGATTACTGTACAATATTTTTTTGCCTTTTTTTGTAGAAAATGTGTTATCTAGCATTAAATCCATTAAAAGAAGAAAGTATAGATACTGATAAAGCTCAGTATAGTTTACCTGATGGTAATACCATTTTAGTAAGTATACAGTTACTATTATTTGACATATTAATGAGATGAGTGGTAATCTGTTGATCTCATTGAAGGTGATTATTTTAGAAGGTGAATTATCTACTTTGAGAATATAGAGTAAATTAGCACAAGATTATTTATATGTTTACAGCTGATAAATTTAGAACGTGACTGATTAACTTTGAGTTCTATTAAACTTGTATTTCAAGTTTTCAAACATTAGTTAACATTTATTATCCAAACATTATAAAACAAAATTATTTCAAATCAGTTTCAGTGTGTTCTTTATAGATATATTGAGTAAAACATTCTTTTCTTGCTTTGGTCTGTCATTATTTTATAGAAGAAAGATGTTCTTCATTCTTCATTTCCATTCCAGGTCGGACCAGCCCGTTTCCAGGCCCCAGAGTTACTATTCCGACCTGATTTAATAGGAGAGGAATGCCAGGGAATACATGAAGTATTGGCCTATTCTATACAGAAATCAGACATGGATTTACGTAGAACATTATTTAGTAATATAGTTTTATCAGGTGGCTCTACATTATTTAAAGGTATGTCCAGTTTTTGAGCTCTTAATTTAAAAAATAAATATATAGTTTAGTTAACTATGAATTTGTGCTCAGTTTTTCGCAATCATAATATTTATAACATGGAGAACACTTGAACAATGTTCACCACTATAGAAAATGAAATGAAATGAATGGAGTTTTACGTCCTATTCTTCTGCTACCACTATAGAAGACCAGCAGTACTTACTATATTGACTTGTTCATGATTACTATGGTAAGGATGTGTATCTGTAATTTTATGAGATGTAGCCTATGTTACCTGGAAATTCTTGTTTTTGAGTTACATCAACATATTTTTGCAGGTTTTGGTGACAGATTATTGAGTGAAGTAAAGAAATTAGCACCTAAAGATATAAAAATTAGAGTAAGTTTTAATTAAAGATTTATATGCAGTAGGAGAATGGAAGTAGAACTACAATTGTTTTGATAATTAAATTTCAGTGGTGCTTAACAATTTAAAAGAATTTGATTCCAAATTGGATAAATGCAAGAACATCCAAGCCTTAGATTTCTTCCTTTGGTTAAATATTTATGAACCCAACATAAAGCATGTTTTAATTAAATTTGAATGAGTTGATAGTTACAGAGTTATTGATTCTGTAAGACATAAAGAAATAATTCCCAATTAAGTTTCACCTTGAATGTAGATATACAATTTATTGTTTTTCTTGTGTTTAGATTTCAGCACCTCAAGAAAGATTATACTCTACGTGGATAGGGTAAGTTACTTTCATTTACTGTCCTATCAAATAGATTCTAAAATGCTAATTACCTTGAAATGATAGGATTCTTTAAGATTATTTTCATTTAGTTTATTTTATTTAGTGACTATTGAAATTGGTGACCCTCGAAAGTAGCCTATTGAAATGTTTGGCAATCCTGGCAATATGATTGAATTTGGTGGTCAATTTCACTGAAATGTTTGTCAATGAATTTCTTTATTGGTAATAATGGTCCAAGGAATGTGGTTGTCAATTTCTTTTTTAAATGTTGTTTGTGGAGCAATACTAACCATGAAATATAATATTTCTTTCAGAGGCTCTATTTTAGCATCATTAGATACCTTTAAAAAGATGTGGATATCGAAACGGGAATATAATGAAGAGGGGGTGAAAGCTCTACATAGAAAAACATTCTAGTGAACTATCTAGCTATTTAATCTATTATTATTATTATTATGTGGTTCATGGGCAATGTTTTAATACTCTTCATTCTCTAATATGGCTGAATCATTATTCATAGATTGGTTACAGCACCAGGGTCAAAGGTCATTTGTCTCTGGATACTTTGATTCTGCCTGTTGGTATCATCTTGCTATATTAAAACATGTCTTCTATGTACAAGAAATCTTTGCTACTCTTCATTTGGAGGACTTACAGAACACCTTATATATGCATTGCCCCCTATGAATTATAGCTAATAGAGGGAATGGTGCCATGATTTAGCCATAGAATAGGGTTATTGTCTATATGACCATGATATTGCCCTGAAACTCATTCAGTATAATTCCTAGCTTCATCTTTTCATTCTTTATTATGGTAAATCTGCAGAAAATCTGGCCCAGTTGGGATTAATTGAACTTGCCTACAGATACCACCTGATAGTTTTGCAGATTATTACTCAAGACCGAATAGTGATAATGATCCTAGTCTATATTTTGATATGAAGATATGTGACCTCACTGAAGATCTTTTTTGACTGCAATGCTTCATCAGAGTTCTGATCAGAGATATCTTGCCTCAAGTCTTTCTTGGCTGTTCCATTTACTCCCTACGAAACTGATATTAAAGGACTGTAGATTTATCATATTAAAGATAATTTATTATGTTTCTATTTGTACATCATGTTTTTCACTAGAACGCTGCCATTAATTTGAACAACCTTGTGTTTATGTTGATATATTTTTAGGTTTTTAGCTCAATTTAAGATCTGGCTAGGGGTATATAATGTATTCTGTATGTAAAAGTATAAGCTACTCTGCCAGTTATATACAGTAATTATTACTATACTATTTGTAGTTATGTTTTGTAGTTTATATTTTTGTGCTTTAGTCATAATATTGGTGCTTCATGATTTTGTCAATACTCAAAATATTCCTGCAATGCCTTTAAGAAAACAAACTTCACTTGCTGTTTGAAGAAATTGTATCTTATTTCTTTAAAATATCTCAATTTTTGATGAAAATAACAAAGAACTTTCTCTTGAGGTGTATGAATTTACATGTAATACCTGTAATTAGATGGAAATTATGGTAGTTGGCTAACCCTTTATAACAATAAAAGCCTCACGTACAATATTTAAAAACTATGGAATACTGGGGACCAGTTGACAATTATAACAATGATTGAAAAGTTAATTTTTAACAATTTTTAAAATTTAGAGTAGAAAATGTGGGCTAAGGCATCACCAGATATAAACATATATTGCAGGTCTATTTTGATTTCTGTTCTAATTAGCTTGGTTTAAATGACCTTAATTGATCATGTATGATAAAAGTTATTTAGTGTTCTTATTACAATATTTAAGATGTATATAATTGTTAATAGTGCTTCAATAATGAATTTCAATTCTGATTTAAATGGGAAAGCTGGAATAATGAGTGTTAATGCCATTTAGAAATTTTTAGTACAAAAATCTGTGTAATTATAGTTGATGTATGTGTAGGGAAAATGATAATTTAATGCAAGAAACTGGATGCAAAATTGATTTTGGCAAGGAGAATTAACATAAAGTAAAGAGCACTGATTGCATTTTATGGTCTAAATGAGTAGATTAATGATTCTATGGTCTATAAAGATTAGTAAGAAGGAAACACCATAAAAGATAAAATAACAATAAAATAAAAATTTATGTAAGAGATTAGTACATTTCATAAGGGTACAAAATAAAATAGAGACATGGCTTTTCTTTGGTGGTAGATTTTTGAAATTGTTAATGAATTGTTGATAATTATTCTGTCAGTCTCTGATTTGTTATATTTTCTCAGTGAAGTATAGGTTTACTTTAGTCATGTTGCATTGTTACCTGATTTATGTTAGAGAATACATATTGAAGTATAATGAACAGCAGGTGCCCTGTGTTAATACCAGCACTATATATTGATATATCCCACACCCAAACAGCTGTTACTAACAGCTAATCTATCAATTGATTTCATAATTTATACATGAGATTTTTTTTTCTTTCCTTATTGACTCATTTATTAAAACATGACCACCATGAAATTAGTCATCTATATATTGTGACATAATAACTGTCTGTCTGAATTAAATTTTGACAATGAAATTGATGACAGTCCAAACATTCACAGTACATATTTGAAACAAAGAAAGTTGAACTTGAGCTTTATCAGCTGGTAAAGCAAATTTTAGACGATCCTATCCCTTGAATGTAGATACAATGTAATCATTTGTGCACCACAAGGCACCTTGTAGTTAATAATTTAGTGTTGCAGTTTTACTGTAGTCAACATCTTATGGTCTTTATAGTATTTGTAGCTGCACTTCAGTGACTCGTGCGCAATATAATTCACACCTGATTTAAATGCAGTCTACTTGCATTGACATGTAATTGATTTTCTATTTTTTACTCTTGGGTGAAGATAGAACAAGAAATCTCAATAGAGTAAAAGAAATGTATCTGTAATCAGATTGTCGTGTATGATACAATGTTCTGCATTTATTTTTGAATTTATTCCAGAATAATATAACAATAAGAGGTATATGACAATTGCATTAAACTAGTCAAGAATTACTGGTAACTCTGCCATCTATGAATATTAATGATACAATGCCTCAAAATTTAACTCTGTGAAGTTCCTAGTGTAAGGTATTAGAAATCTCTTATACAGTTTTACTTATACACCAATATTGCTAAATAAAGCCTGTCAGATGGAAAGCTGTCTTTAGATTGCTAATATCATAATCCAGGCTTTATCTTACCACTGAGGCACAAAACTTAACAATACAATTATGGGTTTTATTTTAGGTTTAAATCATCTGTGTAAACTATTATATATATTTGTATATTTTAAATGTTTTCAAGCCTTAAACTGCTTTACATATTGCTGTGTTTGTCTTCTTCAAGTTTCTCAACCACTCTGATACCACATTAAAATATGAGTCAATTCTTCTTGTTGCATTTTCTACTCATCAAGTAAAGTGCCATGTGATCCCCATTTGTGTTGTTGACTGCAATAGCTTATAGGAATAGAGGACCATATGAAAACCATCTCTTTATATGATTTCTGTTTAGTTCAAAAGCCTAAATTAAGTTTGAAAAGATTTAAATAATTCAATATAATTCCCTGTTACTTAAATTGGAACTCTCCACAGTACCGGCTCAATACATGACGTCACACCAGAACAACCATATTGCCAATCATATCATTTTACCATATCAATTTGAACCAGAATATTATACAGATGAGAAGTTATGAGCTTATTAGACATCCAGTCCTTTGTTTCCAAGGATTTTTTTACCCTAAAATCCCTCAAGCCCCAAATGGTAGCATGGATAACTTCAAACTTCATAAACTGTATGAATGTATTTTTTTATTTGCATGATTTTATTACATAACAAATAAGAAAATGCACAAATATTATGACAATGTTACGAGTATGAAAATGAGGTAACTTCCACTAGTTTTCCTTGCTATTAATAAAATTCACTGGAAAGCCAAGAAAGGTCCTTCGGTGAATCCAGAATAGCAGATTTATTGCTTTTACCATTAACACTGTTCATCTGAAAACTACGAGTTACAAAGAACAAGCATTAAAAACAAATCTTAATGTAACAAATAGAAATAAATGACATGGTAAAAAGTTGAATACTTCCACTGATATTGAAAAGATAACCTACTTTTCTCCAGACTTGATCCAAAATTCAAGTTTAACATTAGCTATCTATACCCTACTGAACTTCAACACATTTGGTCCAATTATTGGCACAATCAATGTCCTTCGATATGACGTTCATTTTAAAATCACTTACAGAATAAAAAAAACGAATCACACAAGGACCTTTACCCCTGATTTACTCTTGATCAGTCACACTTTTCACAAATACATTTTTCTCCAAAGACATCCATAATAAAAACCTAAAGAAAGCCAGCTTTCATCAATATTTTTCTGCCATGATTAAAACAACTAGAGATGACCAGCCTGTAAAAGGATGAGTGCCCCGTCCTTCACCTGTTTTATCGTCATAATTTTCCCAAATGTATCCTGACTTAATGTATTGTCTGTACAGATTATTGACTAGGTTATTTCTTAGATCAATATAGATTGATTTAGCTAGGTTTTGATAAGGCCCTGTAGTATAGGAATAATGGTTTAAAGCACTTAGAGCTAGATAATTCATGTTAATCCATATAGCACCTCTCCAATATGGTGGATCATGCTGGGTGTTAAATCTTTTATAAAGTCTTGCATTACGTGATAATGAACGCAAACCGTAGTCTGTCCACAACATGTTGGGGTTTTTAATATTGTTCATAATGGTGAATAATTTTGGTGAAGTGGGATTAACTATTTTTAAAAGGAATGGAAATAAACTGACGTATCCGAAAGAATTCACAAATTGATATTTAGGATCAGTGATGACAACTCGTATTTTGTCTGGTTGCTGTTGAGGTGGTCGTTGACCTGGTTGAAGAGTAATTTTAGGTTGTTCTAGTTTCACTTTATCAGCGTGATAACCATAATCACTGTATTGCTGCCCTTCTTTAGACCAATGTAATTCATCTAATAGCTTATTATCTGTCAGCATTTGATTTGTGGCTCTGTATTCCTCCCAATCTGCATTCAATGCACGTGCAATATCAGCCATAACACCTGAAGCCAGTGCCATCCAGCATCGTAGATCAACATGTCTCTCATCATCTGTAGGATGGGATGATCTGGGAAAGTCATCTAATCCAGAAGTCAGTGTTAAAGGATTCAACTGTTTGTTAGTATTAGGATCCCTTCCTCTCCATCTATACACTGATCTTTGTGTACCAACTTGGGTACTGTTATACCAATGGAACCATGCCTTTAATCGAGGATATAATGCTTTCAATATCTTTCGATCAGAGTCAGTATTGCTTTTAATCATGTTGGTGATAATTTTCTGCAGAGGGAGGAAAAAAGTAGGTGGATTGGCATTAACATTTTGTTGTACAACAAATTCGCTTGGAACCCTGGCTCTGGCTTCAACTCCTAGGATCTGTTCTCTAGGTATCCAACCTTCAGAATTCAACAAATCTATCCAATGGAATAAAATATCTTTTGAAATTGACTCATCCCATTCTCGAATTAATAGATTATGAAATCCTTCATCCCACAGAAAACCTCTGGGGAAAAATGGCCGAGAAGGGACAGCAGTGTATAAAGGAGCTTTCCAATATTCAACAGGTTCTTTGTTATATTTTGATTGGACCAATGAAGAGCCATAAAAATAACCAATTCCACCAATCATATTGGACATTGCAAATTTAGCAAAATCCACCATTGAGTTGTTATAGCCATTTTGTCGATGCTGGAAAAGATCTGAAAATTTATTGTCAAATTCAACCAGATGTTGGCTAAGAGTTTCGTCATAACTTTCTCCAGACAGAGTTTCCTTTCTGTCTTCAACTGACCCAGATTCAAATATCACTTCCATTTCTAAAGGCAACTGAGCAGTGACTTGATGGACAATGTAATTTGGACCTCCACTATCTCTAGGCACACTTCGACCTCCCAAAATAAAATATGGCATAGTTCTAGCCTTATCCCATGCCTCTATTTTTATAGTTTCCATCATGACATCTTTCAATTTGTCCAGTTTTGTTGTGTGGGTAACTAAGTGATTATATTTTGCTCCCTTGGTTGAAACTTTGGGAAAAGAAATCTTAAAGTTTCCAAGCTCTTCAGAATATCCATTGATGCCAGACACACGGTTTTTCACCATCTCTGTATCAACCTTTCCCTGTCCATCTAAAGCCATGTAAAACATCAATGACACATATGTAGGTGATGCCAATTTCTGAAAGAAAATGTAACATAGATTAAACGGCATATACCTTCACAATTAATACTATACTAGTATGTTATACTTAATTACTTTAATGTTAATGCAACATATAACAGCCATTTTAGCTACAGCAATTACTATTTAGCAAAATTCCACACCATGTAGGACTATATAAAAAAAATAATAATAACCATATTCAGTTTTGCTTTTTAAATAATTATGCAACGTCAGAACAATTTGACAAAATATCACTATGCCTGTCCTTTTAATAATTAAGCAATAGCCTACAGCAAATCAAGCACAGATAATTTTACCTTTGGTGTAACAATAACTTTTGCAGTCCAATCTCCACCATGTTTTCCACCCATTCTTTTAACAAATGATGTATTCAACTTAAAATTGTCTTCATTAATTTCTTGAACACCAAAATTAACCCCATCATGGGCTACCCAACCATATCCTTGAATCTTGTCATCCTGGTTGCACCAGTGTCTAATTGGTGGGGGCATCCTACCAGTAAACTGCTGCAGCCACATCAACCCCACAACTGGAGAATTCTTACTTCGAGTCTTCAGACCAAAATATGTGTGAGGTCTGTATGAGCCCCAGAATCTTTCTGGAGTAACTTTAGAACTTGACGTATCATCTTCAATAATTCTAGGAGAATTAAGTGGTGTATTGACAGCATTTTTCAGTCTTTCTTGATAGAGAAAATACCCCACTAATAAAATGGCTAAGACTGTCACACATGATAAAGTTATGAATCTCCCCTTATAGGCACTGGAATCTTTCTTGTGTTTTGGCAGCAGCCTCTTTGGTTCATGGCTATCTACACTATCTGGGTCTTTATGCTTTCCAATGATCCTTTTACGTGCAAATTTGTCAGCTGTCATTATGCAATTATTTGAAATTTGAACCTTGAATATAAGACCTAGTTTGCAATGAGATGTTTAATGTAAGCTCATGCAAATCCTGCATTCGTGTTTACTACAGTATCATGTTGCTTTTGACACGTTAACACTGGCATCTACACATTTTTACTCTACTAATTTCCCGGAATACAAAAATAATAATCTTAGTTTTTTCATCCAAGACTTTTCTTGTTATAGCTATAGTTTACTTCTATGCATAATAAAGCGTTTCAGCACAATTTTGAATTAATGAATAGATTCAATTCTGAGTTTGTCGGATCTATTTATAATTTTTCGTTTCCATATGATAGGAAATTGAGTAAAATTTTTAATTAAGCCTCAAAATGTAAACAACATTAGCGTCAAAATGGCGACTGGACAAGACCAATTTCGACGTCGAGTTCAACATAAACTTGCTGGGCGCCTTTTAGACACAATTGATCCCGGTAAAAAATTACTATCTTTTATTGCTTTACTACGTGTCATGAACTGACAATGAAAAAATGATCATAGATCTTATACTGACCGTTCTAGAGAACTTGAAGAAAAGTATTATTCCTTCCTATTCATTGATTCATGGGAAATAACTTTTTTGGGATCACAAGATTCAGACACCAAATAATTCTTTTCTCTATCTTTCTCTAGTCAGTATACAGTTCTGTTCAAACCAAGACTGCACACCGGTAGTAATATAATTATATATCATTTTGCAACATTGTTTATTTGTTTTAGATCATGTTTATAAACCCACGCAAGATGGTGAAACAAAATTTAAAGATATAGACCCACAAACACGACAAGAATTTGAAAAACAATATGGTAAATACCAAAAGAAATCCTCACCATTTTGTATCCAAAATATATTATGGTTAATATCATCAATAGCAGTGTTTCATTTCACGGATTTTTATATGGTTATTAGATATAATCCCAAAGTTAACAGGTAATTTGATTGATCTCTCTCCTATCTCAATTTTTTTTTAATCGCATTGCAGTTCAGCATTTTAATTACAGTACCCTGGTACAGTCAGTTCCTCAGATGTGATATACAATGTTATATCATCTCTAAAATCAACTTAATATATCATGTATTAGGTACTTTGTAGAGCCTGCGTTGTCGGGATACTCTTTAGTCTACTGCAAGAAAAATGAGTAAGGTCTCCGTCACACTAAAACTCCATTTCGTTTTTTGTAGTATCATATACTTCTGAAGTACTTTTTGATATTCACATTATTTATACACTCTTACTTTCTGATTTCTCATGTTAAATTATGATTAACACAACATTTCACAAAAATAGGAACATGTAGCAGTGAAAATGATTTGTTTATCAAGTAACAGAGGGAATTTAAAACCATTCCCATGTCAGTATTTGACATGTGGGTCAGTGCCGCCATAGAAGACTGCATTCAAACATCCAATAACAATTTTATAATGTATTGAATTCAAATACAGGAAAGTCACTCCCATTCTGTTGCGTATTGTTGTAATCAGAAAGCTGCAAAATCTTTACAATTTGTAATTTATCTTTATCAGATTTGTCCCAAGCTTAAAGATATTAGTAATAGAAGTGGATTAATCCTTACAATCAGTGGTCATTCTAGCAGCTCTAATTAACTCTAGCCACTAGAAATTCCATTATTGACAATCCATTTAGTCAATAGCATCAATTAATTACTGGCCTTGACATGACACCTAAATTAATTGTTGAAGTCTGTCTTTAATAAATAATCAATATTAATAAGATCTTAGACCAAACCAAATTAATTCTTTTTTCACGACTTCAAGATTACTGTGTAATGAAACTTGACTGAGGTTTTAATTCAGGATGAGAAGTCAAGTATGATTTTATGTGATTATTTTAGCCTTGTGAGCAAATGCTTAGTTCGTATAACTTTTAACTTAAGAGATACTTACAGCAGTTTGGACATAGGAGTCCAATTTTAAAAGCAATAAGGTTGAAAATAAAATGCATTTTTGCTATGAACTCTATGAACCAAATACAAACCTAGTCCCAGAGTTATTAGGACAAAGTTTCTTGGAAGCTTCCAATTTTTTTTTTTTTTGTTATTTCAAATAATAAACAAATTAAAGATTTCATGAAGCATGATATGGAAGGCTTTATGAAAGGTTGCAGTAAACAACAGTAGTACTATATTCATGGTTAATTATTGATAATTATGTTAGTCTAGTGTTCTAGACCTACTGACTGAGAACTTTGCCCTGAAAACATTTTCCATAGTAATGATCTTCATTATGGTATACAATATCCACATCTTCATGCTTATTATAAATGTCTGTAAGAAAATGGGTTCTTCTTGCCTCAGTTAAGATATTTATAGTGGCTGAACAGAAACTCTGTGGTTTAGATTCTAAATACAGTCCTAACTTTTACTACCAAAAAAAGAGTATTCTGTACTGCCCATGGTCCAGTGACTATAATTAGTTGGTATGTCTACTGCAAACAATATGTCATCAGGTCTTTTCATTGCAATAAATCTGCCCAATTAAAGTTTCAAAATAAAGTTCGGCCCTAATGTTTGACTAGTATCATATTATACATACATACACATCCTTATGGCCTCTCTAATATTAACTTTTCTTATTGACCTTCATTCCATTTTTTTAGAACCATTCTATAAACTCCTTGGTGTCTTTTGTATCTTGTTTTGAAATAATTCAATGATAACTTAATGAGTCTTTCAACTGGTTGCGCTCGGCACTTGCAAATTGGCGCATGAATAGACTTTGAAAGAAATGAGCAAACAGTGAGATAATTGAAAATGAAAAGAAAAAAATCAGCAACTTCGCCTATGGACCCCACTGAGTCCCCTTAAGTGGCCACACGCTGCGACTGTCGCTTTACTCGGTATGCATGTATGTCCATAATGAGTTGCTGTTTCTGTCTAAATGTATTTTGCTGTAATGTAAAACACTTTAAAACCTCGGGGACCCATCGACCATCTATGGCTCTTCAGCAATTTCAGTCATGAAAAGCGACAATTTAGTTCATTTTCTTACTTACGCCTACCCTATTTTAGACTGCCAATTTTATGAGCACAGATTTGGAGATTTAGATGCATTTCCTACAAGAACTTATTTGACATTTTATGGCTGGAATTATTATTTAATATTATTTTGAGGAACACCTCTATTTATCTGAATAGATACGTTAGCCTCCAAACTTTTTATATGGTTTTGAAATGCTAAAACTTTGCAGCTTTTTAAAAATTGCAAAATTTGATCACATATAAAATTGTGTTTCTATAGTGATCAGATTTGTTTGTTGATATTCCTGATTGATAGGATTCTGATTTCTGAAATTTCACGACTATCTTCCTTTCAAAGAACAGAGTTTTGCTAAGGAGAACCAAAATTTCAAATTTAATCTAGTGAAGAAGGGCTCTGTACTAAATTTAGAACATGAAATCTAATACCAGGGTGCCAAGAACAGGTCAAGTTATAGTATCTTCTTAGTGAGTGTCTATTGGGGACAAGGTGCAATATAAATTTGTATCATATCTGTCAAAGAGTAATGAACCATCACATTCCAGTTTTGGCTGTAATGGCCGCCAAGTGGTAGTAAAAGTTAGGACTGAATAATTACTATCAATAGTGCTGGGCATTGGGTTTAAAGGTATAGATTTACCATTTTGGGGGTTGATTTTGGTCTAGAAATATGTAATTATTGTAATTAATTTCTAGTATTAGAAATGCACAAAATGGCTAGGAATTTCATTTTCTTTTTCTACATTTGTCTTTTCTATAAGCTTTTTATGTCAGTTGAAAAATTTTCTAAAGTTTTTTTTCTTTACATGTGAAAAGCACATCTCCAAAAAGAAATGGTTTATAGTAGATCCTATCAATTACTTGCAGGGAAATTGGCACTTTTTTATGTGGAACTGGAATGTCACCTATTGAATTCTGAGTGACTTATTAGCAAATTGAATTTGGTGTGGCCTGAAATTGATGTATGTTGTAAGAAACTACACTTGGAATATACATGATGGAAGATCCTCTAGGGAAATCGTAGAATTTTCGTCTAGTAGTAATTAAAGAGAAGGTCAAATAAAGGCCTTCGAGTTATATCCTGTTTATCGTTTCTATTGAATTCATTCTCTCAATCACATACAACATTATACTTAATGATACACACACCTCACTGTACAAATCAGCAGTAGTCATAATAGGCTTATTTTACATTTTCTTATAAGACTTTCTAATGAGAGTCCACTTAAATGGTGATTGTAAATGGCTATAGATATAAGACATTGTCTTTTCTTGTTATATTTATACCTCTCTGCCAAAGCACTTTTCAGCAATAAAAATCAATACAAGCGAGACAATTCTGTTAATCAAAATCCCGTCCAAAAAGTAAGACAAAATCGAGAGTAAAAGTTATATATTACTGGACTCCTCCAAAGAGAAGTACCATCAGGTGCTTCGAAAAGAGTAAACATGAACATGCCAGATGAAGTCATTTCTGTAAATTATCAAAAATGAAAGTGCTCACCATTTTACCCATGAGTTTAGGAACATGCTGGGAAATTAAATTATTTGATTTACATGTCTAATTTTACTTTTTTGGCTACATGCTATTCATATCTATCTGGCATTTTATGTCAATTCTCACCTATTTTCATGGTTAACAGCCTCTTAATACTGGATTTCATACTATAAGTTGAATTCTGGAAATCCACATAACACTGTTTTTCCTTGGTTACATATCACAGCTAAATCATGCTCTTATAATCCTCAATTTTAATAATGTCCCTTCTATAATCTTCAATGACATTCAGAAATAAAAATATTAGATAATAAAAACATTATTATGGATAAACTACTTCTTTCAATTTAAGAAAAGTTTCCTTCCACCTACAGAAATTGTTAACAAGCATTAAAATGCTAGATAACAGAGCAACAATTATTTATCATAAAACAGACATCTTGTACCTGACTCAAGATTAGTATTGAGTTTAAAAATATACTCTCCTATACAAGCACTTGCCAAGGTCACAAAAAGAAAAGAAATCTTTTAATATATATTATCAATTTGAGTAATAATGATTGAATTAAAATATAAAATTTACTATAATGAGTTGCGATCAGTGATAAAAAATAACAATAACAATAGATATAAGACAACATACTAAAACACTAGTTTCAGGACAAGTCACATACTTTTGTATCCTCCTAAAACCAGTCAGGAATGATCTCAACATAAGTTTAAAAAGTCGCATTTAAGACTGGAAATGAAGATACCCCTGACTACATTACCTAGTATGCTTTCACTGGTTAAACAATAACAATAATTGAAATATTTTTCAGTTTATGGTTTAATATCGGGGCAATATTGATATTAATTAATATCAGTGTAGCTGTGTTTCTAGTTGTATGGTTAACGTTTATAAAGAAAGTACCAAGTGAACAGTGGGAGAGGCGATATCCTTCAGCCATACCTACTGCTACTGCCTGCTTTATATTTGGTTCTATCTTGTAAGTTTTTTTAACTGTCATGACAAAGTGGTGAGATCTACAGGGATGTCTCTTTGAGCTGTATCAAAGATCCTAATTTAGATTTTTCAAATGAGTTTGCCCCTATTTGTAATGCAGGTCAGAGGGCTGCCAATAAACCAAGATCCTGTGTACTACAGGCTGTGCATATTAAAGATCCCTTGACAGTTGAAAATCGAAAAAGAATAGGCTTACACTAATGCCACTGTCCTGGTTTCCTTGTTGCATATTGCATTGTAGTGCTTGTCTTCATTATCCCAATCAGGTATAGAAAAGTAGGACTTTCAACTCCTTTTCAGATTAATTTTGGAGATGTATGTAATGTGCTCCAAGGTTTTATTTCTCTTAGACACAATGAATGTTGTTTGCTTCTTCCTGTCCATGCAATCCAATTTTTGGAAAAAATGATTGAAGTATAAGCAGTTTATTTAAGCTTTGAAATAATAATAATTTAATTGAGTAACTTGGTTTTTAATTTCAGTGTGAATATTGGATTGTGGCCGGTGTGGGGTATTTTTACACCAGTTATACTTTTTGTGATATTCATGGGATTTATAGTGACAGTCGCTATGTTTGGGTAGAAGAGGGAATGGGAAAAGCCTTATACTAACTCTATATTATTACTGAGGTGCCAGGTTTTCAAAAAACCACCTGTCAATTCTTGTCTATAATTCCGTTCTTTTTCTTTAAAATACAGTTATTCTCTGTATCTTTATGATCAGAAAACTTCTGTGTCTGTTTTCTTGCTTAACCAGATACAATTGACTTTATTCTTATATTTTGTTGAATTATTTTCAATTAAGATATATATGACAAAAGTGCCTCATTGGTCATATTGATGTGTATAAATGCCTCCAGGTGAAATATCTGGGATTATGTAATTTTTAAACTGTGTTATTTATGTTGAATTATGCTGTTTTAGTTGTATATAAGAATTATAATGAAATCTCCTATTTTTTTAAATTAAATTTATAATTTTAAGTAAATTCTGGTTGTTTTTTGATTAACTGACTAGAATGAATGTACAAATATACCTCTACCTCTTGGTTATTTGGGGATTCTAAATATAATATTGCAATGTAGCCTCTCTGAAAGAAAGGCTGAATAGACAAATTAACCAAATTGTTTCAAAAGGGTGAGCATGCCCTACCTCAATACAATGGCTAAACTTGTTACAGTATTTAGTGTAGTGTTAAGCTACAATTGCGCTCAACCTCATATGCAAACTCAAAACGTGATTCCATGTCTGAACGTTTAGTCCACAAAACTGTCAACATCAGTGGCAGATTTTGGACTTGTTGGGCCATAGGCAAACGCAGTAGAGAGCCTAATTTCTCATTTAAGGAAGGGGGCATGGTGTGATTACAATTTTATGGCAGGAAGCTTACGATCAGGATCAATCGGCATTTATCACCGTTAAACTCAATTTAGTCGATTCTCACACATCACGCTCTTAGTAGGACAATGTTAGATGAGCCTGCAGAAATTTATTAAATGTGATAACTGCCGAAACCGTGTGGTATTGGAGAATAGGAGAGGAATACCCACAGTATGACACTATAAAGATTTCCCCTGTTTTGGCACCTTGCTAATTAATTGTCTTGTGATAATGTCCTTTGAAAAATCAAACCTTTTGGGCTAAACTTTATGATTCAACTCCACCTAGCTCTTGCTGCAAAATGTATTCGTAGCCATCGCCAAAAATTGCTCTCTCCATTGCGCTCACAGAGGTGTTGAGTTTGAATATGAGGACAATTTAATGTAAGCAGACTTTTGGACTTGCTAAGTGTATTAATGGGATTTGCTATGGTCTGTTTTTTTATTGAGTTTGAGTTCACTTCAATGGCAACTTAAATTGAATTCAATCGATCTTTGTGTCTGAAAAAGGTGAATGACAAACAATAATAAAAAATGGGTTAATGGCTGGAGAACAAAGACTGTTTATTTAAATACAATTGGTTGTTTGCATGTTTATGAGTAATATAGTAAGAAGCTTGCACCAGATATGTTCACACACTCTTAAAAATTTTAATTGTGTATATTTAGGTGAAATACAGCAGGGAATTTTCTAACTTGTTATTATGTTATATTACTTACCTACTTAAAATATTCATATTAACAATTAGTTCCCATGAGAAAAGGTGGTTTGTCTGTAAAAGTTAGCCTATATATAAACTAATATACATGTATTATTATGTAGAATAATGCCCTCTTGTGTTCCAACATGTTAATGATGGGAAAGATCTGTTTTAGTATTATTTTGGAACTTTTTAAAACATCAGACAATAAACAAACAGAAAAGTATAATTACTTGATTCATGGTTCCGTTGCTATTGCTATGCAAGATTTTCTCTCTGAGATATACTCCTAGCAACTAAGATAAAGCTAGTGAATTGAATAATTACTGGTCTATCCTGTAATCCTCTCATATTTTTTAAACCACTATCAAAACCAGGAGAACCTTTGTATCTTCAATGTGGAGATGATGCCTTTTGAATTTTCACAAGTTTTCCCTTGTCAGTGATACAGGTAAAGTGACCGAGATGGAAAATTGTGTAGTCATTTAGATGGCACTAAAAACTAAGCTGTGCACATTAAAGATTTATTTAAAGAGAACGTTTATGTTGCTGATTCCCTCATAGCACACTGCATGGTGTCTACATTTGCCTAAAGTAAGATGTAAAACACAATATCATATGTGTTATACAAATACTAATTTTGCATATGGGATTGCCTCTTTAAAGTTTAGGTGATGGACACTATATATTTAACCTTTTCATGTTTCATTATCTTTAGATATTAATTTCAGGCTATTACTTCATAGTCACCTAATATTACTGACCTCTATAATCAGATTGTCTTCAACTAGTGGTCATAGCTAGGTCATCAAATTTGAGATTGTCTGAGATATAAATAATCCAATATTGGCTATGACATAAAGATGGATATATTGCTCTTACTTTTAGTCTTTTTCTATTGCATCTTGCTATTTAAGTGCTCATGGCTGGGTTATTATTTTGGCCATTGAAGTCAGGATTTTCTCAGGTATCAAATAATGTGAAATTGGCCAGACAGTTATTAGGGATTCTACTATCTACTGACATAATCCATAGCTGTTCATACTTATGGGGCTGCATTGATATAGTATTATTATAAGTTCTATTCTTCTGCTCCTTATTCTCTAAGTAGTCATAGCTAGGTTATTATTTTGGTCATTGAAGTCTCAGATTTTCTGAGAATTAACTAATGTGATACTTGCTAGACATACATAGATAGATATATTGTTCTTACTTTTGTTACTGAATTAAGAAATTTTTGTAAGGATAGTTGCAGTAGCCATTCTTGTTTTCAAATGTGTTTGGATCATTAGTACACAGTCTGTTGTGTGCAAAGATTGGTTGTTCCTTCTGCTTTCTTATTAGAGGGAAAGATATGACCATTTATTCAATGAATTCTGTGTATAACATGGGTTGTATCTGAATATTAACAGTATCAATGGCTGTAAATCTGTTAATATTATTCCCACCATGCTCATATTCATCCGACTTATCCGACGTCTTGCGAAAACAAAGCATAAATTTTATCAAATAAATGTCAGATTCACAAGCCAATTTTAGACAGATTGACAGAGGTAACAGAAATATAAGTCCATGTTAAAATAAGGGAGTATATAAATTCAGGGATTCATTCAAAGACTCTCAAATGGATTCTTAAATCATCGAGTCATAGCTGCAGGAGCTTATAAAAAAATATATGGCTTGCTTAATCCCTAGAAGGATACCCCTTATCTCTTTAGTCTTATTAAGCTTTTAAGTAATATTCTACAGAATTTGGTATACCAGTTTTGACATTTAATGCAAGAAAACAAAAAACACCCTTATTTTACACATGAACTCCTCCAATTATTCATAAGTTCATTATTGATAGCAAAAGCATGTATGGAATAGTTCAATATAAAGTTAAGGGGTGTCAACTATATCCAGTATTTCCACGATTCAGGCTGATTTAACTTAAACGGCCTAAATAAGGCTAAGTATCTTTACAATAAACCTTTGTCCTCACATGGCCTAAGGGAACAAACATAGAAATACTATCGAAACCTTTATTTATCTGAAGAATTTCCATACACAAAATGTCAAAGTTAGAAAGATATTAAAAATTATTTGAAAAATATAAACTAGCAGCAAAAAACAAGCAAATTACAACAATAAATTCTTTTTTTCGTTTTTCATCAGACAAAATGTGCCAGAAAAATTACAATTCTAATTAAATAATTTTCAAATTTCAAAAAATCTAAAGTTAAGAAGATTAATTTAACAAAAAAAATTTAATTAAAAAAAGTATTCAAACCTTTTAAGAAAATTGAAAAGATCGAAAGAAAGGCAAAGTGAATGAACTTTATCAACTAATGACAGGCAAGCTACTTTCAACAGACATATACCAAACCATTACAAAATTACTCCCAATTTTTTTCTATTTTTTGGCGATATTTTTTTTTTTTCTACGAGCATAAATATAAGATATATAAATAGTTTAGTGGGCTTTTTATATTAAAAAATTCTTAGCTCCAAAAATAATGAAACAAAATAAATCTGGTATATGTTCATTATAACTGAAATTCACCACCATACAATATTTGAGATAAAATATAAAAATTTGTCTAATACTGTGGTTACTAGTAATGAAAATATGAAATCTAGATTGGCTCTAGTTCCTGCATTGAAAGGCTTATGCTGCAACCTTTGCGATTTTGAATATAGCATCTGCATTAATAAACGTCTAGCTGATATTTTTGTGTTTTTGCATTCAAGTTATGTTATTGATATCACAGTGACAATCAATCATTAAATTTTTTCTCATTTTCTCAAGAGATTTGATAAAAAAGTGAAATTGCCAATAAAATTTGTGTAATATTGAACAAATTGCTTCATATTTTCTCTAAGAATCTGTTATTTTTTCGTAATTTCTGGATTGCAATATTCTCAAAGGTATAATTGTTGATCAAAGATACCTTGGCACTTTCAGGTCAAATTCAAACGTGAGCAGTCAAGTTAATCTTTGGGTAGAATAATTAGAAATTGATACTAAACAAGCCTGCCGTATTGTGTCCATTATTACTTACACTACCTAGATATAAATGGACTGCTCATATTTAGGCTTTGAATCGACACAGAGGTGCTTTAATCCTGATTGAGGAGCCAGAACTACATTGTAACGTTTTGAAAGTTATAAATACTCTAGATGTATCTATGCACAACAATTGTCTTCTATATCTGTAATTCATGATTCAAACATGCTATTGAAGGATTATCAAGGTTGCAGCAAAGCCTTTCTACAGAACCTATAACCAATCTAGTTATCTAAATACTCCACTATAGTCTTAGCTTCTGTAGATTATACATGGTTTTAGTACACACAGGACCTTCAGTCAATTAGTTGATATGTCACAAGGGGCTTGAATGTTACAAACATCCTAACTAAGATTCTCCTTACTATACCATATGTGATATATATGATTTGTTAAAATGTGGTAAATTGTAACCACATGATGCTGTTTGACTAATATTAACCCAATGATAACTCTCATTTATCACACAGTGTGAACAGTTGCATTAAAACCACAAAATAACAGCTCATAGGTCTATACTCATATTCAGTCCACAACTTCCAGTAAATCTTGTCACATAGCCCTAGTCCAAAATATCTGTACAGAGAATCATCAATAAGAATGTTTCTAACATCAAAGTCCAAGCTTTGGGAGATTATTTGCTATAATATTGGTTTGAACACATTTTATGTATTTTTACACGATAATGAATATTGAGACATATTGATATAATAATAATAATTAAAACATAAATAACAGTTTGTTAATACCAGTAGTTAAACCATTACAGTTTCAAAATTACATTGATAATATCCACACTTTCAGTTAATTTCTCCAGGTTTATTCTTGTAAATTTTGTGTGTACTGTTATAATAT